CCATTGGTATAGGACTAGTGGTGGGAGCCTCCTGTATGGGACACTGGCCACCTGTACTGAGGACAATGAGACATTTCCCTTTCATCAAGTGAGGCCCAGCTGGTTGCAATTACCACCTGTCACTCACAACTCACCGTACCCAGATTATACCCATCATAACTCCCATAACTCTCGTCTATAATCTATTCTATAACTCCAGCTTTTCATCCCTGCTATAATGATTTATATAACCCCAACGTATAATCTCTTCTGCATCTCCTAAGCTATAATTAAAAAAAAATCGTGTTGTTTATCATATCCAAGTGTGTCAGCCTCCCTGGGGTTGTGTTGCTCTCTCTCTCTCTCTCTCTCTCTTATTGAGGCGGCGTGTTTATCTAGCCACCACCACTACCACAGGATACTGATAGTAATCTCTCCCTGTATCCTTTGGTCTCTGATGGCCGATGAGTGGGAATGAATTTTTTTTGTTTTGGTTCTTCACTTCATTCTTACAATCCTATTTCTCTCTCTCTCTCTCTCTCTCCATATATATCTTAGTACACGCTATCCTCCTCTTCTACCTCAGTACATCGCCCATTGTTACATACTCTGCCACCCACAACCATCACCACACACTACCTTACACCCCTTATTTATTCTATTTTCTATCTACACCAAGCAGATTTTTTTTCCTTCCCTTTCTCCCATATTTTCTTATTTTGATATTTTTTTTGTTTGTTTTTTCATCGTTATTAATTGTCTCCTTATACACGTTCTTACAAACTCATTTCACCTCACCTAACGTTAATCCAATCCCCCAGGTAATGTTAGAGTATTTAATCTTCAGGTGAAATAAACTAGGGTACCTAATCTTCAGGTGATACCATTTACTGCTTTATCCTCAAACAAGTTGCACATCCATGACAACATTATACAACCCTGATATAACCTTACTTTTACCAGAAAACAATCCAGGTATAGCCCTCTCTCAGGTATACCTTTAACATATACTTAACTCTCTAAAACAAAATAAAAAAAAAACTAACTACAACAAACAAATTCTAATCTAACCTATACCGTTTTTTTTTCTTCAATATTTCCAACGCTGTTTTCTTATCATTTATTTTAATAAGTTTACTCTAATTGAATAAATAAACTCGTTCTCTCAGCAAGATCCTCCTATTGCTTTTCTGAACCATCACTGTCCTTGCCCCTTCTACAAACACACACACACACGCATACACCCTCTCTCTCACACACACACGCATACACACGCATACACCTCTCTCTCACACACACACGCATACACCCTCTCACACACACACGCACACTCTCTCTCACACACACACGCATACACCTCTCTCTCTCACACACACGCATACACCTCTCTCTCTCACACACACACACTCATACACCCCCTCTCTCTCACACACACACACGCATACACCCTCTCTCACACACACACACACGCATACACCCTCTCTCTCACACACACACACGCATACACCCTCTCTCTCACACACACACACACTGAATGAGACACTATACTCTAAATAATAAATAACTCTTAGTCACACACCTTCCTAGAAATACTTGAACTTATTCCTTGCATTTTTCTATACGTTCTTATTACATTTATTTGATACAAGGTAAAATATATTCATGTAATGTTTCTCGTTATTCCTCTGGTACTCTACCCTCTGTGGTGCTCCAGCTGTGCTCTCTTGTCATTTAATTCATCGTTTATCATTTCTCATCCTCAACTATTCATCACTGGTGACTCCATCCACGCCTGATGTCATTCTATTGTTATTTGTTTATTACTTGGCTCACTTATTTTTCATACATACATACATACATACATACATACATACATTGATAGATAGATAGATAGATACTGTATCTCACAAGAAGTATTAAATAAACATTTCTTATGGAGCCAGTAAGTGTCACTATCCTTAGATTTCTCTGCCCACAGTGACAGATCCTCTCCAGAGAAAACCCAATTTTAGTTCGGCGTAAACCCGCGACTCGTGGGCTAAATATAACCTCGACTCCAACTGTATTATTATGATAAATCTCTATGTCTGTGTATGTTTGTCCATGGATATTTAGTTTAGAAATTCATATACAATAATCATGAAGTATTAGGTTCATATCCCATAAAGATCTTTGACAATAATGGTATATTAATAATTAAGAAATATCTGCGCGTCAAGTTACACCGAGATGAAATATTAGATGTTTATTTTATATGCTTGATAATTGGTTGCAGTTGCCTGAGTCTGTCTTGCGAGGTATAGCTGAGTTTGACCCCAGTTTTACTTTCACCCACGACGCTCAGTGATAGGGACGAGTTTGTTGCTGTCATAGTGTGGTTCTGTCCCCTCCCACAGTGTCCTCATCCCTCCCACAATATCCTCGTCCCTCCCACAGTGTCCTCGTCCCTTCCACAATATCCTCGTCCCTCCCACAGTGTCCTCGTCCCTTCCACAGTGTCCTCGTCCCTTCCACAGTGTCCTCGTCCCTCCCACAATATCCTCGTCCCTCCCACAGTGTCCTCGACCCTCCCACAGTGTTCTCGTCCCTCCCATAGTGTTCTCGTCCCTCCCACAATATCCTCGTCCCTCCCACAGTGTCCTCGACCCTCCCACAGTGTTCTCGTCCCTCCCACAATATCCTCGTCCCTCCCACAATATCCTCGTCCCTTCCATAGTGTCCTCGACCCTCCCACAGTGTTCTCGTCCCTCCCACAATATCCTCGTCCCTCCCACAATATCCTCGACCCTCCAACAGTGTCCTCGTCCCTCCACAATATCCTCGTCCCTCCCACAATATCCTCGACCCTCCCACAGTGTTCTGTCCCTCCCATAGTGTTCTCATCTTTCTATATTGCCCCCCCAATATTCGCATCTCTCTCTCCCACTTCCAGCTCCAAGACAACTGACACAAACGACCCTCACACCCCTACTCCCACTTTCGCTGTACCCTGTCACCTCTCCTCCAGCACCCCCCCCACCCCTCCTCTCTCTCTCCACCCTCCCCTACCCCCCCCGCCCTCTCTCTCCACTTACCACCCTGGGAATTGTGAATGTGAAGTCAGGTGTGTCACTCTTGCAACACGAGGGAGGGACCATGTGTGTATGTTCTTGTTGAGTGGTGGTGAATGTGACACTTCTTGAGTCCTTCATACAGCTTCCCAAATACACATACAACTTTACAAGCATATGCAAATATTACACACACGTACACATACCCAGTCTACACACACACACACACCTCCCTCACCACCGAATAGACTTAGCTCATTACCAACGACCTCCCATTGTGTTTGCTAGACTCTGGTCACTGTCTACCCGCCTACGTTTTTATTCCCTGTGTTTACTTGTGTTGTACTTTTGTTTGGTCTTGGTCAGCTGTAACTGTTGTTAGCTGGGTCTTGGTCTATTACTGTTGTTTTGGTTCTTTATTATTAATATTATTGTTATTATTTTTGTTGTTTTTTTGGAACAATTCACAAAACACCAGAATGCATGTTTTGAGTTTTTCTGACAAATAATTACTTTGTTCTGTTTGATGCGACTTAATAGCATGGGTAAACCCCACCTTCAGCCTCGCTACAAGTACAGTACACCCGTCTTTGCTTACTTTCCGCGCGCTTTGGCGAATGTAAACTAACCAACACCCAACTCTGTAACTACGGGAAGGAATGGACAAAGTTTGCACGCTCATTGGTTTATTCTTACTGAAAATCAAATTCACTTTTTATTTCCCACTGGAGGATTATAATTTGCAGCAGTTTTCTGAGAGATAACCACACCACATTATTTGGTAAGGTAACAGGTAAATATTTTGAGTGTTTGGTGATAAATTTGTTAAATTTCACGACTCGGAAAATTTTATTTGAAGTGTTTGACTCTGTTATCGTTATTATTGCTATTATTATTATTAGTAGTAGTAGTAATTTTAAGGTAATAAACTGGCGGCGAAGGTGTGGCTATAGGGGAGGATGGAGGCCAAGTAAAAAAAAAAGTAGTAGTAGTAATAATAACAGTAGTAGTAGTAGTAGCAGCATTTATTAATTACTAATCTATCTTTTCTTGATCTCTCATTACTGTTACTTAAAACTCAAGGTCTAATATCACAGTATATTTAGTTTCTTATTTTGGGAACGATAAAGTGAAGCAACACATTTTTACACGAGATACGAGTTTAATGCAGTTATATATACAGTATATATATATTGTGTGTGTGTGTGTGTGTGTGTGTGTGTGATTCTGAATGTGATCATTAATTATACCCTTTTAAAATCATCATAGTCTTTGTTTATTTTTCTTTTATTTTGTTCTGCTTCATTCATTCTGTCAGCTTTGTTTATTTGATTTGTTGTCTTTTACCTCTTAACACTTCAACTTTCCCCCTTCTGCTGTTCCTTCATTATTATGTATGAGTGAGTTTCTCTCCAGTACTCTAATGGAATAATATAATACTGTACCACATAATTATATTCAGAAGGTTTATAACGTAAATAATCTTAGCTTAATGATTTGACTTTGTTGGGCTGTCCTTGGTTGAATCGGCTGTTTACCATCGTATACCTCCACTGTCTCTGTACTATACGTGATGAATCTATGTGAATAATTGTCCATTTCATCAACTTTTTTATGGAGTTGAGGATCGTGATTACCTCAGGCACCTTGTAGGAATATTATTGATGGTGCAGTACAAATGATAAAACTCTCGTACGCAGAAATATTAGAATTTCAAGTGCGGATTCTCAAAGGGTTGTGTTGAATTTTCTTTGTAATCGGAGGCTTAAGAATTCTCCTCACTACCTAACTTAAGCGGTAGCACAAGCATAACGTCCAATATGGCGTTGTAATTATACTATACATATTCGTCATAGAATTTTCATGAATCCGGCCATTTTTTTATCAGTTTGAAATTGTTGTTCTTGTTGTCCTTGTCCTTGCGCCATGTTCCCCATTTAGCGGTATAACGTGTGTTTGTATGTGCTGCAGCTTGCATGACTCTGACCTACTGGTGAACTGCACGGGGGAGGACGACCCTGAACTGCAGGCCCTGAGATGGACGGTCTACCAGGTGGTGTTTCCTGTTTTGGTGGCTCTGGGCGTCGTGGCCAACGTTCTCAACCTTATAGTGCTGTCCCGACCTGCTATGAGGGGCGTCGCCTATAGGTGAGTGTCATGATGGTGGGTCTCACAGATGTGTTGTAAAGGTATGTCAAGAGGTGCATTGTATGGTTTTTAACTTGTAATATAGCAGGGAAAATACACATGATATTAACCCTTCTGGCTTACCTGGACACTCTGGAGTTGTAGGTTGCATGCACTGTAGATGTAAAGATGTGAAATGGAATCGAATTGTAGGGAACAACGATATGGCGGATGATAAAGTTCAACAAATGGACCTTGTACTGAGTAAAAGTAGCATAATGGAGGATGACGTGTAGCAAGGCGACTGGGAGAGGTGTTGGTGAATTGGACAAATTGAAGACTGGAGCGTCTGACATGGAAGGCAGGTCCAGTACGACATTACTGACTAGTCACCTATTCGTAAACCGAGTAGCTGTAGACTGTATCTTATGTAACAGTGATCAGTAGAGCAACATAACATGTGTGGGCAGACATTGCACAACTGTTGAAAAAAAGTAAGAAGCTTTGTAAATGTAAAGTATATATGAACCCAAAACAGCATTTAAACACATTCTTTGTAATATTGGAGACGTTATGGTTCCAGAAGGGTGAACCAGTTACCAAGGATATTGACACTGGTGCTTGCTATAACGGGATTCTATTGAATGATGAAAGATGTTGGAAACGAGCTTCTTGTTTGAGACGAGTTTGTGTCTTGGTGGTAGTGAATGTAAACAGAGATATTATGTGCCCCACTATTATTGGAGTTATGTGTTCAGTGTAGCAGTATCAAGACACACTATTGGGTACATGTGTGTGTTACAAGGTGTGTGATGCAGGTGTGTTACGGGGTTTGCGGTACAGGTTTGATACATGTGTGTAGTACAGGTTTGTGATACAGGTTGGTCACCGTTCACCGGAGTCTTTATACGTATTTTGTATTACCTGCAGGTACCTGAACCACCTTGCGGTGAGTGACCTGTTATACCTGGTGTTCAACGTGCCCTTCTGTATGAAGGACTTCGCCAGGATCTCGGAGATGCAGGTGGTGTCCAGGGCGAGTGCTGTGTACTACGCCAACGTCGGCATCCCGCTGGTGAACTTCTTCCTCACCATGAGCGAGTACATCGTGGTATGGCTCTCCTACGACCGTTGCCTCGCCGTCACCAGCCCGCAGAAGTTCTCGGCCAAGCAAAGGCATGAGGTGGTGAGAATACGGTGCGGGATGTCGCTCCTCCTATCCATGTTCGTATACAGCCTGAGTCCCCTACGGCAGACTTACCGCTGTGAAGACCACGAGTGTTGCGTCAGTGAGAGTCACTTCATAAACGAGCCCTGGTATATGGGCTACGAGTTTTTTAGGGAAATCTACTCGAGATTTTTACCCGCTGTACTCATTACCTCTTTTAATGTGGCCATTATTGTGACGCTGAAACAAATCAAGCGAGAGCGAGATGAAGACGTCATAAGCGAAGCACGCCAGGAAAGGGAACGTCGACTATTTTTCCTGCTCATGGCGATCACAGTTTTCTTCTACGTTTCAGCCTTTCCCAGCGCCATTTATAAAGTTCTCATATTCAACGACATGCACTTTGTCCCGTACTTCAGAGTCGTAGCTGATGTCTTAGAAGTATCCGGCCATGTTTTTAATTTCTTTTTATATTTTCTATTTAGTCCAGATTATCGTAAAACGCTGGTAGGTATGACTTCTGCCGACCAGCCTAATAATATTGCACTGTCGTCTACAGCCATTCCTCTATGAATTACTTGATATTTATAATTGGATATGAAATTTTTTTTGGACGAACTATATTTTCAACGTAGATGATATTATATATTATGTATTCTTATATAAAACGCCTTATATAAAGTGCAACTACCAACAACAAACTGAGATTTCTTGGCCATTTTTGGCTTGAGTTCCCACCAATAACAGATACTATGATGTTGGTATGACCCCAGGAATCTGACTACAGGCACCAAGGTGTCTTTCTTCTTGTGATTGCGCAGAAAAGACACGTGTGTGTATAACAGTGATAATAAGGTACGAATTCCTCCAAGCATTCCACATTATTCAATAAATTCCAGAGACGATACGTGAAGTGAATATGAATCATTATCATCGATGAACATAAAGACGTCTGTTTCATTTCTGTGATCGACACATAGGTCTGGACAATTTTCATCATACTCCATTCTCATTCTCGAAAGAAGATATTAAAATGTGTTTTATTCATCATGTTAGCACAGTAAACTTGTTAGTGTGTTAAGTGAGACAAAGTTAGTGTTAAAACTCAAGGAACTTCTCTGTCGACAGGTAGGCTGCTACTGGATACTGCAGCCACAGACGTAATACTACAGGTTGGCGACATTTATCATTGATTTCATAATATTGTATACCGTGAAGTACGCATATATGTCTGTCAATACTCAACAAGTCTAAATATCTGAAATTCGTCCTTTTTTTTATCTAGATAATGACCAATATTAGTTTGCAATATTATAATTCAAGAGTCGAATATAATTATGTGTGAAGGTGTCGGTGTGTTGGCTGGGGTCGCTTGCTGCTGTTCTCCATACCAAAGTATCGACAGTCAAGGGGTCACCCACCTAGCGTCCAACCCGAACAGATTCTCTGGCGTTCCCGGTGCCTCAAGCAGACGAGAAACATTTGCTTCTTAACTGTTTGCAATATAAAATAGTCTTCACATAAAACTGTCATCTATCTAAGGTCATTTGGCCTTGATGTAACTTAGAGCCTATGACTATTTTTGTTTCCTGGTGTAAGCCATTGTATCCACTTACTGCATATTTGTACTCCCTTAAAGATGATTAAACTTTGATTCATGATTTTATGACTTAATTCTACCTTTACAGTGCTTGACTTTTTGTGATTTTTTTTTTACATATTAATATTTTGCTTCTGTATTTAGATAAAAAGTATGTTACATTCTAATTCTAGGTAATAATACACTTTGCTTAACTATTCACGATGTTGTCATTTGTGTTTATATTGTGTGTCCTGGTGCATATTATTTGTTCCTATTATGACTAAGTATAGAGCCATCATTTGGGGGCACAATAACCCCATACACAATTACTCTGTGAATGATTGTTTCCTGAACCTTGTATGTAAGGATCAGGACTATGCCGTCGTGATAGACCTATTATTGAAAGCAGAGTAGCAAGTGCATGGGGAAAGCAGTGAAGAAAGCAAACCAAACTAAGAGTCATAATTGTAAGGATAAGAGAAAGCTCTACATTTCTATGTGTCTCCGTGTCAACAAACTGCAGGAATGTAAGTAAAAGGGGTAAATTTGCACTTGCACACCACACAGAAAGTCAAAAACATATTTTTCTAGTGTATTTGTGTGTGTTTAGACCGAGTATGACCTTCATTTCTGGCTGGAATTTTGACAACAGGTGAGTATATGTTTGTTTGTTTTTTTCAAATTTCGCTAGGTCCACTTGTGCAAGAACTCCCTCCCACTGAAGACAAAAAGAAGATGGAGACGACCAGGAGTATGATGAAATCACCATGGAGCTCAATGGAGAAAAATAACGGGATTAAGGGACTATTTCAGAGGTTCATAATATATATGGTACTGTTTTTTCAACATGTGATGTGCAGATGACATGAACGTTATATTTGCATTACCAATTTCCATTATTGCTGAAAATAGGTAGGAATTGGGCGAGGGTATCCTGTAAAAATTACAGGAAATAAGCTTTGGAATCGGGTGGGGTTGGAGGAGTACCCAAACCAACCAAACCGTTAAACTGTCATGTACCTAACTCTGACCCCTGGCCCTGGCATATTAAATATCTCGGTTCTAGGTCGTTTGCGAGGGAAACGTCACAGAAGTGTCTTAGAATTGTCTAAACTATTGATTGCAAAGATAAAATTTCCGAGATTCGGTTGGTGACAACAAATGTAACACCAATTATACCTTTTCTAGTAGTTTTCTGATTTTCAACTCATGATAACTCGGTTATTGGTAAAATGCTAGAAAAGTATCATAGAAGAACTTCTTGTTTTTCTCTGAAATTATCATTAAACACTTGAAATCTTCAATTATAAATTAACCCACAGCTAAACCTTACCTGCCGAGTTATATTGGGTGACGTGTCGGCTACACAATTACATGCCATCTCCGTGGATATTATTCCTCGTTATCCCTCGTTTCGGATTTTTTTTTAATAGCCCACCCGGGAACAGGTCATTGACCCACAACGGGGCCTGGGGGCGAACAAAAATAGGAGTAAAAAGAAAAGAAAATGTACATAAATGTCGTCATATCATGTTTTTCTTTTCATAATGCAATACGTGAATACTATTATTCCATTACTTCTATTACATAGATAAAAACGATTAACATTCCACTAAGACGATTTCCAGAAAGACGAATCGCACATGGACGATTATAGCTAGAAATTGTCCGTACATCACAAATTCTATTAAAAATACTGTTAATATATGATTATATTATGACTTATATCATGATCAATAAATTATAGGAATATGATATGAATTATATTAGGAATAACAATATACAACATAAAATATATTGGCCATATTTTGTTATATTGATAAAATACATCATCAATTATATTCGGAATAATAAAATACAATGTTATTTCTATAAATAATTTATCATTACAACAAAATGACATACTATAGACTTATATCTAAAATTCTACTAATAATGATGTATTATAATGCATGTTCAACTTAAAACGAGTCTTTACCGTGAACATAATAATTTTCGTTAATCCTGCTATAATAAATATTTTATTCCAATAATTCATTTATCTTAATTTATTTAAAAAAACAGCCTGTCAGGCCATTTTGCCGTGACCGGTAATGTGGACTACAATATATTTATTTATACATGTTACTGATGAGAAGTTTAAACTCCCGCCTCCACCAACGCCATAACAAACCTCCATGAACCTCGTGTAATCTCATTGGCTGAGCCCTCACTAAGTTCGTTCCTATTGGCCAGATCTCATCACAAGCGCTATGATTGGTCGCGGGATTCAAACCATCACTGGAGCAGACTTTTAAAACTATCAACAGAAGGGTGTCGACTGGCTGCTTCGCGATGTGTGATTGGAATTATCTGGTTTAAAGGTGTGTAATGACGTTTATATTTGTAATGTTGGTGTAGAGATGATGTGAGAGAATGTGGGAAAGATGTTTGTTCGTAAGATACCTTTTACTGTATCATGGAGGTCAGGTAAAGCGGTGAGGATGACGATTATTGGTCACGTTTATGAATTACAGTTATGAAATTTTCACTTTCAGCTGAATTATAATTATTTACAAGGCATAATGTTACTATATTTTCCATGTTTTAGTCTTCCAGGTGGTTACATCTGTGTTGATATAGCTAACACCTGGACATCCATGGGTTTAGGGGTTTGTCAATGCTGTACTGCACTGTGCCTGTAGGTGTGTCACTTGGCATGCAACCATGATCTCACCTTTTCTGTAATTGAGAAATAATTAATTACTGTAGACACCTCAGTGGCGGGGTTAAGTAAGGTGTTGCCACTTTATTTATATGTTCTTTTTTTGGCTGGATTTTTTATGCTTACAATGGATTGAACCCAGGATACTGATGCAAGAGGCATGTGCACAACTGATGTATGAAGAACACCTTCAGCCCTGTTAATACTGACATTACAAGCCAATTAAGCAGAATGTAAACTATTCTAGTACATACCTTACATTATTTTTGTTTTGAAGTACAGTACAGTGCTTGAATAACCAGTAACCCAGACTATTTAATACAGCAAAGCATGAGTGCCCCTTGTACAGAATATTTGGTTAAGTTAGGTTGGAAGCTCTTACATTAAATAGCTTGGATACCTTGCTACACAAGCTCTGCCTCTTTGTTTAGGTCTGGCTAAGTTTAAGTAGAATATGATTTCTGTCTTTAACCCTCTTGGTGCTTTTATCATCCTAGGATAATACTGCACTATATTTTCTCACTGTGTTTTAAGTTATCCACTCTTGTGAGCGTCCAACACAGGCTCGTTACATGTATACCGAGCATCCTGATGTGTTGTCAGTGTAATAATACAGTGTGTGATAAGTTGCGTGTAAACATTAGAGATGACAGAAAACAACCAGTAAGTGAAATGAGCAGAATGAATAGAGACCCTGCAAAGCCATCACTTTAGTTGTTAAGTTGGAGGTGATAGGATGCATTAAGACTCAGGAGAAGATGACGGCAATTGTACAGCTAGACTGTCAACTGGAGATCACAGTATTAAACAAAGGAGTTTTTTCATTAAATTGTGCATGTAAATATTTTATTTATGTTATAAAGTGTCATTGCATGTTTCCTTTTTTTTTTAGCAAATTGTCTCCCAATTTATAACTGTAATGCAGGGGGTCCTTGGGTTACGAATGGGTTCCGTTCCTGAGGACGTTCCTAAGTCAGATTTGTACGTAAGTCGGAACACATGCTATGTGCATACCGTACTTACAGAACAATGTTTAAAATCCCACTACAGGGTATTATATCATAGCCTAAGTCCTTATATACAGGTACATATAAAATCGCTTGATTTAAGACAGGTAATCACGGCTAACCCATGCAAGCATGGAAAATGGCTGTAAGATATTGATGATGATGAGAGAGGATTACTGTACTTGAAGAAACTGCTCCAGGCTGACCAGTACCTTTTGGTAAGAAATTTTCAAGCTTATTTCAGGAATGGCAAGCAATTAGGTTTATAAGTTTTGTTTTCCAACCAAATACCCTGTACAGTACTGTATAATAATTCATACTCTTCTCCTCAGCCAGGTGTTCTTGTGAGTCACAATGAGTCAGGGGGGATTCCTCGTTATGGATCCCTCTCCGGAGAAGGTTGCTGATCATCATCCGAGGGGTCAGATTACATCTACATCTTATTTTGAGGTGAGATATTCTTAGCTCTTGATCCTTTGAAGATGATGATTTAAAGTATTGTTCTCAAGGGGTTAAATTATCATCTTCATAAAGTTATGCCATCATCCTTGAGAATTGAACTAGAGATGTTAAGCTATTGTCCACAAAGGCTTAAAAAAATTGTTTCTCTCTCTTTCTTAGTTCTTGAACTCAAATGGGGAAGTAAGAATAGTTGTTCTTTGTGATTAAACAAATTTTTCTTGAATATGAGTCCGTGGATTAATTTGAAACTACAGTATACCATACCTTACATCTCCCAGGAATTCATCAAGGCCTTTGTAACTTGAAAAAATCTAACTGGCTATAATATCCAATTAAAGGCCCCATTTTACGTGTTCAGTGGTCCATTTCTAGTTACTTATTTATTTTTCTTTCTCTTTTTTTTTTCCCTCCATATTTTGCACGCCAACTCCCATTACTCCTGTACAACACTGTTGGCCTTATTTGTATTTGCAGATTTAAAATTCACATTTATTTCAGATAAGTCCAGTGCACAAACAGAAGAAGAAAGTGGTTGAGGAAATTCCAGTTCTACGTCTGATTCACTTTACACATTCACCAAAGATCACCTTTGGTACAGTCAAATTGGGAACTACCTGTCAGCGGAAGTGTAGAGTTCTCAACCCCAAAGATCAAACACAGGAGGTGAGGAAAAGCATTTTTTTTTTACAGCTTGTCATTGGCCGAAGAAGACTTGTATGTTTACCATTCCATTGCAGCTCTAGTCCTCTGAGGAGGGCTTGGAAGATGAAAGGTTGAAAGCTAAATGAGTGCTTCAGTAGCCTACACAAACAGACTATACCTTGTTATCATAGAAAACACCAAATTTTCAGTAACAAGTTACCTGGAAATTACACTTCATGACAAGGCTAAGTTGTGCTTATACTGTAACCTGTTTATAACGCTCGGAAATATATTTAGTTGTTCTATAAAACCCCAGCATTATGAATATACAATATAAAAGTGAGTTTCAGCCTTCATTTAACTTGGGATGGAAGAGTTATTTCAAGTCTCAGTGATCTAATTACTGCACCAGTTCATCTAGCAGTTGTTGTGTCGATCTTAACCATACTAACTTGTGAACAAAGATGGCTTCACACTCTTAAGTAGCTTGACCTAATTTTTGGTAAGTGCTTTGTGAATCAGATGGGTATATGTCCTGTGTGGTGAAAATATTTTGAGTGAAAAAAGGATTTTAGGAAGCCCTGTAAAGAATATTGGTTAGTGTGGGGGGGGTGAGTGAAATTCGCACAGGGATGCACACTGTAGTAATCTAAACATAACAGCACAAAATGGCTTTGCCCAGCTGCCTTAAGCCTTACTCTGCGGGTCTCTTCTGCACTATACACAGCACTACCTGACGCCCATAAGAGCGAATAATCATCTGCAACCCAAAAATGGACTTGGGGGAGAGTATCGTTAACCCAGGGAGTGGGTGTAACATTCATCACTCAGATTTCATTGTAAGGCATGCATATATAATTGAACTTCTTAATATGAGAGGGTTACATTGCCTCATGTTCTAAAAGACCTTGTGCTATATTACTGTCCCAAATAATAAAATAAATGCATTACACAGTACTGTATATTGTATGTATTATCAATGACAGATACAACTATATCTTGTGCTAGTCAGGCCGCACCTCGATTATGAGGTTCAGTTCTGGTACCCTTATTATAGAATGGATATCAATTCACTAGAGTCGGTGCAGCGAAGAATGACGAAAATGATTCCGGGACTTCGAAACCTTCCATATCAGGATAGGTTAAAGAAACTTAACTTTCATTCCCTAGAAAGACGAAGAGTGCGGGGAGGTATGATAGAAGTATTTAAGTGGGTGAAAGGAATCAATAAAGGTGATATAGATAAAATTCTTATAATATCTGAGCAGGATAGGACTCAGAGCAATGGATTTAAGTTGGATAAATTTAGGTTTAGGAGGGAGATAGGAAGAAACTGGTTCACAAATAGGGTGGTGGACGAGTGGAACAAGCTTACCAACTTTGTAGTAAGTGCTGGAACTCTGGAAAGTTTCAAAAGGAGGCTAGATAGATTCATGGATGATAGAGAGTGGTAGTAACTCTCGACAGGAGCTGCCATGCACAGGCCAACCGGCCTATTGCAGACTCCTTATTTTCTTATGTTGTACATTTATACCTTAGAAATTTAATGATGACACATTAATGGTGCAATAAAGAAACATAAATTGAGCTTGCACATAATTATATTGTTTATCAAGGTTCTTCCTTTGAAATTGTTGAAGTAGCTTTTAATGAAATTTACAGCAGGAAACAAATATCAGGCAAAGTTTGATGAGCTGCATATTATGTTGGATCAAGTCAGCTGAGGATTTATGGTGACATTTACTACAATCAGAGGATAAATAAGCAACATTTTCATATTTTTGGGGTAGTACTTGTATATGCATTGTGATACAGTAGGTACCTGTACAATTATTGATTCTTTACTGTCCCAGTCCATCAGCTGACAATGAATTTTCTGGAAAAAAAAACTGCTAAGATGTTGCCGTCATTTGATACCGTACAAGGAACAGTAACCCATTTGCTGCTGCATGCTTTAAATTAGGGGGTGAGTGTTAATCAAGCCTTCTTGCATCATAGCAGGAATAGCTTATACAGTAGACATGAAAATAACACTTATACTGTTATGCTATTTTTTTCTCTTTCAGGTATTCTGTGAAAAGTTTCCAAAGCCAGAAAGTGGAGTGACATGTTCAGATGTAAACTTTGTGTTACAACCAGCTGAAAGTTTAGAGGTTGTTCTGTCATGGACACCAACTCAAGAGGGTAACATTCGGGAATTGATCCATTGGAAGACAAATATTGGAGTTCGTTCTCAGACTGTACTTCTTGGAACTTGTGTTGATCCCAGCATAAAGAAAGTATGTATATATTTTGAATTTAGTAAGAAAGGTTGTTTGTTTTTATACTTCTTGAAAATAGGGCTAATTTGTCAAGCTTCAAATATTCCACTTGATAATAATTAGCAAATGAAAGTATGAAAACAAAAAACACTAGTCAGTGTTGAGGGAAACAACTGTGTAATTTCATATGATAATACTCTCTTTAACATGGTGTTATGCATGTAGATTGTGATTAATTTTTCATTTAGACTATGTAACAGGGTTGGCACAATTTAGATCAAGTGATTTAGTCCACATTTAAAAAAATGATACATTAAGAGCACAAGAAATGTCATTAATGCCTATTGTATTTTCATGAAACACATTTTTCAATTCCAACTTTCCTATTACAGTACAGTAATTCAATTAATGACTAGTAATAGCAGTAACTTAGGATATGTGTATAGAACATGAAAAGATAATGAAAACTGTAGTCCTATGTGGATTTTTTCATGCCATAAATTAGTACTGCATTTTCTAAATCATTGGAATCATTAAATTACAGTACGGTACAATACTGTAATGAGTTTCATGAATTATGGAAAATGCATTATAATGTACTGTACACACACACATACACACTGTATGTAATGAAAGGCATTCTACTAATGAGAGATTCCTTTATCAGAAGGCAAAAGGCAGGGGCAGAGCACCACTTAGACCACAGAATGCTCCTCCAAGCTCAGCACCAAAGAGGGCTGTATCTGTTCCAAGCAAGGCTCCCAGGAGTAATCTTGGCCCACGAAAAAATGCGAAAGGAAGAAGTGGTAGTGAAAACAAACCTCCTGTGCAGACTGTACCTATGCCGGCAGTATTCAAGAATCCAGTGATTGACCCCAAATTATTCAATTTTGCTAAACCGGATCCTAATGTAAAAAAAGTAAGTTTTAAACTTTTGCATTTACAGTAGGTGTGCATTTAAGATATACTAAAGCTTTATTAGTTCAGTAAAAACCCCAAGTACCAGACTAATTAAGCCGCAGCAATGTTGTTACTCAGATGGAATCCGTTATTCGGACGTCCATATCAGGGAGGCACAACTGTTCAAAACAACAACCAGCATGTTACACTAACACAGATTGACTTATTTAAGTTCATAATAAATTAAGACAAGTAAAATAATCCTACTTATGATATATTTTCAGTACATTAATTTCTTATTTAAAGTGTGAATACTTTAGCTGTAGATAAGGTTCTAGACTAGGATCTTTCAGTCGCAAAGATTTTTTAAGGTTTTCTAGTCCAGACATAAGTATGTACAGTACATCCTCGTTTAACGCTGTTTTGTTATAACTTCGCTACTCTTTAGATACCCATGATTCGGACAACGTCCCGCCGATTCGGAATAACTTATAAGAGCTGCGTTTCTCCTTTTCTTTTCTTTTTAATTTATACTCTGGTAGTTAACTTTTAGAACTCTTCAACCTGGTTTTCTCTTAATTTCTTACTTCATTTATTTTCTCCATTAGTTTTGTCTCGTTATTTCATTTCATATAGTTACTCCATAACCTCTGACCATTGGTACATTGTATTTATGGTATCAAGCCATGGGAAGGAATGATGGCAAAATACTGCAAGTAAATGATACTCCTAACATACAAATAAAATGGTTTATTAAATTGAAGTTATATTTTATGAATAATTTCAGTAACACTCAACTGCAGGGGTCAACTCCCTGGCTTTGCTCATTTTGTACTGTTAAACTTAGGTACATTCATCACTTACACCATGACTGGGTGTACATATACAAGAACACACACAATACTTTTACACAGCACCATTAGATCAAGTGGCAATGATGCCAGTTACAGCACCAACACTAATACTTTAACATCACCAAAATTAGTAGCTTCTCTTCACCACTGTGGTACCTTTGCCCACAAGCAAAGTGATGGTCAACCTACTCTTACTGACTCCAAACACTGAGACAATTCAGGTGAATACATACAGGTTTTCTCGGAGGAATAACACAGCCACTACTGAGTAGTGGACTCATCCATAACAATGATGGGGCTGGCAGTGTTTGCTCAGCCTGTGATATCAACAAGCTGGACAGTGAATGCATCAGGTGAACGGCTGGCCACTTGACTGGGCCCCAGAGGAGGTAGTTAGTTCCTGACGCTCGTGTTCACAAATTTACCCGAGTTTACTGGCCTTCATCCATCTCCCAAACTAATGTGGAGGTCGTCCCAATCTACAGGGCTCTTGGCTGAGAGGAACCTGTGGGTGGAGGAGTTTCAGATGCTAGACTCGGTTTGTTGACACGAACGTCAACGTTTCAAAAGGACGCTAAGGGCGTAAGAACAGTTCACTTAAAACACATCCATTACGTTACTGTATCACTTTCATATTCAAACTATTAACTAAGTCAAAATCACTTAATGTGGCGAGGTATAACACGGAGCTGGACATTGGGTGGAGGAGTTTCAGATGCTGGACTGGCGCCTGGGAGCGTCAGTGCCCTGCACTCCACCTCCTTCACTCGGCTTCAAGTTCCACTCACCCAACTATTTCAATGTACTACATTACTGTACCCTTTGACGTGTGAAACTGAGACTACGAACTCATTTCCATTTCCTAAGATTCCCTTTTCAAACTACGCTCTGACTGAGCTGTTGAAGACAAGAATTAAATTGATTTCAAGGTTCAGGATGGTAGTCCCTGGTAGGTGGAGCCTAAGGCAAGTAGTATCCGGTTACACCCATTAGATTCTCAAAGATACCTGGTCTGACAGTTCCCCTCAGGTTAATTAATTACTTTCGTAATTAACATCCTTACAACAATTTCACCATGAACATCAGATTCTCTGATGTTCATATGTGAAAAAGAGGTGACTTCAGCCTAGGGCAACAATCACTGGCATCTCTAGGGCCGACGTCAATGATACCTCATTCTCATTGCCAATTCTACCCTGACTTATATTGACAATTACGCAAACAGTAAATACAATTGAAGCTTTCAACATCAGTCACAACGGATCTTGAATGCTTCATCTGCAATCAGACATCTCTAAGTTGACTCAAAGCAAGGGTGTTCTCTTACTAATTCAAATGCATGAACACCCTGTGAGGAATTTAGGAATACCCGAGTTTCTCCGGTAATGCGACATGGAAAACAGAGGATTCAGATCTCCTGAAGTGGTTAGAGAACGAATGTTTCAACTGGGAAACTCAAAAGGTTTACAGGTTTTGTGGGAGTGGAGCGCAATATGAATTATTAGGTTTTAACAGACTAGCCATGTCATTATGACCATGACACCCTCTCTCATCTTGGCGCGCTCTCGCGGAGCTTCACAGCGTCCCCAGTCTTTGTTAGGCTTCCACAGCATTCGTGCATGTTTGTGTTTTTGCTCTAAATACTGTACTGTAACCATTTGAAATGGCTTCCAAGTGCCCGTCAAGTGCTAGTGTTGTGAATGATCAATGTAAGACCATTACCCTTGCTTTGAAAATGGAGGTTTTAAACCGTTTTGAGAAAGGTGAACGTGCGGTGGACATTGGCGTTGCACTAGGTCTAACCCCCACATTAGTACCTATTATATGGACCAGCAAAGACAAGATTAAGGCTAGTGCTGGAAGTGGTAATTCCATTGAATTTATGTATATGTATTGTATTTTATGGGGCAAAGGGAGGCTGGGGAACGTAACTCCTGTATCTTATCTATTTTTTATGGGGAAAATTTATTCCGTTAACATAGCGGTTTTCAGGAACGGAACCAAGACATTAAGCGAGGACTTACTGTATGTGGCATGAACGCCCTTGTGCAGTGAGAGATAAAGTGGAGTATGTGAATGTGTACAGTATACCTCTGGCAATGAAGTGGATTTTTTCACAAAATCCACTTCTTTCTCCGGAAATTCGTTGCCACAGGTAGATTTAGCAATAAGTGAAAGGCAATAGGTTCCATTCCTTTGTTATTCTTTCTTTTACATATGCCAAAAATGAGCAAATAGTAATTAAAATAAAGCAAACCACATCATAAAATACAATAACACATACTGTATATTATGGAAAAAAATAGCTCCTACCTCCTTTAAACCATTGCATGGGTGATGCCAAGAGTGGATGAGTTCGGCCAGCCAACTGATTTGAGAGACATGTGGCTGCTATACTGTAATGTCACATTGGGGAGAGCATGACGCAGCCAAACATACGTTCACCTCCCACACAGAATACTGTCCTCACTCGTGCTCTCCATTTTATTTATTTTTTTATTTTTTTTTAGTTTATAATATATTTCTTTCATTTCTAAGTCACGCTATAGAGTACAGTAGTAAAATGATTTTCCCGTAACTTTTGCAGTTTCATTACATGAATCGGTGACAATAATGAGTAGCCATGTCAAGGCCACAGCTTCCTTGACATGTGTTATGTAGTGGGTGTGTATGGGGCCCACTTTCACTTTCAGTGGACGTGAAGTGGATCACGCTTACAATATGCATTCAGTAAATTTAGAGTTTAAAATTTCTACATTATCTCGGGAACAGAGCGTTTATTGTTGACCATGGCTAGTACTTCAAGATTATCCCTCATGGTAAGGCACTCTGCACCTTGGAGCCTTACCCGAACGTAATTGCTTGGGCATTGTTCTCACAGTGTGTGTTATTTACATATCACAAGAGAACAGGCACGTTTGCACTGAGTAATAACCATGCGTAGACTGAGTGCAGCGCAGCTATGTCGTGATGCAGGCTGGGCTGGCGAGAACATGTGGTCTACGCTGCGTTGCTCCACAACAATAACAATGATCTGCAAAATATTTTTGGGAATTTTAATAATTTTTTCCAAGATTTGTGTCATTACTCAGGTGGTCCGGTACTTGGGGTTTTACTGTAGCTAGATCTTAGACAATGCTTTTAACTGTTTCAGTCATATTAAGTGCAAGCAGTTTATCAATATCATTATTCAATGGTAATTTTCCATTCTTGTCTAGGTTATCTTGATGGCAGATTTCCAAGTTGCAATCTTTTGCAGCCTCTAATTGGTTGCTTATTTTTTAGATAATTTCTTACAATCTCTTCCCATGTCATTCTTGCCCTACCACTCTCCTCCCCTTCACATTTAAACTTATGCATCTCTTGGCTCAATTGGTTTCCTCAATTCTCTCCACATGCCTTAACCATCTCAACCTACCACTAAGGTACTTTAAAATTTTCAAAATATTTTTCTACGATTTACGTTAATATTGTTCCCTTTTATCTTTTTGTTGTGCTTTTACTTCTTTCTCCTCCCCTTATTTTTTTGTAGGTTTTATTATTAAAAAATTTTCTTTGTCCATAGAATCACTGCCTAACCTTCTGTTAGTACATTCTTGCCACTGTCTTATTTCTTTGTTTCACTGAGCACCTTCCCTTCTATTGTTCCCAATATTCTCCCACATACAGATTTTCTGCCTCATTATACCTTAACTGCTATCGTTCCACAGCTTTTCCATGTTCGTCTTATATTTCTTTTCTTTATAGTTTATCTACTTCCTCTAGATTTTGGATGAACTGTCTACAATCTCTTCTCCCTGGCTTTTACCAATTTAATCATCTTTGTTTTACCATGTGAATCTATATCATTCCATTTTCAAGTTTTGGAAACTCCAGGTAGTTTTGATTCTGTCAGTATTCCCCTTATTCCTTTTTCGTCTTCACATTCTTCGTAATCCTCACAGCTCTTTCTCTGTATGTAAATATTTTTTTGTATTTATTTTTTAATACAAATTGTAGTGTGTGTAGATATTCAGACGTAGAAATTTTATTGTACTTACTGTGAATAAGTCACACATCTAATGTATTTATATATACAAATCAGAGATTTAATGTCCACGATTACAATTACCCAACAGGTTCAGTCGAAAGCTAAAGCATCAAGGAGGTTTGTATCATCCACTTCCAGTCAAGAGAGCATTGATACTCCTGTAATATTGAACTCCACCGAGAATTCTGTTGATTTGGAACATGTAAGCTGTGGGCCTCTTACAAATCTCTCTATGTCAACAATAGACTTAGATTGTCCATCCAACAGGAAGTCAATTGTCAGAAATTTGCACCACCCAAAGAGAGGACCTAAGAATCATGTTGCTTGGAGAGATAAATCAGATGATGTAAAAGAAGAATTAGATAGGCGGATGACCTACTGCTTACCTGGTGAAACTGAACTCATACAAGTAGAGGTAAAAGAAGTGATTGATGAGGAAGTAACAGAAGTTGGTGTTGTGGAGGAGGAAGTGTTTAAGTTAGTTTATGATGTGTCTAAGGAGGTAAAGCACAGTGGGAGGCAAGAAACTTTAATTACAGTAGGTCACCCTCATCTTAAAACACTTGTATCAAACAAAGACATGTCAAAAAAGACAAGTTCCAGTCATTCAGAAAAGGTATGGACAGAAAATGAGGTGTTGCCTGAGAACTTAGTACAGCCTACCCCTATACGGAAACAAACGCTTGCACACACAGCCAGATATAAGCTCCGTGAGTGCTTAAATGAAGATGATGACCCATTTTTGAGAACCAGTGTCTCAGGAGCTACAGTTGGTAATGATAATTTCAAAAGCATTATTGGTGGTCGATTACCACAATGTGAAATAGAATGTTCACCAATGAGGCGTCAGACATTTGTTGCTTCAAGTCAGGAAGATTTCGTATCCATTAAAGGTGACAATTTACCAGATTGTGATAAAGTAAGTACACCTCTGAGGCGTCAGACTTACATAACATCTAATGCTGAAACATTCAGTTCTGTATGTGATGGTCAGTTTCCTGCCTGCACTGCTCTGGAATCTCCTTTGAGGAGGCAGACCTTTGTCAAGGATCAGAAAGACCATTTGCGACGCGTCAGTATGTTTTCGCAAGTTGGTCATCAGACAGTTGAGCAACAATATGACAACTGCTCTAGTCTCAATATTAAATGTGTGGATTACTCTGACTCATCTAACACTTCCACACCAACTTTAGGAACAACGCTTCCTTTGGGGTCAACTTCTTTAGACATGCTTCAAATGACCCCCATCACACCTGGTCCTCAAATGATTTCTAATAATTTTTCATTCATAAAAGCTTCATGTATGAATCTTTTGGAAAAGCTAAAAGCTCCTGAGAAGTTTCCAGAATCTCCCATGCCAAATTTCAATTCAAGCTGGAAAGAATCTTTAAATAAAGAAGACACACTTGATTCACCTCAGTTAGAAATGTGCACAGCTCCAGGATCTCCATCATCAGAATATGAAACAGCCCCTAGTACACCACGAGAACCAGCCTTAGTAATGGAAGATTTTAATGTTACTGTGGAATTTCCAACACCAAAAATTGACAATGCATTATCCAGGATAAGGAATGTTAATTTAACAGATGTTTCTCAAATCCTAGCACTGGAACTGGCAAATCAAAAGAAGACAGATTTGGAGGTCAGTATGAGTACTGATAGCCTTGAGAAGACATTCAATAATGAGGATGAGAGTGAAGATCATTGGGATAAACTTGATCCAACGGTGTGTAAGAGGTTGAGTCCAGAAACTATTACAAAGGACTTCCCCATCAAACATCCTGATACTGTAGTAGTTATTAGAGTAGATGATTTTGAGTATCAGGGATCTTCAGAATGCAGATTAAGTACTGGTACAATAACCAAAGAAATTTCAATGTTACATCCAGATGACTTAGTTGTGCTGGATGATCAACATAATAGTTGTGAAACTATTGTTAAAGATTTGCCAACATTTTCCCCATCATCCTTGCCTCAAGTAACAGATACACATCACCCAAGAAGGATGAGCACAACTGGAATATCAGGAGGTTCATCCACCCCAGGGAATCCCTTGGCTCATCGTCGTAAGAGTGAGTCTTTCATCCTTACACCTCAGTCTTATCAGAGTGATGCCTTGGATGAACTCCTTTTATTCAAAGGCTTCAGTAAGAGTGAATTCCCAGTGGAGAACATTCAAGTTGAAGGACAAGTCACAGATAAAGGGGATTTTGTCGTGGCTTCGGAAGCCGATTTTAGCTTTTCACCTCGTGATGATCTCCGTAGATGCTCAACCAGTATCAAGTCCCTTGCCCCAGAAGAACTAGTAGACCAACGCAGACTCTCTGACAAGTGTCGTCAGCTCTTTCTACAGCCTGAATGTGAAGAACCTAGTATACCTGTTTGTCAAAATTCCAACACATCTGATGCCTATTCAGCACAGTGTCTCAGTACAATTATTGAAGTTGAAGAGGGTACATTTGCCTTAAACAAAACACATGATGTTACATCTATCAAAATGAGGGATGCACTTTTGAATAAGACTCAAGATATACCAAAGAATAAAGTAACTGATGCCCTGGTGAATATTGATGACTTATCTTTAAATAAAACTCAGGAAATTCCTGTGGACAAGACGCAGAATATGACCATAAACAAAACACATGATATAGTCTTAAACAAGACTCAGGACATGCCTTTAAATAACACTCATGACTTACCATTGACTAAGAATCAAGGCGAGTCGGAGAAAAGGCCGGATAATTTCTCCTTGAACAAGATCCAAGACATGTTCCAAAAAGAGAATCAGGAGTCATCCTCAAATAAGATTAAGAAATTGCATTTGTGCAAAACCGAAGATTTGCCCATAAACAAGACTGAGGAGTTGCCAATTGTCAGAGCTCAGGATTTTTCCTTGAACAAGACTGAGGACTTACCCTTGAATAATACTCTGGATTTGTCCTTGAACAAAACCAAAGGCTTGTCTGTGAACAATAGCAATGACTTGTCCTTAAATAAAACCAGAGATTTGTCCTTGAACAAAACCAAAGGCTTGTCTATGAACAATAGCAATGACTTGTCCTTAAATAAAACCAGAGATTTGTCCTTGAACAAGGCTGAGGAGTTGGCAATGAACAAACTTGAGGATCTCCCTAAGAATAAAACTCAGGATTTATCTTTGAACAAGATCAAGGACCTGTCCTTGAACAGGTTTGAATATTTGTCCATGAACAAGACAGAGGACTTGTCCTCAAGTAGAACACAGATCTTCAACAAGACAAAGATTTTTCCCGGGGATGAGAATCAAGTTTACCTAGAAGATGAGAATTTTGATGTTACTCCAGCAAATCATAATAATGATAAGGAAACTATTACAGGTAGTAGTAATTGTACATATGTAAAATGTACTGAGGAGAAAGGTAAAGGTAATACCACAGAAGTACAAGTGACAAATTCTGAAATTAAAAATATCCACACCCAAGCTGAATATGTAGAAAATAAAAGCCATTTGATGAATGCTGCTACTTCAAAATCAACCGATAGTGAAATATTTCTCCAGTTTTCCCCACCATCCAAAGATCAAAATACTTCAAAGACACCTGATGTTCAGAAAGATGGAGGAGGACTTCTCTTCTTCAAAGTTTCTCCATCATGTTCAAAACGACTTCCAGAAGATCGTCCCAAGGGATTGTGGTCCAAGCGCATCAAAGTAAATCCAACTCCTGCTGTAACGGTCACTGTGTCATCTTGTAAGTCTTCTGGAAAGAGAAGAATAAACCCTGGAAAGCCATCTGTAGTGTCCAGCAAGTATAAAAGTCCTAGAAAAATAGTGACAGCTAAAAACAATGCAAAATTAAATCCACTACCAAAATATTCCACAGGACCAAGGAATGACAGCCAGTTAAAGCCTGAAGCTTACTCTTCTGTTTCAAGACCCCTAGGTAAGATGTAAATTTATTGTTGGAAGAGTATTGGAGGGCTGCCAGGGCAAACCAAAGGGGGTGATTTGAATTTTCGATCTGACCATCTTTCAGATAGTGAAAAAGAGTAAAGAAATTAAAATAATATTAAACTTTGATATTCAGTACAGTGTTTGGATATAAGAACTTGAATTCTTGGGTGATCGACATTCTGATTTGCAATTAGGATCTTTAAACATAATGTGATATATTTGAGGCTTATCAATAATTTTTCATTTTGTTTCAGTTTGCTCATGCCATAAATCTGAAGGATACTTAATTTTTGGGTACATAATTTAATGTAATTTTTTCATTTTTTTCTTTTCTTTTCTTTATCTCTAAACAGGTCCACGAAGATGTACTTCCAACATCAATTTGAGAAGAACAGCCTCAAGTTCTAACGTCGACTCAACCACTGCCGCCATTGGCCTCAGTACCTCTATCTCTGCCACTGATCTCACATCCACTTCTCGCAATAGTGATTCATTACCTACCAGTAATGAAGATTCTGTATGCCTTCTTCACTCTTCATCCACTGTAAATATTACAGCCTCCACTCGTCTCTCAAAGTCATCCTCTGCTTCTAGTCTTAACTCCACCTCTACTTCTGCTTTAAGTTTGTCAAATTCTAATAAAGGAGTCTACAGGCGACCAGTACTGAAGAAGAGTGTAGGATTAAGATTTCCTCATGCAAAGCTGACACACATCAAGTCTAACAAAACAACAGTTGTCCACCACCCAAATCCTTTTGCAGCAAAGTATGTAAAGTATTTGAGTGTTTTGTCATTTTAAACCAGTTGCTTTTGGGCTGAACATTGTGTGTTGTGTACATGTATGGACACAAAACTTTTGAACACAAGACTTCAGTTTCATATTTAATTTTGATAACTTAATACGGAAGTCTTTCTAGTTATGATGGGATTACATTAGCAGTGCTCTGTGACTTTTTAATCCTTGTGAGTGAAAAGTTTGGGGAAATATAACAATTAAGTTACCTATCCATCTCTGACACATTTTGCCTCCACATGATAAGCTTCCACAGACTTTAGTGGATTAATTTAGATATTAGTGTAAGAGTGCATTGCAACAGGTTCTTACTAGGGATTGTCAAGCATAGTTTGGTAACCTGGGTAATTGGAAGATGAACTCTTTTAGCTTGTGTGTGTGTGAGAGAGAGAGGCCCAGAACTTATAACTAAAGTAGTCTATCCTGCAATAATCCTCCTTTGCAAAGACAAAGCCTCTTTGAACTTGGATGAGTAAGCTGCTCTTACTTCTCATACTTTTAAGCTGTTAGGTAATGTAATGTTACTGGGTCATCCAGCAGCTATTTTGTGTCCTTTATGCCCATTTATTGGGCACATCCAAATCCTTCACAGATTTTTAACTGCTGGTTAACTGGTAGGGTTTTTCAGCTGGAGGCTTTTAGGGTGTTTCAACCTTTTCCCATTAATTCTGAGTTACATTTTTTTTTTCCTTCCTCATGAAACTCAAAATGATTTTAGAGAATTTTCTTCAGTCTGAAGCTTTGTAATGTAGTATACACAATTATAATAAAAGAAAATAATAATAATATTAAAATTAATAACAATATTTAAAAATAAATAATAATTATAATAAAAGAAAATAATAATAAAAATTTATAAAAAATTTAAATAACAATAATAACACCCCCTTGAAATAATAAAGAGCCATAAATAAAATAAAAATATCAATAGTGAGAAATGATATATGTGTGTTGTGTTGTCAATGGTAAGAGAAACAATTGAGACCCTGCAATTGTGTGTAAATAAGGCAGAAAGTCAGATCAGCAACCTGGGATTTGGTCACAATTTTTGTGATTCCATATGGCAGCAGGGTCTACCGTTAGACAACACATTATGCTTCTAATATCTTCCCAGGCGGTAGTACCTCCCTGTTTGATAGCTGCCTACTACTGCCACATACTTTAAATAGGGCTTGATATTTTATGTTTTATATCAATCGACTTGTTGCAGTTCTCCCCAAACCACTTTTGTGGTATAGCTATGAAATTATGGGCTATTGACACTATGGTTATGGAGTCATTTATCCTTATGTACGTTTTTTCGAAACACTGTATACCACCATCCCCGATCACTGTAATAAGTGGTATTCATGCAATATTATGAGTATGAAATGGTGCTCCATCATACTGTTATGCATATACCTTGCCTCTTTGGTGGGAACTCTTCCATAGTTTGCTATATCTTTGAATTTTAGGTTTCTTTTAGAAACTACAGTAGGTCACTGGGTAGGCATGTGTATCTTGTAGGTTGTTGTTGGGGTTAGGCCTTGGTAATTAAGTCCAATCTTGAGGTGGGATGTATTTCCAAGTAAGTGGCTGACCTTTCTAGGCCTAATGGTATGATAAATGTCTAGCAGATGGTGAATGCTAGAAATGGAAGATTGATCCTGATGTCCCATTTTCTAGAGAACCCCAAAGCTTGGTGGTTTGGAAACCCTCCCACCCCCTTGGTTTTGTGACTAAGCAGCAGGAACGGAAGTGTGGTCGTCTTAGCCCAGTTGCACCAGGATTCATTTGGGTTGGGTCAGGTTTGCATATGTTTGTAGGCAGCTGAGCTGGTTGCCATAGTGATTGCTTCATTTGATGGTCACAACTCAAAATTTGACTGCACTTCTTTGGAACAACTGTAATGTCCCCCTCTTTAGAAGTTGGCGGCATAGGGAAAAAGGAAGGGTAATTGGTTTATCCAAGGGATACAATGTCTACAAGAGCCACCTACCTTTGAATTATGTTAGAAAAAGGAATTTCAGGATAAAATTCATTTATTCATTATCTTAATAAAATGAAGGGGCTACAATGGCCAAGTGGATATAGTGCTTGTGTCCTGTCCTGTTCATGCTCAGGGTACCCACCTGTAGATGGGTACCTAACTGATATGTCATTTATGAATTGTTAACTCATGTTACACATATGTGGGGAATTTATGTGGTAAGAAACAGATTAAAGGTCTGTGTTTATAAGTACTAACTAAACAACTTGAAATTGTAATTGGAATATTACAGAAATACAATAACTATTTCTTTGTTTGACAGGAATATGTACTATGATGATCGGTGGATAGAAAAACAAATCACTGGGTTTACCAAGTGGCTAAATTTCATCTTAACCCCACCAGAGGAGGAAGATGTTGCATCTAAAGTGAAGAAAGGTAAGTAATCTTTAAAAATTTTACCTACTAGAAATCCATAAATATGTACTGTATCATTAAAGTGGAATTAAGTAGAGTGTGACATAAATGAGTTACTTTTTATAAGTCAAGGTTCTAAAGTTTAGTGTACAGTATATACAGAACTATGTCTACCTTTTATACTATTGTTTATTCTGTACCTCTCTTCTACAGTACATAGTAGTAGGAAGGGTGGGGATAGTGTGGGTGGGTGGGTGGGTGGCTCCGTTCCCCTCTCTCCCCCAAGTTTCCTTTAACACACCTTTGTGCAATTTCACTGTAATTCTCATATCATTAGAATCATTTGGTGCCGGGTTGATAAAATGTTTGTTTACAAGGGCAAGCAGGTGATCGGCCTCGCTCTTTCACCACTCATGCTTACCGCAACTTCTGTCTTCGGCTCTTAGTAAAATATAGTATTTCCATGCTAACCTGGCCCATAAACCATGCCCCTCTTCTATACTAATAACTGATTGGTTCATAGAAACTTCAAATTAGATTTATTCACAATTGGTAAGCAGATTTGTTATCTAAAATAATGTTAAATATCTGAGCTATCAAAATGCAAATGATTTCAAGGCATTAGCACTTCAGAGAGGATGTTAGAAATTTTAAAATATCATAAAAGGTCGTATAAATAGGGGCTTATACAGGAGAGGGACAGACCAGAGAACATCCATGCCTTCCTTGAGGTTAGCCAGTGGACATTTAACTTGCTCATGTCCATATTCTTGTAGGCATGCGGCTTGCGGGCTTTGTGGATCACGGACAACTTTAGCTTAGCAGTGCCAGAGGCATTGGTGGTGAACAGTACGGTGATGCGCTCCTTCTGCATTTTGCGTTCCCGACACTTGACTACGAAGGTCTTGGATGGAAATTTCTTCTAGTACAACTCTGATTCATCCATATTGAACACTTGGTTGTCGGTGTACTGGCCTTCTTCCATAATTTCCCGTAAAAATGGGGGGAAATTTCCTGGCGGCAGCCCGGTCGGCACTTGCTCCTTCTCCGACTATCTCAATATTTGTGATCTTGTTGCGTCGTTTAAAACCTTGCAGCCACCCAGCGGAAGCACTGAAGGGCTTGGGCTCCTCAACCCACATTTTTCTTGCTACTGCTGTGTAGAGTTCCCGGGCGTAGTCCTGCAGTGCCCAAGTGTCGACCGCCAATTTCCTTCTTGACTGATGAATAATGTAGCTTACCAACAAACTCTCACTCTTCAGCAGCACCTTATTGTGGCAATATTTAACCAGCGAGGAACCTACAGACTTGGTAATGTTCATGTGTTCATTGATATTGCCGGCATCCTTCTTGATAGTGCGGATCGTCGATTCATTCACTCCATATTGTCTGGCCAGATCCACCTGTCTCGTGCCTTTTTCTAACTCCTGGACGATCTTGTACTTTACTTCATAGCTTAAGGCTTGTGGCAGCTTGGGCCAGGTAGTTCATGGCTTCTCGGGGGTGGTGGGGATCCAGCGGAAGCCATTGTGTAGAAAGAAAAACAAAACCGGTTCCTGGGCACGAGTAAATATACCCGAGGACAGTGAGACTGACGCGGCGGTGGAGAGCAGGGGTGGCAAGGATAACTAGACCAATCACAGCTCGCGGTGGAGGGGGTGCGTGGGTGGTAAGGATACGTGGCCCAATCACAGTCTGCGACGTCACCGGCGCGAGTCTGATGTCAGCGCCCAGCACCTTGCCTTGCCGCGTATATGATGGAATTTACCTTGTAAATAATAATTATCTCTTCTGACAGGTGCCGAGTAAGTGGCCTTCTGCGTAAAAAATATTCGCATAATCCCAGACTATACTGTACAGTATTATGCATCTGCATATTCCCTGGTTTATTCTTTAATAATTTGCCTAAATATACAAGTAGCCAAATTGAGTCTTCATTTATCTCTCAAAAGTAATAAATAATATTAGGAAGGCAACTCCACATCAAATACAGTACAAGTAATATCTCCATTAGCCAGAATTCCTCTTAGCCGGAACTCGCCAATAGCCGGGATTGAAATTTGCATGGAATTTTTTGGAAAATTCTGGGTTTGGGAATATTTTTCTGAGGGGCACATTTTCTGGAACATTCCGAGAAAATTTTCACAGTACAGCATGCCCTTAAAATTTGCGTGGGTTAGGTTCTCAAAATGGCTGTGCATAGCCAAATCCGCAAATAACATTTGCTGACCAGGGGGGGGTACATTTTTACTTGTGTGCAAAGAAATGTATATTCCCTTTATGTGTTTGCCCTTAGGACCATATTTCTTTTACCTGTATTTTATATATGTGTGTGTGTCTACACACACATATACAATCCAGGTAAAAGAAATTACAGTCTCTAGAACGAATGGTTCCCTGTCCCGGCCGCGAAAATGCCAGCAACTTTAAAACAACCCTTAGACATTCTTAGGTACATCCAGGGTGTCGTCTTCGAATAATTGAGGTGCGCGAATTGTCAGGGCATGCTGTACTAGGAAGGCAGGCCTACCAACATAATGCAGGAATCATAATTAGTGATTGGAAATATTCGTCCATTGTGACACATTGTATCGATGAGAAAAGGGGACTATACAGTACTTTTTTGGGAGAGTGTACATTTCATGTCTATAATTATAACCAGTAAATTTGTTGAATTAGATCTATTACATATGAATGCACTCTATCTGATCTTGTGAGTGACAACTATTACTGTCTGGATAAGAATAGCTATGTAGGTAAGATTTGCATTTTTTAATATATATTTTACAAGATGAAGGCTTGAAAACAGTTGTAGTTTCACAATGTTATGTACCAATATTTTTAGGGGTAAACAGGAGTAGCAAAAGACTTAACATTGTAGTTGTAACTTATGAATAGAAACCATTTCATGAATTATCATCACACTTCTACAATATCAGAACTGTACTGTACTTGCTTAACACTTCAGATTTTATTCTACCTATTTTCTATAACTTGCATTTTCAGTTGACATGGGCAAGCTGTGGTCAGAAGCAACAAAGAGCAAGTATATTAAAGTTGCACCCACTAAAGAAGTTATGTCCTTGAGGGCTTACACTGCAAGGCGAAGGTTGAACCGGCTGAGAAGAAAGGCATGCCAGTTTTATCAGAGCCCAGAGGTCGTAGAGGTTGTAATGAAGCTTGAAACAGCAATAGACAAGAAAATTTTGGTTATTCGAAAAGACAGAATGACCCATGCTGATGTTGGTAAGTATGTTGGCTGTTTTGTTGTGAATAGGGATTGATAAAAGGGGATGTTGAATATCTGCTGTTAAGAAGAGTGTGAGTGATGTTGCACTGAGTCAATGACAACTTGTATTTGTTTGATGTAAAAAAAAAAAATATTGAAATCTTCAGTTCCCTGATGGATATTTAAATTAAAAGTGTAAACTGACTAACAGATAGATACTTTTTATTCTCTGGCAAAAAAGTAATGATTATGGAAGGTACTTGGTTTCATTTGGCAGCAGATGCATTTTGTTATTCTTATATTTGCATATACAAGTATTTATCTATTTACAGGACAATACATATGATAGTGGAGTTAGGTACAGAGACAGTTGCTACAGAAAGATATTTGGGGCCGAGTCATGGAAGGGGAATCCATACCAGAAAATACATTACAACAGTAAAAGTAAATAAAAGTATTGTTTTCAGGTTTGAAGCAGACGATGCTCCAACTAGTTCTCTGTTACAATCCTCTTTGGTTACGCATCGGACTGGAAACTATATACGGTGAATTGCTAGACCTCAACAGCAACAGTGACATTACTCATATTACTCACTTCCTCATTACCAGGTTAGTACAGGTTCCAAATATTTATGAGTACTGTGAATGACAATCTATTGATTTATTTTTCTCAGTCCTTGCATTTCCTGATTTGTCTTTAAAAAAAAAAATTCTAATAAGAGGGGTTCTTATCTTATGTATGATACCTCTTTCCTCTTTGTAGTCACCCCTCACACATGACAGAAGAACCTCCAAGTTATCAAAGTCCTAATATTCACTTGCATACCTTTTTTTTTTTTTTTTTACTTTACTGCAGGATGACTAGAATCATGAGCAAAAACAGACCTTCCTTAACTTTTAAAACAAATTTTCTTTTTATTCTAGGCTATTGACTAATCCAGACATAGCAGCTCAGTATGCCCATCCAACAGTTCCTCATTCCTATCGTGCTGGTTATGAGGAGTCCTTAAAAAATTTCCAACTGAAGAAGTTCTTGATGTTGGTGTTTTTCTTAGATCGTGCTAAAACTTTGCGTCTCATTGATCATGATCCCTGCCTATTCAACAAGGAGGCTGAGTATAAGGTATGGTTAATGGTGTAATGTCTGTATACTGTACTGTATATGATTGACCTTGGTTTGTTGAAATGTCTGTTTACTGTACATGAATTGATTGACCTTGGTTTGTTGTAGTGCTAGTACAACCCTGGGGAAAATATTAATTGTTGAAATCATTTTACTGTTCTATGATCTGTTATCTTCCTTCGATGACCTGTACTCGCATATGATTGCTTATACCACGATGTAGATATGTACACACTGATCCCCCAGATTGTAATTCCTCCCCTGACTCAAGCTGCTCAGCCAACTGCTGCTTGACTCTCCTTATTCAATAGCTGTAGTTTATCACTGCAATTCTTGTAAAGCAGTCCAGATGTGATTTGGTCAAACTGTTCCTTTGTTTTCTCTTCACAATATTCATTAATGAAAATGTCAATTCACATATGTATCCTTTTGCTCACACAGCTTCAAAGCTGGATAGTCTGTCAGCGACCATATTCCAGAAGTAGATAGCTGTTCTGAGTTCAGCTTTCAGGTTGTCACTTGTCTGCAACTCAACAATCTCACGTTTAATTGCAGCATGGTCAGGGGAGAGGTCTGTGATGACTGGGGTCAAAGATGACACTGGTACATGAAAGAGGTTCTCAATGAAATTGAAAAACTCTTTGTACTCTATTATATCATAGAATCTTGATTCAAACTCCTCCCTCAACTCCTCCAGTACTTCTTCTAATGCATCTTACCTGAAATGTTGCAAAAGTTCTGGATCATTTCTGGTGGTTAAGAGCTTTGGGAAGCAAACAAATTGTCTGTCAGGTATGAACAGTGCTGTCAGCTTGTTTTGGAATGCAGTGACCAATGCAGCATGTTACTGGATGTTTCTTTCCCATGCTGCTGGAGATTCAGTGCATTCAGGTGATGGGTGGTATCAGTTAAAACAGCCATCTTTATTATCCACTCTGGATTCTTCAAGACCTTTCAAATTTGAGAGAGAAGACTCAATAGTCACTCAAGTACTCTGCCACGAGACAATCATCTTGTATTCCTCCAGCAGTTCGTGAAACTGGCGGTGATTGTGCTCACGAAACAATGAAATTGACCACCTGTACAATCAGCTGCATCACATTTTGTAATTCAGGGTTTTGAGTTTTGCCAAAAGTGCCTTCTGGTGAAGGAAGCAATGAAGAGTGGCCAAGTTGGGGATTGCTCCTTCCTTACCATCTGTTTCCCTCACATGTTGGGGGTGCCATCAGTGCACACAGGTGTGAGATTTGACCAGTTCAAGTTATTCTCACATAAAGGCTAGAAGTTCTGTAAAAAAAATCCTCTCATTTGGCCTTGTACAGGTAGTTGTAATAAACACAACAGCTCTTTCCAAAGTGGGTCTTCTTTTGGAAACTGGACCCATACACAACTTAGTGACATCACACATACCCATGCTTTCACCCAGTGCCATGCTGAAACATGATGCAACTGATATATCTGCATTTAACTGGCCACAAATGGCATTACCAATTTCTTCAATCTTTCTTATATCTGATAGCTGTAGTCCTCTTATTTGCTCTAGGATGCATCTTTGTTATTGAAGTCAGCATATATTATTTCTGATGTGGCCAAAAGAAAAAAGAAAAACTTAACTATCTCTGTGTTGGTAAATGCCTTCTTTATGCCTGGTCAAGATCCATACAATTTGAAATATTACCTCTGCCAAACTAATTGGTAGAAGTTGATCTGTGAATCAGTTTTTGTGCTTGATCTTTATAATTATGTAGAATACAGTAATATCTCTGTTAGCCGGAATTCTCCGATAGCCGGGATTGAAATTTTCACTGAAAATTTTTACCAAAGCCGGAATTTTCCGGCTTTGGGAACGATTTTCCGAGGGGCACATTTTCCGGAAAATTCTGAGAAAGTTTTCCCAATGCCTGGAAAATTCCGGGGATAGGGGATTTTTTTTTTCTCTCTCTCTCCGGGATTGAGAGATGAAAATCAGGCGCATTTTCTGGAAATTTTGAGAAAATTTTTCCGTTACCCGGAAAATTCCAGGATGAGGGTTTTTTTCCGGCTTTGAGAGTCATCTCATTACAGTACCCAGAAATCTCATTCCCGGAAGTGCTTTGCACCAATTGTTCCGGCTAACGAGGATATCACTGGGGAGTGTATATTTTTTTTTTTTGCGAGCTGCAAATCAGGTTGTCATGAGCTGCGGAATGAGTACCATGGTTATAGAGCATGATGATCAAATGGCAGCTGCCGAATTGAGTCCCACATCTGGCAACTTAATGGGGGAAGTGATAGATGGTAGGGTGTAGCGGTTAGTCTTCAGTTTGCTGTACTACACTGCCTTTAATGATCTATTAGACATGTGATACCTACTTTACCTTTTTCGAGGGTATGTTGGGAGATTTTATTCAATGAAAGAAGGAATATGGTGTATGCATTCAATGAATAAATGCATATTCATTTAACAACTGTATTATACAGCAGCTGAATAAGTGTGAGGAGCCATGGTATATGTGTCACGTTTTCAAGTTGCTTGTTACCCTGAAATTTTATTGTAAAATTGAGGATATGTGGTGGTACTCTTGATTTGACTGCTTTTGATTGAATTCAACCCTCCTTGGGAGAGCAGTCAAAATAAATGGATATCCATAAATGAAGGTTAAATATGTGTGTATTTGCCTTTGTTTCTGGATACCATGCATTAAACAGGAGAAGGGGAAATATTTGAATAATGGGAATGATTATTGAATAGAATGTCCATGTATTGAATGTTGTTTTGATTCCTCTGTGTATATTAATTTTATTTACAACTGGTGATGGTTGCATGAAATATTTTGAACACACAATGAAATCTTAACTTGACCAATGTATTGTATCTTTCAGGCAAGCAGAGATATCCTGATTGCCTTTGCCCGTGAGTTTCTTTCTGGCATTGGGGACATAACCAAGCACTTGGCTTATCTGGGCTACACTGTCAGTCACAAACAAACTGTCTTGGAAGAATTTGATTATGCTGTAACAAACTTGCCTGTTGACTTACGCTGTGGAATTAGATTGACGTAAGTGCATATCTGTGTAGTTTTGTTTCAACTGCATATACTGTATTTGATTGGTCTCATTTGTGCCACTTCCTGTCTCAGAAGAAGCTGGTGCAAAATTTTGTCCAGAAACCATTAATGACACTTCTCTCATACTCACTCTTACATTCTCTCATGAAATGTGGTACTGCAATCTGTGTTCTTAATCGTCATTTTAACACCCTCTTAGCCACTTTTGCCATATCCAATCTATATTTGATGCCCATACCAAATGTGAAGTTAAAATTTACTCAGGAACTAAAGATTATCTCCATTGTCTTCTTTTTTTTTCAAGGGGAATTTCCATGTGTGTGTTTGTACATGCATGCAGAAGTGAGTGCATGCATGCATGCATGTTTTTTCCCCTCCTGTTGTCTGCTGTCCATACTATGCAGTCTCTTGGAGCCTCTGGTCAAATACTTACCTATGTCATTCTTGGCTTCCCCTTATCTCTTCTCCCTTCCACATTCAAACCCAGTTGCTCTTCCTCATCCTCTCCAAATGCCCAAACCATCTCATTCTGCTTCATATTAACACTTTGTGTGCGGGGTTGCCTCTTGGCTGAATAAAATTGTTTGGCATTCGCCATATAAAATATTTAAACTGGCATCCTGGTAGTGAAGGGCGTAAAGGGTTTAAAGATAATTAGTCTTATTATCGTCTGCACTGCAGCAAAATAATGGTGGAACAGTTTCCATGGAACAGAGAAAAATACATAGCAAAGGCTCAGAATTTAAAAATAACTGCATGAGTAGCATAAATGAGCTACAAATATGCCTGTGAATGAGTGGAATTTCAGTTTGATAGAAAGATGTTTTCATTTGATATCACTTTCAAGTGCTTGTAATCAGTTGTGGGTGACTATAGACTCTGAGACAGGAACAATATTGTGGATTGTTGAGAAAGGCCAGCAGCTCCTCAGGCAGTGAACTGTCAATACAGGATTGAAGTCCCTCCTGTCCTGTAGAGCACATCCATTTATATGCATTCTATTTCTGTTACAGTATTAGTGGATAAGTCCAAGTTCAACTTTTAGTCTTGTTTCCTACTTTCTCTTGTACTTATACCTAGTTTTATTCTCACTGTTACCACTTCAGCTGCCATTGCAGTAGTCTACTTATTTCATTTACTTCTTGTGGTATGAATTTCTCTTTGGCATTGGGGTTAATATTTTGTAATTCGATGTTGATTGTCTTCTAGATATTAAGTTCATCCTTCCATGTTTGATTTTTTTGTTTCTCCACTTATGGGAATTACTTCTGTTTTGATTTGTTCATTTTTGAACTGGCTTTTGTTAGATGCAATCCCATCTCATGAATGATGTTTTTAGGGCAACTTTTTAAAAAGCTCTCAGATACATTTATCATTGGCAGAGCTCAATAACTGTATGGGCATATGTAAGTACACTTGAGCCCTTCGTCTCATCTTGTTTCATTTGGGTGATTAATAGAATCGGGAAGAAAACACTTCCTTTTTTAACACCTATATTTATTGTAAACCAGTTAATACCAGTTTGTGTGTGTGTGTGTATATATATACAGGTTGACAATCCCTTATCCGAAATCCTTGGGGCCAGAGGCATTTCGGATTTCGGAATTTTACGGTTTTCAGAATGGTTAGGTTTTTTTTTTTTAGCCCACCCGGGCACAAGTCACTGATCCACATTGGGGCCTAGGGGGCGAACATATAATAATAATAATAATGATAATAATAATTCAAAGGTCTGGGTCGTGTTTTTCACTTTTTATCTTTTTTCATTCTTGTATTTCTTAATTATTATTTTATTAATACAGTATTATTGTTATTATTTATTATAAATTTTATTATTATATTTTATAATTATTATTGTTATCATTATTATTATATTTTGGTGTATTTTTTAATTAAAAATTTTATTTACTATGAATAATTATTATTATTATAATTAGTATTACTATTACATTTTCGCCCCCTAGGCCCCGATGTGGGTCAGTGATCTATGCCTGGGTGGGCTAATCCCTGTAAAAAAAAATAAAAACAAAAAAAATGCTCCACAAAAAAACTTTCGGTTTTTGGAATTTCGGATAAAGGGTTATCAACCTGTATGTCTGTCTATGTCTATCTATCTATCTACCTATCTATCTATCTATCTATCTATCTATCTATATATATATATATATATATATATATATATATATATATATATATATATATATATATATATATATATATATATATATATATATATATTGTATCTAATGTGTTTGTCATTAGGCGTGTGATGGAAATGCTGACCCAGAACTTCAATTTGAGCTGTAAGTTACGTGTCCCAGCAATCAGCCGACTGCAGAAGATTCACAATACAGACATTACAATGGCTGCTTTAGAGTCGTCAGGCTGTGTTGGAGTTAAGGCCAAGTTCCCATCCAAGGATATTGTAGATGGTCATCGGGAACAGACACTCGCACTGCTCTGGACTATCATTTTCAAGTTCCAAGTGAGTGTTTTTTCCTAGCTCAGATTTTTACTCTACTAACAGAGCTGTATCATCTACATATAACAAAATCTGCTCCATGTTAACCAATTAAGCCCACCTCTTCAGTATACATAAGTGTTCAGTCTTGGCTTACTTCCACATTTATGTTAAATAATTCATTCATAACATCTAGTATAGGCACTACTGCCTCTGTAAACTTGCTACAGTACTTCATTTAACCATCTTTCATGCACACCCTAAGATCCAGAGCTTACAAAATATCATGTGTATTAACTATATGTATGTGCTTACATAAGTTACCAATTGTATGTTGAAGTACAGTAATCCCGTGTTTTTCGTGGGAATTACGTTCCTGAATCCCCCGCGAAAAGACAAAACTGCGAATACTTTTTTAGGAATCACTGAACCTGTGACCACCAAACTGCTCAGGTAGGTCATGCACTTAACCACGCCATGCTCTCCACTCACGGCCCAGTGGTCACACTGATCACTGATGCACTGTACCAGCATTTACTAACATCATTATTTGAAGCTAATCATATTATATTATAATAATGGAAAAACGTAAACACAGTAATATACAAAAAAAAATTATTTACAAGTAAATAATTTTTTTTTTATTTCGCTGAGGTCGGCAACACCCGCATTGCCAGCCTCTCTCTGCTGTCCCGGCATCTGCCCGCCCTCACACGTTCACAGTACTGTAGGCACGTGGTGACTGAGGCTTCTCGGAGCAGCTGGTGTTTGAGGCGGGAAAGGGTGGCGTCTGTTTGCTGCACTACACAGGAATATCGACAACGACGCTAAATTTATTATTATTATTTTTTTTTTTTTTTTTAGGATATTTTATATATACAGTCAGTCCTCGACTTACGACGGGGTTAGGGATCGACGACCAGATCATAAGTCGAAAATGCGAAAAAAATACATAGAAAATCTAAAATGAAATACGGTACAGTAAAGGTAATGAAAATTGAATAGTGTTACTGTGTACTTACCTTTAATGTAGTCAGCTGAATGCACATGGGGCCTCAATAATTTTTTAATTAAACATGGAGACTACATTATTTGGATGAAGCAGAGGAGGAGACACGGCTGGGTGGGTCATCAATTTCGCTTTCTTCAGACAAACTAACATCTAAGTGCATCCTGGATCTGTCTGTCAACTTTTGCAAAACACGTAACATTTTGATCCATTTCTTCAAACATTTGCATCCCTTTATTAATACAGGGTAGTAGCAAATGCCTCTATCTTGTCCTTCGAAATTGTTGATATCGTCGAGTGAGAGAAGCCAAGGTCGCGTAAAATGGTTGCTACCGCTTTTCCATTTTCATATCGCATTATTATTTTCATTTTCATCTCAAAAGTAATTGACTGTCTCTTTCTTCTGAGCACCACCAGAACTCTCACTTTTACTCTTGCCAGTAATTTTAAAGGGAATTAGAAACGAAAATTTTGTCAGTACACAGCACGATCACTACACCAACGACTGCCAAACACCAACTGAGCAGGCTACGGTGTGGATGCTGCACACCACGAGGCGACCCAGCCCACGCCATGCTTTAGTACGGGATGGAAACGTTTCGGTACTAGAAAATACGTACGTAATTTGAAAAAAATTTTATACGACTGCGGTGGTCGTATGTCCGGGTGGTCATAAGTTGAGGAGTACCTGTATAAAAATTTTTAGTAAAAAAATAGCGAGTGGTTAAAACCACGATAAAAAAAAGCGAGAAACACGGGATTACTGTACGTTATTAATTCAATAACAACTGTATTTTCTTTTCTGTGGGCAAGTTTTCTGGGAAATATATATTTTCAAAATGTTAGGAAAAAATCTTTTTAGTTTATTTAAAAAAAAGGCAAAGTCTATGTTTTACTCTCATAATTAATCATAAGGTGTAAAGTTTGCATGTTTGTGATTATTCAAGTTGAAAAACAAATGGCAAATATGATTTTTTTTATTAAATTGTTAGTATGTAGAGTATTGATATATCATATTGTTTAGGTTTGCAAATGATAGCTAATAACCAAATGTTCTTCAAATTCACTGCTCAGTGAAGTTTATTTATTTAATTTTTTTTTTATTTTTAATTATTTTTTTTTTTTTTTTTTTGCTCAAAAACTTTTAAATACCTTAAAAATTGATGATAAACAGGTAATACAGTATTTGGTAGAAAAATAGTTATAATATTTCTGTAGCAGGCTATACAGTATAGGTGACTGTCATTTTGTTTGTTTTTCTGGTGTGATATGTATCTATACGAAATCATACAAATAACTTTCATAATCATTATAGGTCTCTCTAATGGTATCTGAAGACCGTCTGCGTGAGGAGATAGCCTACCTCCACAGATCCCTTGTTGTGCACTCTCAACTGGAAGAACCTGCCCGTGCTGGTCTAGGATTTGTCTCGGAGGCAATTACAGAATTAAGCCAGCTACCTAATAAAGAATCAGGAACAGTGGACAGTGTACTGGCTTGCCTAAAGTTGTGGGCCCAGTTTTGCTGTGCACTGTATGGATTGGAGGTAAGTGTGTGTGTGTGTGTTTGTTTGTTTGTTTTATAGATCCTCTGAATATACAAAGAACACATCGAACTGTGCATATCTGCACATTTTTTCTGTCTTTCAAGTTCAATAGAATCAGGCAAAAATATACTTCATAGGACATCATGATTATTTTTTAAAATTTGTCTGCATTCTTGGATTAAGCACTTAAGAGTTTCAAATTGGTTGATTTATCTATGTAGACAATGTTTTTATTTATCTATTATCTAGCCACTAAATTGATCATTAGATTCTGTCTTCATTTTTCATGATGGGGTTTGTAAGTTCAGTGCTGCAAGAAGTAGTGTAATTGGATTTAACATTTAGAGTAGAACAATGAAATTTCATGTTCCTAAAAATTTTAAACTCCCAGAGTCCAGTACATTAGTGATTACCACCAGTTTATTGTGTGCTGTTGTAGTCCATGACACCACTTAGTCATTATGCTTGCTGTCTGAATAAGTGGCATTAAAACTCCATGCTTTTTTCAGTTATTTGCATTATAATTGTCTAGATATTATTTTTAAAAATTATTTTGGGCTCCAAAAGTGTCCAGTTGATAGTGCCAAGTGTAGTGTTGAGAAGAGGAGGCATAGTGCATATTGGCCAACCTGTCCTTGATAGGTGTAAGTGTACAAATGGTTTAAGCACCAATGCAAAGCTGGTGTACTTAGTTCTGAGACATCTGTGTGAAAAGGCCAATCAGTTCAATATTTTAAAATGGGAGCTTTTTGGCTTTACACCTGAATGTTTGCATAAATTTAAGTTGATTCTTGGGATTCACTACAAAATGAGTTGAAAATTTTGGCCCATATTTCGAAAATCGATAAAGATTTTAAATCACACATTACTGTGTCCCTGGGAGGACTGATTTTTTATGATTTTCTCTACTGCATCTTGAAGTGATGAGGCTTATTTATCATGGATATAATCTTTGAGTGTATATTGTGGTAGTATTGTACTATAGCTACAGTGCACTCATTACATGTGATTCAGTTTAAGTTGAGAACATTAAAGCTAATTTTTCAAGTAACTCATTAGGAAGAAAATACGAAAATAAAGTATAAAAGTGACAATGGATGACTCGTTTTCTTACCTTATCCAATTCCAGATTGATAATCTCACTGTGTCATTTTCTGATGGCCGAGCATTTTGTCTTCTTCTTCACCATTATTATCCTGACCTGATTCCTATGGACCTTATCAACTGGCAGACTACACAGAACCTACCATCTCAGGTAAGTCTCATGGTCAGATTTCTCATTTAATTTCAAGTATGTTAGTCTGGGTTTTCTGCAGCAGGACCACAGTGAGTAAAGGTTCCTGAAACTGGAAATTTACCATTCTTTGACTGCACAGAAAATAACATTGTGTATACAGTAATTTCCCTTGCTTTACAAAAATTGGCTTATACTGTATGAATTTTCTAAATTAACACTTCTTTTTCATGTTACGAAAGCTTCCCCGCTTATAGGGATTTGGGTCCAGGCAAAAATTCGAATCGCACTCCCCGGGAATCAACTAGGGCAGCCACATCCACCTAGCCCCCTCTCTACCGGGCTGAGGTGGGAGTTGTTCCCCTCCTTCCTTGGTCTTCTGAGTTACCTTGGCAAACAATTTAGCCAAAGAAAACTTCTTTGAACGTTAGTCTTTTTGTAGATGATCATGTCATTTAATGCTCACAAAACTTTAATACCATGTGGTACATGGTATGCAATGGGATCCTGACCAAATTTACTGTTGTATATAATCTTCCCCCCCCCCATCCCCCTCATAATTTAGACATTGATATTGTAGAAGTACTAAAAAGAAGTATAACTCTTGTCTGTCTGTCTTTGTGGGTGAGGGATCGGATAGTGGAATCTCATAGGTAATTTGTGTTGTTAATATTGTTATAGTATCCCCTCCTTCATATATCTGATGTTTTCCCACAGGGAGTTGATTTGGACATGTCACTGGATGACAGCTTCATTGAAATGACATACACAGACACAAGTACTAAAGAAGATTACAACCGCAGGCTTGCGAATGAAAAGGACAATTTTGCTGTTTTCACTGACAAGGTATGTATTGTCTCCCAGGTATTATTTTTTAAGGTCATTACATCACTTAGGTATCTTGCAGTTTGCATTGTTCAGGATTTAACATTATTATTAGTACAGTATTAGTGTATTGCAAGGCTTACAAAGATGTTCCTCCCCAGTAGGTGCCCCCATGTAGTGGTGGGGAAGCTTGAGGTTCTGAAATATGTTCTCCACAACAGATGCACTGTTAAGATTTGAATCAGTTGTGTGTCAAGTGTATGTCTGGACCATCATCATCTGGCAGTATTTTTCAATACAGAAAAGGCATACGATGCAGCCTGGAGGTTTGGGATGCGAAAGAGCTCCATCACTGTGGACTCAAGAGGACGGATGCCCTGTTGGGTACCTCACTGTCCAGATCAGTTTGCCAGATGGAGGGGATACCACAGGGCACAGTCTCAAGCATGGCCCTTTTTTGCCATGGCTATTAATGGTGTCACCCAATGTCTTCCACCAGGAGTTTCTAGCATGCTCTGTGTAAATGATTTTGCAATTAGTTTTTCGTCATCCCACCTATGTGTTGCCGAGGGACAAATTCAATTAGCACTGAATTGGGTGTCCTGATGAGCAGAGGAGTGGGGCTTCAGATTATCAACTTCAAAGACTGTAGCCATGCATTTTTGCCAGCTTTGGGTTCCCCATCCTGACCCCGACTTGACATATGGTGCCCACATTCTGGTGGCATCAAAAATTTTTATAATCCTTTCTCTTTCTTTTCTCATTCTTTCTTTCTCTTTGTCTACCTCTTTTTCATAGCTAAACAATACCTGTGGCTGTTGTCCATATTTACTATAAAGTAGACAAGATGCATGGAGACTCCTTCAGGCAAATACTATCCTTACATGATTTTGTATAGTACTCCACTCATCTGTGTATGGTACTCAGTCCTTAGAACAGATCTAAGTTTTCTTAAGATATGAAAGCAAATACTTCAAACCTTGAGACAAATTATGAAATATGGATCTAGACTGAACTTAATTTATCTGTTACTCCAGTGAACCAGAAGTTATGTGGGTCTTTATTGAGAAAGAATAAAAGTTTGATTTAAAAATATATTTTTCTCAGTAGTGAGTTAGTCCAATTTGACAAAGGAAATATTTAGTGGCATTGCAGGACAAAATTGGATTAAAAAGTGATGCATGTTCATGGTGGTAAAATGTAGTGAGGATAACGCAATTGATACATGTCTATATTCTTGGGGTTTGATTGATAATTTTTCTTTTTTCTTGTATAGGTATCTCAGCTGGATGGAATCCCATTACTGATCCGAAGCAGTGATATGATTAATACAATTCCCGATGAAAGAGTAACGGCAACCTTCTTGGCATACTTGTGTGCCCGACTTCTTGATCTCAGTGAAGAAATAAAGGCTGCCAGAATTATACAGATGGCTTGGAGGAAACGGCTTGCAGCCAAGAGGCTAGAACAGCTGAAGGTAAAATATGGATAAAGTCAATTCAGTCAATTAATTATTTGAATCTCAGGATTACTCCAAAGTTTGTTCGTCTTTCATCATCTATTCTCATTTCATGAACTTACACAGTACTGTACTGTATAAAGTGCCTTAATGGGGGTACCAGACAATGCAGTTTATTTTGCATAATGTTTTACATAATTTTAAGAAGGTAATGATCTTTTGAAAACACTGTACATGAGACACTAGAATTCTTATTTAACATGTATAGAAAGCACAGTAATCACTTGCCAACCTTTGGGTTATGTTCTAGAATTTTCATGTGGTTGTCAAGGACTGGGTCTAATGGGAAGTAAGGGTTTAGGAAAGGACCCCTGAGAGATACAGTATACCTATAGTTCTGTAATGTACATCTCAAGGTTAGAAATAAGTACAGGCTGTGTGCTGTACTTAAAAAACCTTTTATTGTACTGCATAAGAAATCTATGCAGTATATTACAGGTACAGGTATTTAGAAATTTATAAAAAAAGATGTAACATAGCCATCTCTCCTGACCTTGATGCTCTCCCTAGCTACACAAATATGTGTACTGAGTTTTTATACCATACTGTACAAAGTTCTCATACTTAGATCTGTGTGTCTGGCAACTGCTAAGCCTTTTTTCTTCTTTTTTCGTACATTAATTTTTGCTTATACTGTACAGTAACGTAATTAAAATTTTTGTTGTCATACGGAAATGTAAAATATTCTAAACATAAAATTCTCTAATAATTCAAGGAATTTTTCATATTAAAATGTACAGTACTGAAACATTGTAGATAAATTAATGTTTTTAAATTTTGCCAAAAAAAAAATTCTGGATTGAACAAAAAAGCAGTATTACTTTTTTTTAAATGTGTGTGTAAACAGACAGTTTTGGGTGATAGTGACTAAGCAGGGTGGCTGCACCAGGACTACAGGGGATGTAGCTGCTTCTCCTGGGTGTTAAGGGGTGACTATTACCAGCATAATAGAGGGCTTATAGTAATATGAAAAATAAAAACCAGGAAATTGATTTGAAATGGATAGAGAAGGAAGAGAACCTGGGTGGGGTAGGGGGGGAGAATTCGCCTGCAGTGGCCATGGAAAACTGCAGCTACTTAAAACTGGATACCATGGTTGGTGAAATGGTGCACAAAGTATAAAACGTGAATAAAAATGAACTCAAAACCGCAGTTGGTAGACCCATGACTGGTGAGGGATTACTTTATATATTGTGCATAACAAAACTAGAATTCCAGGTTTGATGGACGTAGGTTCACTGTGTTGTGCATTTGATATAACTGTTGTTCCTTTGAGGTTCTGCTTAATTTTTTCCACTTTTTTAAACTATATTTTTACCTGTAATTGCTTAATATTAGGAAATAGTAACCAAGGGTAAAATTATGTTCACCAGTGAGTTTGTATATTCTTTGAACTTAAGAGTACATGTACTATACAGAATTTTGTTTACACAGTTTTGAACTTTTGATCGTGTGAGGGAAAGGCATTGGTTGATTATCTTATTTGGACATAACTTTACTTATAATATTGATACTAGTAGTTCAGTTATTTTGTATAAGAATACAGTACAGTAATACCCCGATATACAGATTTACGCGGTCAATTGAACCCACAGAGGTCCGTGTAAAACGAGAAACGCGTTAATGGAATAACAGAACATATGGGATTAATTGAAATAGAGACTGGGCCGACTCCCAAACTCCACTTTTTCCGACACAATACCTATGTTCTAGTAAAAATAACATCTTAATTTTATGATGGTACGCACACACAATTAATATTTAAGAGAAATACAGTCTCCAGGTTAATGTCCATTCAAATAATGGACTCATCCCCCCCACCCCCCACCCCCCCTCTCTTCTCACGCTCGCTGGCTCCTCCCTCTCTGAGAAATGTTTGGGTGAAAACTAAAGTTAGGATAATATAATTGACATTGCTGGATTCCTTGCAAGACCAGGAATATTTTGAATATACACGTCATATATTTTGCACAAAAGATAGCATATTTGCTCTGAGTAAACAAAATTCTTACATTAGATCTAAAATTTGTATGTCTAATGCAAAATCTATGATGTTTATATTCAAAATGATCATCAAATTGTAAGAATTCCAGCAATGTAAATTATATTCTGGCCGGGTAATTTGTATGAATTTTGTGAGCTAAATAAAAAAAATTTACTTCACCCGCGTATATGAGTAGATGCACCGCGTAAAGTGGGAATTCCGGTTCTGGCAGGGTACCGCGTAAATGTAAATGTAAAAACGCGTAAAGCGGGGTATTACTGTATTCATTTATTTTGTGTGCTGTAGTGTCATATTAGAAATTAAGGGTGTATTTATACATTTGTCTATTTACATTGTGTAATTTTTTCCTCCCTTCTTAAAGTAGTGTACAGCACATCACGCAGATTGGTCTCTGGTCTGTATTAGTTTGTGAATATTTCCGTACAATCATTTTTTCATCGCATTTAAACACCATATCTCTTATTTTAGATAATACAAAGGTAACCAAAAGGTTTAATTTTTCTTTTTTAAGTAAAATGCTTTGCTTACATATAAGGATTTTTGCTCAGACAATTAAATGGTCTTTTACAGTCTCAAATTTAATACCTTTAAATGACTCTGAGAGTGTGTGTGTGAGTATGCTTGGGAACCTCTAGTGACTCAAATATTATGCATGAAGTCATCAATTAATTATTTGTAATTTTTTATTTTCCCATTCTCAAGCTTTTTTTTTTTTTTTTTTTTTTTTAATAATTTTCTGTTTTCTAGCTTTTCCTACATTAATGCTGAGATAAGCAACTGAGGTCTCTATCTCAAGTCAATGGCAACTGAAAATGTGCCTCATAGGCATGACTATCCATTAAGGACAGTGTATACAGAACACTATACTGTACTGAGGGTCACTGATTTGTTCCTGGAGCATTCTCAATCTACCCTGTTGGGAAGTGAAGATAGTTTAGTATAGTGTGCTGTATCCACATTGTCCCTTATTGTCAGTCATATTTATGGGACCGACTTTACTTTCAATGGCAACTGCTTTGTTTATGTGAATTGAAAAATGGCATGTTAAATTCTTTGGTAAATATTACAAATATTACTTCAGTTTTATCATTTAAAGCTTTAGAAACCATCTTTGGCTGAATAACAAGGAAAAATTATTCATAGTACAGCACCTTCAAGACCTAGTATTTGCTAGTTTTCAAAAACCTAATCCACCATCACTGAGTTTCGAGGCACCACTACACCAGGCCCTAATTCCTGGTCCTTTGAATTGCATAAAGGGCAAAGTAATGAAAAAGACATACCCGATACACAAAACTAAGAACACCTTAAAGAAACGGTGTGTACAGGAGACTGGAATCATGGGTAACCAGAAGTCCCAGTTTTCAAGTGGAATACAGTACTGTACCTTGATTTTATCATGTTAATTTTAAAAGATTGTCATTAGTAGCCAGTTTTTGGTTGGGACTGGTTTTTGGAATTCTGAATGTGGGAGATTTTATTGCACAAGCTCATAAAGTTGTTCAGGGTACAGATGGGTGCATCTTTCTTAATTCTTAAAAAATGTACCAGTGGGTGTCAGCTAAACTATTTTACTAAGATTTTATGTGCTGGTAGAGCATCATAATTTACTGTGGTTAGATGACTCGGTATTAGTGAGGAAAATATTTTATAGCATTTTTTTGTAAACTAGGTGCTGTTCTGAAAAGTTATTTGGCTGAAAGGAAAGAACAATTAAGAGCTCAGTTTTCTTACATTCACTTGTTTGCTAGACCTTTTGTTGATATTTTTGCCTCGTATGAATTCCTCTTTGCTCATTTATTAGAATTATGACCACTATGTATTTTAATTTGCCCTTTTACAACAATGTTTTTTGTATAACATCTCTCAGGCAATCCTTAATTTGTTTATAAGGTTTATAACAAACACTTTTAAAAGAATACTGTACGGATACTCATGTGTAGTGCAGTAATATAAGTTTTATATCTTTTTTTATTATTGTTTTTCTTTTGCAATTTGTAAACTAAACTAGGAAAAGAGTTGTAATGCTTTACGAGCCTGCCTGTATATCTTTCAAAACAGTCTTGTTATTTTCTTGTAAATAAAGCTTAAAGTTTGATTGTGTATGTTTTCTCAACCTGGTATAATGTACTGTTTTGAATGATATCACAGGCTGGTGGCTGCAGATTGCTGATTTCTTTTAGTTACCTTGCTTCATACCAAAGGCAAGTGTTTATCTTATCTGAAATGTATATTCATAAAATTTCATATATATTTTCTTTTGAATGACTATAAACATTTATTTTAAGCTGTAAGGTACATTTAAGAAAAGTCATGACCTTTTACAAAAGGAATACTCGTAGCATAGCACAATTGATTTCCACTTCTTGCAAAACAAAACTCAGAACTTTTGTTTAAGGTTACTCTAGGTCAAATAGTAAAAACAATGGCAAACCCTTGTTCTAGATTCTAGAATTCCTTAGGGAGTTAAAGAGTTACCGAAACAATTACAGGAGCAGAAGTAGGAAAGGACAGGACATAAGAATAGAATTGCAATATATAAACAATACTGTACTGTAGATGTCCCTCACTATATGATTGTTTGAGCTACGAAAATTCACTTACACAAATTTTTTATTTTATACCTGCTATACGAAAGCTATTCTCACTTATACGAATGTGGTTCCTAAAGGTAATGTACCAAATATATGTTTTGTTTATTTTTAATGTGTTGGGTTCTAAATTACCGTGGTTAGTTGTTTTGTTTGTGAACAGCTTATTTATATATACAGTATATAAAGCTAGAGAGAAATGTAGTCTCACATTTTACAGAGCTTGCTAGATTTTTCTGGCAGTCAGTGTAAGGTAACACAATTGTGTAAGAGTATCCTGAACAGTTTAATCATACTCCAGTACAGTTAAAGAAACACAGCCAAGTGGTTAAAAATTACCAAATGTTCATATAGGTAGCTTTTGCTGAAATGAAGGGTTAAGATTGTGGAGAGAACCACTGAGAAAGTTAGTTCCATAAGAGTAATTATAACTGCTGTATTTTTTGCTAACACTAAAGTTTTCTATAAACCAAAATGTTTGAGAATAATGCAAGAGAGAACCTAAGACCTCCACCTCCCAATTTTTTGTGCCAAGACAATTTTAAGACTAAATAATTTAATCTTCTTTAATTGAGGACATGATAGAACATGTTAGACACCAGAGTGAATTTAAAGTATTTAAAATCCCAATGTGTGATGATAATGGTGAAGCATTTTCATATTACGTTTAACCATTTAACTTTTGTGGAAGAGGTTTTATCTTTGAAATTATTTGAGTTAATTACCTAGTTGCCCCAATTGGGTAAGTGATGTCTCCGTTAGCCGGAACAATTGGTGCAGAGTGCTTCTGGGAATGAGAGATTTCTGGGTAACAAGACGACTCTCAAAGCCGGAAAAAACCCTCCTCCCCCAAATTTTCCGGGTAACGGAAAATTTTTCTCAGAAGCTACAGAAATTGCCCATTACATCATCTCTCGAACCTGGAAAAATGTCCCCAATCCTGGAATTTTCCGGGTACCGGAAAAAATTTTCTTGGAATTTACGGAAAATGCATCTGGTTTTCATGTCTTAAACCTGGGGGAAAAACCCATCCCCGGATTTTTTCAGGTATCAGGAAAATTTTTCTCAATTTTCCAGAAAATGTACCCCTCGAAAAATCTTTCCCAAAGTAGGAATTTTTTCGGAAAATTCCGGGATTGGGAATGATTTTATGAAAAAATTTCAATTCCGGTTATCAGAGAGTTCGGGTTTGAGGGATTCCGGCTAACGGAGATATTACTGTACAGTATATACCCAGTGGAATACTGTACTTACACGAATGCATGAAACTTCATATATTAACCCTCTCAATGGCTAACAATGCAGGTTGCTTTGCTAAGAACAACAGTTACCTGACCCCTTCACACTCACTCACCTCAGACACAGCCACAACCCCTCGCATTGAGCACAGTCCTCTTGGCCACAAATGTTTATACAGTAGATAACTCATTGTTAATCCTGCAGCATCTGTCGTGAGAGTGCTAAGTGGTGACTGTTGTCAGGACAGAGAAAAGCTATCTAGCATATTTCAAATAAAGGATGAAAGTAAACAAATTAATTCAAAGGGAACCTACGAACATATACTGTACACGGTGTAAACAAGAGGAACCATTTGATAGACCTGATCCAGAAAATTTTTCCACTGCAGTTTATTATAACAGATATAGCTTGCATGGTTTCAGGATTATATCCTTTACATAAAAATAAATGGTTACAGACCACACATGTTCCTGTGGGCAGAACAGATTTTGAAAAATACAGTAAGCTATTTGACTGAAGATTAAGTGTATTGTGCCTGCCTATAAGATGGCTTTATCATTTTAGTTACCTCTCTCCATTTACTTTTACTACCATTAATAAATTTACAGGTACACACACAATCCGCTGTTCTTATTCAACGTTGGTGGCGGTCTGTATGGGGGCTGAAGCAGAAAGAGAAATATGAGAAGGCTGCTATTGTTCTACAGGCTCACTGGCGCAGGAGATGTGCTTGTGTGTTGTTACAAAAACTCAAGGAGCAAAAAGAACTGGAGAAGAAGGTGAGTGGTTTGTATATTGTGTTTGACTGATGCAGTTATGGATAATCTAGATTTTGCATAGATTAATTGTGAGTGGATTTTATTCTTGCATGTGAGACAGTGTTGGCATTTAAGAGTGATGGTGTGTGTACTGACTAGTTGATTGAATTTCATCTGCAGTTTTGAGTCCTGGCATGTAAGAAGGAAATTATTACAAATGACTTTTTACATCTTTAGTCATCCATTTTGTGCTTCTTTATTTTCAAGAGTGCTAACAATGCACATGACTTTACAATATAATAATAATTAATGGTTTATTGAAAGAGCATGACAGCCAGAAGGATGAAAATATAGTTATATATTTCAGCCTATTCATGTAACACTTATGTTATTAGCCATTATATATACAGTATTTGCAAAATAGAATCTAACTTGTAATGAAGGGGTAAACTAGAAAATGTTCAAGAAAGGTTTGTTGAATTGGAATATGAATAAGAATAAAACGGGTATTGCCCACTAAGTTGGAATGTGAGATTTTAATATTTACACAGTATAAATTGAAAAGTGAAGTTTCAAATACATACTTTTGACTACGTGTCTTTTATGTGAATAGGTGGCTGAATTATATTAGAAAGATATTGCTACCAAAATAAAGGGAGAGTGGATGTTGGTGGAAAATTCTGGAGTGGAAATGTTATTATAGGCCTTTGTTTTAGGAACTCAGACAGGGATACAGTACTGTATGTGAAATAATAGGAGATAAGCACACAAGTACAAGCACAACACAGTATTAGCGATGGCTTTTAATAGAGATATGAGACTAATCATGGCTTCATGGTTATGGTAAGGCATTAATTTCATTGACTTGTAGATTGAAATAATTGATAGTTTGAGAACAAAGTTGTAATGTTACATGGTGAAAGGAGCAGGTAATAGAATGTGATTGATATTTTCTTTGGATTTGCTGCACTTTTATAGTAAGAGATTATGTTGAAAGAAAGATATCAATGATGTTTTTCAGTTGTGTGGGAGATTGGAGGTTAAGTGCTTGATTTTGCATAAGTTTATTCCATTGCAATGAATTTTTTATTCTTGCATTACTGTTTATTTCTCTGATTGTAGATCATTGCACTCTTGCATATGTATAGTAGACCCAACTGTATTGTATTTTGTACCATATCATAAAGCTTGTTAGGATAGTGCAGTTCATGTACTTATTTTTTGTGTTATTTATTTTCCATACTATGTTGTGTGCCCCCAAAACTAGTGATTCTTTGTATGCCTACAGCACCGTGCAGCCCACACCATTCAGTCAGCATTCCGTCGTTACATTGTGGCACGGTATCTGCGCCAGTCACAGGCAGCCATAACAATCCAGCGAGCTTGGAAAACATATATTCAGAGACGGACTTTCCAACATACTAAGCAAGCTGCTGTTACCATCCAAACAGCTTTCAGAGCTTGGTATTGCAGGCAGAAATACTTAATTACTAAAAGAGTTGTCACAGAGATCCAGAGGCAGTACAGAAGAAAACTGTATGTGAGAAAAATTAGGCAAGAATATAAGCACAAGATTGAAGCTGTTGTAAAGATACAAAGACTGTGGCGTACTGTACTAGCCAAGAAGGCAGCACAAAGGACTGCAAGAGAACAATGGGGAGCTTTTACAATTACTAATTTCTTTAGAATGGTTATGGAGAAAAACAGGTATTTGAAACTTCGAAAGGCAACAGTTGTTTTGCAGTCCCATGCTCGTAGATTAAAATGTCAGCAAAATTATAGGACCGTGCAAAGGGCAGTTACTGTGTTGCAGATAAAATGGAAAGCCACTGTAGAGGCCCGCCAAGTAAGAGAACAATATCTTCAGTTGCGTCATGTTGTTGTCATTCTGCAGTCTAATGTCCGCACATATTTAGCTAGAAAGCAGTTTATGAAGCTTCGTTCTGCTGCTGTCAGTATTCAGTCAGCATTCAGAATGAAAAAACAGAGGGAAAGGTACCAAGAACTTCAAAGAGCTGCCATATTTTTGCAATGTCAATGGAGAAATAAAATGAAAATGGGGTTAGAAAGAAGACGGTTTTTATTTATGAAAAAAGCTGCAACTAGAATCCAGGCATATGTAAGAGGTCATAATGCTCGGAAACTCTACAAAAAGAAAGTTCAAACCATCATACGTCTTCAAAGCTGTTGTCGCATGTGGAAGGAGAAACAAAATTACCAAAAGATTAAGTGTGCAGCTGTCACTCTGCAGGTGTACATAAGAGAATGGTTAACCATGAAAAAGCAATTTGCACATTACCAGCATATGAGAATTTCTGCTGTCATCATCCAAGCAGCTTGGCGAAGAAAGCAAGAAAGGAATAATTTCTTGCAGCTCAAGAGATCTGTGATTCTGCTTCAAGCAAATGTAAGGAAATGGAAAGCTTTAAAGGAATTCCGTGAGAAGAGGAGTGCAGCAGTTATTATTCAACGTGCATATAAAGCCAGAAAATCCATGCTAATTGAGAGGCAGAAGTTCAAAACTCTTAAGCAAAGTACAGTCATCATTCAAGCTTCATATCGGGCATATAAAGAGAGAAAGAAATATTTGAAGTCTTGCCGAAGCATAACCTTAGTACAGGCTGCTGTTCGAGGCTGGTTGATGCGGTGCCATTATGCAAAATTGAAAAGTGCTGTGGTTACCATACAGCTCAGGTATAGAGCTCAAAAACTTATGCTAGTGAGGAGGAATAATTATGCCAAGATGAAAAGTGCCACCATTAAAATTCAAGCAATTGTACGGATGCATCAAGTTAAAAATGATTACCACCACAAACGTACAGCAGCAATCATAATACAGAAGTATGCACGTAGGTATGCTGCCCTTAAAGATTACCAACATTTTCGTAAGAACACCAAAATTATTCAGAAATATACTAAGGCTTGGCTGAAATCACGTCAAGCTCAAAGAGAATTCCAAGAAATTAAGAGTGCTACTATCACAGTACAAGCTCATTGGCGAGGCTGGCTTGTGAGGCAAAACATGCAAAGATTAAGAAGAGCATGTGTCATAGTCCAGAGTAATTTCAGAATGAAAAAAAATTATAAAGCTTACCAAAAAAAGAAAGAAGCTGCTAGTACAATTCAGAACATTTACAGGGCTTATAAACTTGGTAAGGAGACCCGAACAGATTACTTACTCAGAAAGACAGCGTGTATCACCATCCAAACTTACTGGAGAAGGTATCAAGTTCGACACAGTTATCAGGTAACTCGTAAGGCAGCCATTGTAATTCAGCAACATTTCCGTGCTGTTCATCTTGGTCGTCAAGTATATTATGACTATCAACAGACAAAAGAGGCATGCACTACTCTGCAGGCATGGACTCGGATGCTCCTTGTCAAGAAAAACTTTACTTTGAAGAAAAGTTCTGCAAAGATAATTCAACAACACTACAGGGCCATGGTAGCTTATAAAGTGGCGAAGAAAGAGTACCAAACTATTCAATATGGCATCATCAAACTGCAGTCTTTGTACAGGATGCACAATCAAAGGCAGCAATACCAAAATAAGAAATCGGCTGCAATAGTTATTCAGAACCACTTTCGTGCCTACATGGCAATGAAGACTGCAAAATCAGTTTATAAATCCCAAAAGACTGCTGCAATTGTAATTCAAGCTAAGGTGGGTTTTTATTAATGAATGGCTTGCATGTGGTTGTATTTTTTACTGTAACAATTTACATATACTGCATGGTATTAACTTCTAACTCTTCTATGTAGCCCCTCCGTAGCTTATATTAGTTGCATTTGTATTTTTAATGGTAATCATACTTTTTTCTAATAGATTTTATTTTAAACCCTTTGAGGGTTTTGAGGTGAAATTAGGAAGTCCATCTAGAAACATCTTGAGCCCTTCTATTTATCAATGTGTTAGAGGCAATATTGTTAGATTTTAGGACTGGTCTGGCCTGGGAGTTTTTGTATGGTGATGCCATCATGTTGATATTTAAGAGGTAGTGGAGAAATTTAAAAAATGGGAGGAAGGAATGCAGAGAGTGAATGTGGCAAAAACATAAATTGTGGTTAGTGGTGTGGGTGAAGGACTTTTGATGGAATTGAAAAATGGCCGTGTCCGGCCTAGAAGAAGTATTTACAGTAGTTCAATAAAGATCAGTGAGTGTGGAAGGTGGGTGCACAAGAGGTGCAGTTGTGTAATGGAAGACTGTAAGATGATGTTGACTCTGTGTATGCAGGTAATCATGTAGTCTTAGCAAGGATGGAATTGCCCAACATTGGGCAGATGAGTCTTGCTACCTGAGTGACATGATCACTGTTGGAGGTGGTGCTAAAGCTAGCTCAATTGTAACGCTCATAAGAGACTGAAAAAAAGTCTATTGGCCTTCTTTGCACTAAAAAGGAAATTATATGCGACTGGCATGAGAAGTGTGATGTACAAATGTAAAACATGTAGATAAAGAAGGATGGCTTAGGTAGGCTTGAACTGGCTGAGATAAGAATGGTGGGATAGGTGTTTAATGAGGTACGGAAGGAAAGGAAACCCTGTTCAGAATTAAGAGGGCAATTGGGAGTACAGTATTGGCGTGGTTTTGCTTAGAGGTAGGATGAGATGGTTTGAACACGTAGATGTTTAATGGAGATCAGCTTGGTCAAGAGATCCATGGATTTGAATGTGGAGGAGAGAAGAACAGAGAGTAGGCCAAGAAAGACATGGGAAGAGGTTGTAAGAAATATCATACAGTAATATGTAAATGTGTTACCCTCAGGCTTAAACCATCTGTATAAAGTTTGGTCTGTCCTGTACAGTATAGTATATACATAACTAATATTTTAACATGGTTCTAGGGTTTTCAATTTGAAGTGGCTGACAGTTAAAAGTGACTAATTCAGATGATGCTGAGCTTGTTCAATTTTGTCTGGAGAAAAACCTACTGTATATACCTAATACAATAATATAAAAGTATTAATATAACTTTAATATTAATCAATTAATCTCTAAACTTATATCTTCATTGTCAATCTTGAGTTAATGCTTTTTTTTTTTCTTTTTCTTTTTTTATAACAATACTATAGCCACCTTAATTGACAACCTCTTCTGAGCCTTTATGGGTCTTGTTGAAACTTATAGTGAAATCTTTTGGTTCTGAAAGTTCTTGTCTGCTAACATGATTTACATTCTCCCCTTCACTCATGTTTTATTTATTTTTTTAATGTTGAACTTCATACTACAGTATCCTATTAATCCTGTTACTTGACTTTACTGTCAGTTGCTAAATTTTACTTAAATAAGGATAGAGCCAAAATATTAGTATAACATATGCCAATAGTGTTAATAACGAGAATTAGATTTTTAGAGATTGTTTTTAGTTATCATAAAGTAAAGGAAGGAAAAAATTTTAAGATGAGTGATTTGCTGGTATAATAGATATCACCTGCTGACTTTGTTGTAAGAAGTAATTTGAAAAAGGTTGTAGGTTGGTACTGAATGACACAACCATAATAATCTATTCCAAAATCCCATCCTCGGCTAAATAGACCCTTGTGTAAATCACTTATTGGAAGATTAACAGCTGATTTAATAAGACTGAAAAGCATAGGAAATTAATGGTTGGAAAGGCTGAATTTCTAAAGAGAAAAACTTGGCTCAACCCAAGACAAAAATGCTTAAACTTTATTAGAAACTGCTGCGTCTTGTTAACAGTTGCTTCTTCTTGTTCGGGTCTTTATCGTTGACTATAAATTTCACATCCCATTTCAAGCACTTGAATCAGTTAGGTATTTTGTCACTTCACAAATGTGCTAAAGTATTCCTTTATATTTTAGCACCATGTGATGTAATCTAAAAATTATATATTCTGTACTGTATATATTTTTTTATTCCTCAGGTCCGAGGTTGGCTGAAGTATCAAACTTACACCCTCGAGAAGAGTGCCTGTATTCGAATACAGTCGTGGTATCGCTGTCTACTCACACGAAAGGCCTACCTTACTCAGAGAACTGCAGCAACTACTATTCAGAGGGGTTTTAGGGCTTATCTGTTGAAAAAACAAGCTCAAAATCAGTACCTGATAATTCGAAAGGCTTCCATCATTTTGCAGGCTGCTACAAGAGGGTGTCTGGTGAGAAAAGACCTAAAACAAAAAAACCATGCTGCTACCATTATTCAAGCAAGGTACAGAGGTTGGCAAGAGCAACAGTCTTATATGAAGAAGAGTAAGGCTGCTATTGTCATACAGCAATATCTTAGAAACTATTCTCTTGGGAAAACAGTTAGAAGAGAATTCTTAGAGACCAGGCATAAGATAGTGCTCCTACAAGCTACAGTCAGAGGCTACCTTGTTCGGAAAGAAATGAAGGTGATGCAAGAAGCTGCTGTCATTATTCAGAGCTCTTGGAAGATGTACTGGCAGCAAAAAAATTATAGAAAGAAAAGATGGGCTGTGACTTTGATACAAAGTGCCTATCGAAGTTTCTGTTTGAAAAGGGAGGCAGTGAATAATCTAAAGAGAACTATAAGAGCTGTGGTTTGTCTCCAAGCAGCTGTCAAGGGCTACATTGTACGGAAAAATATTAGAGAGAAAACGGCAGCAGCCTGTTGCATCCAAGCACATTTTCGAGGATGGTTCGTGAAGAAGCGGTATTTAAAACAGAGACAAAGTACTGTTGTAATTCAGAGATACTACAAAGCTTACCAGATTGGCATGCAAATAAGGAAGGAATACCTTTATCAATACAAATGCATAACTAGATGTCAGGCTGTTGTTAGAGGTTTTATTACCAGACAAAATCTGAAGAAAAAGCTAAAATCTGTAAGTCTCCTGCAATCTTGTATTCGTACTTACCTGGCTAGGAAGCAGTTTCTTCAACAAAAAAATGCTGCTTTAATGATCCAGAAACATTACAAGTTATACAGGCTGACACGGGGAATCCGACAAAATTACTTGGCTGAACGCTCTTCTGTTATCGTTCTCCAGGCAGCAGTTCGAGGATTCTTGATTAGACAAACCATGAGACAAAAACATGAAGCTGCAACTAAGATTCAAGCAATAGTTAGAACATGGTTGGTACAGAAAAGGTACTTAAAGCTGGTTAAAAGTGTGAAAATCCTTCAGTGCCACTGGAGAGCCACTTTAATAATGTGGAAATACAGAGAAAGTTACCATATCATGAGAGGAGCAGCTATTACAACTCAGGCCATTTGGAGAGGTACTCTTGTTAGAAAAGGCATTAAGAAGCAGCACCAAGCAGCAATAGTTATCCAGTCCCAGGTTCGTTGTTACCTACAGTACAAAAGATATCAGAGGCTTAAAAAGAGTACAGAAATAATTCAACAATGGTGGAGACACATTCAGCGTGGTCAATTGATTCAGAGGGACTTTGTCAGTAAAAAAGCTGCAACTGTTGTTTTGCAGGCATCAGTAAGAAGGTTTTTGGTAGTTCAGAAGCTGAAGAAAATGCATGTTGCTGCAACATCTATACAAGCTTTTTATCGGTCACAGTGTCAGAGACGACACTTCACGGAACAAAGGCTCAGTGCAGTGAAAATCCAGAATTGGTGGAGGGCAATAAAGAAAATGGAAGAGCTAAAATCAAATTACCAAATTTTAAGAAATGCAGCCATTACATTGCAAGCAGGTATTCGAGGAATGTTAGTACGTCACAAAATATCCCAACAACAAAATGCAGCTGTAAAGATTCAGTCTTTTGTAAGGAGATGGATAGTACAGAGGGAATATCAAAAGATGGTATCACAAGTTAAGATCATTCAGACATGGTGGAAATCAGTTCTTGAAATGCGAAGTCAGCGAGCATATCAGGAAAGAAGGATGGCAGCTGTCAGATTACAAGCTTATACAAGAGGAATGATAGCTAGAAGAGAGATAAGACAACAACACTTGGCAGCAGCAAAGATTCAGTCTCATGTAAGATGTTATTTGGCACATAAAAAATATAAAGTGATGAGAAGTAATACCATCAAAATCCAGAGGTGGTGGAAATGGACAAAAGAATCTTTCAATTTGTATGAGAAATATCACACTATCAGAAAGTCAACAATGTTGCTTCAGGCTTGTGTACGCGGTATGTTAGTTCGCAGGAGTATCACTGAGCAACATAAGGCAGCTATAGTGATACAGTCACACATTCGCTGTTTCTTACTGTCGAGGAAATATAAAAAAATGGTTGTGTCTGCTATTAAAATTCAGAGATGGATGCAGTCAATAAAGAAAGTTAGAGAGCATCAGACAAGGTTCCTAACCATGAGGAAAGCTGCTGTCACCATCCAAGCTTCTGTAAGAGGAATGCTGATACGGAAGATGATTGTACAGCAGGAAATTGCACAAGTAAAGATAGCAACAGCCTTCAGAGGATGGTGTTTAAGGAGAGAGTATCTGAAGAAAGTGTATAGTGTGACCATAATACAGAGATGGTGGAGATCCATAAAATTAACCAGAGATGAAGTTCGAAAGTACTGTGAAATGAAGAATGCCATTATTACTATCCAGGCCTTCACTCGAGGGACGGTGTTACGTGCAAAAATATCTCGGCAACATAAGGCAGCATTAAAAATCCAATCTCACGTTCGTGGTTGTATGGTACGTAAAGAATACCATAAGATGACTCGTAGTGTGCTTGTTGTACAGAAATGGTGGAGAGGAATTAAGAAGACAAGGAAGATGCATCAGGAGTATCAAGTGAAGAGAAACGCTGCAATTTCCCTCCAAAGGCATTACCGTGGAATAATGGTTCGACGAGAATATGTAAAGCGGCGTAGAGCTGTCATTAAAGTGCAGGCATATACAAGATGCTGGTTAGTACAAAAGAAATATTCAGAAAAATTAAAAGCAACTGTGAATATTCAAAAGTGGTGGAGAGCTGTGATCAGAGCCAGGGAGCAGCAAAAAGAGTATCAGAACTTGAGGTTGGCCTGTGTTATCTTGCAAGCATCTGTCCGAGGTATGCTGGTAAGGAAGAAAATACTCCAGCAACACAAGGCAGCACTCAAAATACAGTCATGTACCCGTCAGTGGTTAATACGTAGACAGTACTTAAAGAATATTCAAAGCACTGTCATAATTCAGAAATGGTGGAGAACCATCAAGATGACCAAGACATTACATCATAGGTATACTGCCGTCAAAAAGGCAACGCTCATGCTTCAGCCACATGTACGAGGCATGCTGGTACGAAGAAATATAAGAAAGCAGCATATAGCAGCAACTGTGATTCAGTCTTATATTCGAGGTTGGTTTGCTCGGAGACACTGTCGCTGTAAGATGAAAGCAGTTATCAAGCTACAGAGATATTGGCGTGGGGCCTACATAACTCTTCGCGCACAAGAACAGTACATATACCTGCAAAGGGCTACTGTTATTCTTCAGGCTGCTTGGAGAAGACGACAGGCAAGAATTTTGTTCAAGCGCATCAAAGCTGCTCGCACCATACAGGTAAGTCTAAGTATTGAAATACATAGTCTGGTGCAATATCAGTAATATGTGTTTTAATTCCAGATTGCAATACACAAGTTCCACGAAGTAACTAAAATTCTTTCTCTGCCAGGCTTATGTACGTGGATGGCAAGTTCGCCAAATGATCAGAGAGAAGAAAAGACATATGTATTTACAGCAGGTAACAAAGGTTACTGAGGTTCACTTGGCTGCCATAAAAATTCAGGTAAAATGCAAATTATGTTTAGTTATTAAATGCAGCATGCAAATTTGTATGATTATAACTATTATGTAAAATTTCACACATAGTTTCTCTCAGGTTTATAATGTTTATACAGTATAACATAACACCCACTCTTGGAATGCTTGCTTTAGGTGAATAGCTTTAAAATTGCAAATTACTTTTCAGGTGGTTTAATGGTATCATCTGTAGTGTCACTTTCCTCCATTTAATTTTTGGGGGTTCATACATTTCTATGACCAGTCAGAGCCAACTACACAATTTAAATTTTTAAATAACTATTCAGTAAGTTTATTCACCTGCTTTGCTTACACAGGACCAACACTAGCATACTAAAGTTCACATCATGTACAATGTATTAGACCCAGTTGTCAACCTCCAGAATATTTTTATAAGATTTGGCATGGTCAGACTTACCTGTCTAAAAAATCTTTGGGAAAAGTTATGCAATAAATATTAATCTTTTTTGCACTAAAGCTTTAAAGGGACCTTATATAACTTGGGTACCTCCTGCTTGAATCAGTTATGGGGTATTCAATATTCATAATTGAATGTGTTCAAATGCAGTTTTAGAAGCCGTCATATTAATTTTCATTGCCATATATACTGTGACAAAGGATTTATATAGTGCATGGGGTGACCTGTGGTGTAATGGTCAGCATACTCGCCTCGCAAGCGAGCGGACCCGAGTTCGATCCTCGGACAGGGTGAAACTATGGGCAAGTTTCATGATGCCATTTACCTCTGTCTACCCAGCAGTAATTGGGAACCTGGAAGTTAATCGATTTGCAGATCGTATTTCAGGGTAATGGTTAGCCAGTGCAGTTGGCAAGTTGTCTGGTTTTCTTGGAGTATTCCTTGACACTGGGTCATGTGGCTCGTTAACTCAGGGTGTGGTTGTTGTGTTGGCGACAGCTTTTACACCTTAAACAAATTCACGCCTAGGTGGCCCTTGGGCTGGCCATCCTCGATTTCAAGGGGCTTCCATTATTATATTATTATTATGATGTAGTACATGTACTGTACTTGTTTAATAATTTTATGAATACAGTACTGTACTGTGTTTATTGCATTTCCATGACCATTTAAGAATTTATTTATTTATTTTAATTTAAACGCTCATGAAAATTTATGGATTTGCATGAAAACAAACTTCTTAAGCAATTTATTCCAATCTACATGAATGATGTGGCTTAGCAATAAAGAAAATACAGTACTGTAAAATATAAAACTGCACAATAAGAAAAATTAATTGCATGGGTGTTTGTGTGGAGGCAGTGGGCTGTAATTGCATCGCCAACCCAGCCACGCTCCTTCCCTCCAGTGTGAGGTCATGGCTTACACACAGTGCAGCAGCAGTCATACATCTCAGAGTTAGCTGGATGATAGCCTGGCTGAATTATGTCACGTCATCCAGAGGATGGTTTGAGTGTGGAAGGAGCTATTTTTTTACATAAAATATGTGATATTTTATTTTATGATAAGCAATGTATTGTTTATCATAGCAATTTTTTGTTCATTTTTGACATGCAATTTGAAATAAGTTCAAATTAGGCTAACCTTGTTTTTACTAAACTGTTTAACTCTGAACCACATCATTTATACAGTATAGAGTGGAATAAGTGTAAATGAACTGTCCAATAAATTTGGCATTGGAGTGCAAGTTGAAACAATGAAAATTTGTCGTACAATTAGATATTTTTTTTTTTTAGCAAATTATTAACAAAATTTCCTTTGTTTTTAATGCTTATTCCACAACTCCATACTTTTCAGAAATTCAACCACAGTGGGATACCAATTACAGTAGTACAAATTTGCGAGGCTACCTGTAATAATTATTAGAATCCCTTTACAGTAGGGTCAGGATATATCGTGAGATAGGGTCCAAGGATGTTCTCCATATACTAAATCACGATATATAATTGCATGTAATCAATGGGGAAAATAGGGTTAGGGTCTGGAGGCCAATAAAAGTGACTAAACTTGACTTAATGGGTTTATTTTCTTACTAACTAAAGCACCAATGAACAGTAGACTCGGGAACACCAAACTGTTTCAAGACCAAGGAACACCAGACTCGGCAGCAGACGCCACACTGCCACCCTCACTTGACAATCCCAAGTGTGTTTACACACACACACACACACAATGCAGGCAAAATAAATTACTGTCTTTAGAACGAATGGCTCCCTGTCCTGGCCGCGATTATGCCAGCAACTTCAAAACTATGCTTGGACATTCTTGGGTACATCCAGGGTGTCATCAGTGAATTTTCAGGGCATGCTGTATTTTCAATCAAGCATTTCATAATATGTTATAGTCCCTGTATGGCAACTCATCCCTTGAGGTTGAAATAATTTCTAATGTGAGTAAAACAATGCAGCAAATTCTAATGTCTTTGTTTTTTCAAAAAGTTAATATATTTCATCTTCTTTATTTGCTTTATTTAAAAAAGAAGCGCTACATACTGTATTCGGAAGAAAAGCATCTCACAATCATATACTGTACACTATCTGCACCGAAACAACAGGAATAATTGTGTTCTTTTGGAAACCCATCAGACCCAGAGGTGAAGCTAGTTTTTTGTTGATTGTACTTCAGCATAGCAGCTGAGCATGGGTCTCACAACGAAGTGAAATTTGTAGGTTACCCATTTTTTTTTTTTTTTGGATATCAGCATTTTATAATTATTATTGTGTATTCTTGTTATGCTTTTTGATAAATTGGTGATTCTGGAAAGTTGAAATGTGACAATTTAGGTTTTACTGAAAACAAATTCTCTTTCTACATAAATACAGTAGTACAGTATTCTAAAATTATTTTAGTTTTTCCTTCACATTCTCACACAGAAGGTAGACCAAAAAATTTGCAAAATGGCTTCTGTATATAATAAAGGGGCAGAACAACAACTCTGCATTTTTTCTGAATTCTTGTTCCACCTGTCCTTCAAAATCACATGTCACTTTTATCGACTGCTCTTCAAACCACCATGCCTCAGTGCCCTACTTCAGCTTTGTCATCCTGAAACATAATAGTTGCATGGGGCCAGATCTGGTTGTAAGGTCTCTCTCTCACTCTTGTCTGTCTGTCTGGTTTCATTACCAGGCTCTTCTACTACATTTTTTTATTGTTTGAATTGCCATTAAATAGTTTTCACACTTTTAAAGTCTATAATGCAATTATAAGTAAATGAGGCCTGTACATGCTTGCTTATCTAACCTCCAATACAGCGCTTATTCCGCCGACGACAAGCTATGGCAAGAGCCCAGCAGACCTTGGAATCCTTGGTGAAGCTGCAACGGTGGGTACGAACTGTACTTCAGAGATCATCTTACTTGAAACAGCGGAAGAGTGCCACTGTCATCCAGGGAGCTTGGCGAAGAAAGCTGGAGTGCATGAGAGAGGTGCAGAAAGCTCAACTTGTTTTATTTATTGTCTTGGATGTCTTTATTAGTAGTAAGCACATTATTTACTTAGCTAAATAGATCTGATCACAAATTATTGTCTTATGTCAGTGTGAAGGCTGTGACTGGAAAAGCTATTTTCAAAGAATAAATGGCGTTGAGTATGAGGTGTGGCCGAATGAAGTAGAGATGTCATAATGATATTAAAGGATATGTTTCGTCTTTGTTGTAGCAGGGTAACATCACAGCAGAACATACCAGTAACATTTTTTGTAGTTAGAGAATGAGTGATGGGAGAGTCTTGTATTTGTCCTTGATTCTAGCTTTCTTTCATGATGATGGGAGAAAAGGTGGGTGGGCTATTGGGAGTGTTGAGATTTATGGGCATACCAATTTTAAGTACAGTAAATAGTAAAATATTAATATGCAACACGAAAAGGCTTGTTGTAATGCACTTTGGAATGTGATTTCTGATTTACGATAGAATCAGGAAATCAATTTCAGGAAGATTTTATATTACCAGTACAGTGGGGTATGCTATAATGAATCTAATTGGTTCTAGAACCTCGTTCGTTATAGCATTCGTTCATTATAGAATTAATCCGTTCCAGGCCCCCAAATACAATCACTTAACACTGAAAAATTTATGTGGAAATTGTAAAAAAATACAGTACTTTATCTTACCTTAGTGTTGTTCAGCATGCAGGACAGGAGGCAGAGGAGGAGGGGGGAGGAGAGAATTATGGAGAAGAGGTGGAAGGAGAGGAGTCATCCTTCCTAGCCCTCTGTGGTGACTGTCTTACAGGCACTTTGTCTGTTTATTTAGGTAATTTCTTTCTTAGTTTCAAGGGTTATTAGCTTCCTCACTCGATTTTGACGATTCATTGTTACAATTGTACACTTGTATAACAAAATAGTTTTAAAAATAACACGAATTTCCACATCAAAAGACGAAATTTCAACAAGTTCAGTGGTGCACTGACTACATAATGAACCAATATGGCGCCTGACGCTCTTGTTGGGAGCCGCGGTACAATAATATTCATGCGCCAGACGAAACAGTCCCGTATTCATCCGTTGTAGGAGTTGCGTTCGTTATAGCATTCTCAATTTTATAGGTAAAACCATTCGTTATGGGAATATTCGTAGTAGGATCCGTTCGTTATAGCATACCCCACTGTATACTGTACAGTATATGGGATGTGATAAAAAAATTTTTAAGAAGGTATATTAATTGAGGCACAGTCATCTGCAAGTCAATATGACAGGTAGAGCATCTCATGATTCGTTATTAGAAATCAGTTACATTAGTGGTGTGTTCTCAAGTACTTTGAGATGATGGTAAATTAAATGCGACCTACCCTGCTTTGAATATGAAAAAAGGCAACATGGTATGGATAGCAAACAAAAAATAGATTATGAATGTACTACAGTAAACCCTTGTTATTTGTGGGGGTTAAGTTCCAAGGAATGGCGTGAATAGACAAAATTGCAAATAGCAACTTACACTACCTTAGTGCACTACTGTATACATATGCCAAACAACTGCCCAGCCATGGCAGCACTCATCCCCTCTTTTAACTTATCTAATAGTTCAACTTTCTTTGTCAGGGTCATCACTGACTTCTGCCTTTTACATTTCAGTCCACTAGCACTGACACTAGACAGTCTTTTAGGGTCCATTTTCACACAGAAACACTGAAGTTTTAAGTGTACAACACAAGATGCTGCATGACTTGTGCTGCGGAAAAGGCTTACAAGCTAGCCACCATCTGCTTACTGTGAATCTTCGAAATCGTGAATTGCAAACCTGCGAATGGCAAGGGTCTACTGTATGTAATGGGGGTTTTAAGTGTTTTCTCATACCCCTAAATAGTTTTTAGCAAAAATTCACAGTGATTGGGAAAGATAAGCTTGATTGAGACTGAACAACAACTAGAGATGTGTACAGTATTCACTTGATTTCTGTTGCAGGAGCGTCGTGAAAAGGCAGCCACAATTCTCCAGGCAGCATGGAGAGCCAGAGCTGTTCGTAAAAACATGAAAAGCAAGAAGCTTAAGGAAGTGCGACAAAGATTGGAGGTTGCAACTAAAGAAGCCACAGACAGTAAGCGTATTGGGAACAAAACTGACTGTGCCATTTCAAACCTGATCAAGTACAGAGATTTGAAGAGGACTTTAATATCAGTCATGGATCTTGGTGAGTTGTCTAAACCCAAGCTCTCTGTGTATGTGTGTGTGTGTGTGGCTCTCTTTGCCCCTCTTTTCTCTTTTTTTTTCCTTTGTCTTCTTGAACATGGATAATTTTCCATAGATTAAAATGTTACCAGAACAGAATAGGAATTCAGAATGCTCAAAGCTTTCTTAAAAGACACTATTTATTATTTTGTAAAGATTTCTGGTTGACATGTTTTACTGTGGCTAATATACAGGTACTGTATAAGTAATATCTCCATTAGCCAGAATCCCTCATACCCGGAACTCTCCGAGTCAGAATTTAATTTTTCTCAGAAAATTTTTCCCATAGCTGGAATTTTCCGTAAAATTCCGGCTTTTGGAATAATTATTTGAGGGCATATTTTCCCGATCCCCGGAGAATTCTTGGTGTGGGGGATACTTTAGGGGGTTCGAGAGATGATGTAATGGGCAATTTCTAGAACTTCTGAGAAAAATTTTCCATTACCTGGAAAATTCTAGGTATGAGGGATTTTTTCCCGGCTTTGAGAGAGTCGTCTCGTTCGTTTGCCAGAAATCTCTCATTCCTGGAAGTGCTCTGTACCAATTAATTCTGTCTATTGGAGATATCACTGTGTGTGTGTGCGTGGAGTAAGTACAACAGTTTAAGCTGATGCCCAAAGTTGGCTCTAGATTTGTAAACTATCCATGTATGTAATGAGTAATTCTTTCCTCCATGCAGATATAAGCACACGATGGTCACCTCCATGCTCTGAGAAACTGGCAGAAGGGGCTGCCTTAAAAGTTATCATGTTTCTGCTCAGGTCCTGCAACCGATCTGTTCCACACATGCAGATCCTCAACTGTATCCTTAACATTCTGATTAATTTAGCCAAATACCCTTACACAGCACCATCTGTACACAGGGTAAGCATCCTCTATCTTAAAAAGTACAGTAAATAATACAAAGTTCTATACAGTAAAAAAAAAAGTTAAGTGCACTGAAATTTGTTTATATTATTGTTTAATTAATACAGTACAGTATATATATATATATCATAGAACTTATAATAAATTATCAAAGTTATTACCAATAATACCATCACACTGAACCAGTAAGAAGCATACCGTATACAGTATGCACAAGTAGTTAACACTTGTCTGATGTTATAGTCATTGTGCTGCAACTTTTTGGTCACCCTATACAGCTGACCGTTTCATGTTACATAAACAACTTGACGAATATTATTGTCTATTTCAAATGCTGATTAATATACTATAATGTTTCACCCTTTCTTTCCCACAAACCAAAATAATTTGATAAAGACTGGGAAGACTCGAGTAATGTACTGCCCACCCCTAAAAAAAACAATAATAATGCAACAAAACAAATCCTATATGAAACAACCTATAAGTCTTGCTTTGCTGTATAAAATGGTATAATTTCCATATACAGTACAGTATTATGAATCTGCACCATAGGTATTCTTGTAACAGACCATTATTCCCTAAACAGTTGGAGGGATTAGTCAGGAGCATCATCCAGTTACTGACTATCTACTCCGAAAAGGCCCCAGGAATCTTCTGCAAATGTTGCACTCTGCTTTATATACTTACTGCATCTAACCCTCCACAACAGGTAGGTGATATTTCTTGCAGTAGGTGTACACTGTTTAGGTTTTCATGTACAGTACTGTATTTTGTTGGTTGATACTTGTATGTGCAAGGGCAGATGAATTTCAAAGGGGGGTCTGTATGGTCAGTGAGCACACACACACACACACACACACACACACACACACACAAAATAAAAATAAAAATCTGACCAATGTAATGGGCATTTTGAAGCCATGTGCAGTTGATATTAGGAGTTATTCTGAAGTCAATAGTAATTTCACATGAACTGTTACTTAATAAATAATAGGGTAATATGCATATTGTGGGGATTAGCCCACCCGGGTACAGGTCTCTCACCCACATCGGGGGGGGGCAAAAAAATTTATAATAATAATTCATAGTTCTGTACTGTAAATAAAATTTATAATAAAAAAATTAAATATTAAAATACAGGTACTCCCCGACTTACGACGGGGTTAGGGACCGACATCCAGGTCGTAAGTCGGAAATGCTTAAATAACACAGAAAGTCGAAAATTTGGGTCTCTTTTTCTTCTCAGCACCACAAAACACTCACTTTTAAGCTTGCCAGCCATTTTAAAGTGAATTACATATGAAAATTTTGTCTGTGTACTGACTTTGGGACTCAAAAATACATAATTTGGCCACATTTTGGTACAACTGAGGCGGTCATAAGTGCGGGTGGACGTAAGTCGGGTTGGTTGTAAGTCGGGGACTACCTGTAATAATGATAATAATAAGAAAGAACCATAAAGAAATACAAAAGTGAAAAAAAAATCAAAAGTGAGAAACAATATATGTAGGTTGTGTTGTCAAAGTAAGAGAAACAATTGAGACCCTGCAATTGTGTGTAAATGAGGCACAAGGTCAGATCAGCAACCTGGGACTTGGTCACACTTTTTGTAATGCCATATGGCAGCAGGGTCCATTAGACTACATTATGCTTCCAATATCTTACCAGGCGGTAGTACCTCCCTGTTTGGTAGCTGCCTACTACAGGTACACCACCGATTTTCCAGCACGTTTGGTTTCTGAGCCTCTCCGGATTAACAGAGGTCATATATAATAATTAAGCAATACACCTCTGACCCACTAGCTATACACCTCCTGGTATCTTTAAAGCACCATGGCCGCTAGAAACTTAAATTAAACAAATATTAAATGCAAATTAAATGAAATACAGGCTGTATAAATGATGCAGGTTTATTAATTACTTACAAAGAATGTTGCAATACTGCCACTCCCAGAGTGGCAATTTGTAGAGTTTCACAATTACTGAAGATCTAATTACAAAGGTCTGGAAGCTGGGGGCTGTCTGTTTGATCTTGGACTTGTGGTGCTGCACGGGACATCTAGGGTACTTGAAATTGATGCCACAGGTCTTGCAGGCATAGGCCTACTGCTCTCACATGCATTCTTCTTGGCTAACTTTTTAAACATATCATCCAGGCAAACTTGTTTCATGTGCTTTGATCTTTCCCTATGTAATTTTTCATGCATCAAATAAAAATTCATTAGTTCTTGTTCTGTCACGAAGGAACGTTGCTCTAACCTAAAGTGATCTGACAACTCAATTAACTTGTCAATAGAAACTCTTTCAGCTTCATCTGTTTCCTGTTCATCACTGTGTTCTTCATCACCTTCATTGTTTTTCAGGACTCAGAACAATATCTACAATTTCAGTTAGAATAGTGATGAACAACAGGTGCATCTTCGTCTACACTCATCCACTCTGTCAGATTATCTTCACTGAGCTGATTGCCTACCTCATTGGCCATAGATCCTGTAACATCTCTTGCATACTCAAGCAACTCGTGAACAACTTACTTCTCTTTTGAGACACAAAACTTTGTAAAGTCATTGTCTTCACTTTCCTCAAGGAAATTTTCAAACATCAGGGCAGACCACAACTTATGCCAGCCTTTTTTAGTGTTGATGCTTCTACCTTGTCCCAGGCACAAGCAATAAATCACAGCACATCTTTCATGTTAAAATCTTTTATAAATGTCTCTACAGGCTTACCAGCATTTACCACATCTAGCATACGTTTCATGAACAGTGAACAATACTTAACCTTCAGAGAGCGCAGTATTCCTTGGTCTTGGGGCTGGATCAGTGATGTACAGTTTGGAGGTAAATACACTGTATAAACATTGTTCTTACACATAAGTTCAGCTTTGGGGTGAGCTGAACATTTGTTCAAAATGAGAAGAATTTTGCAATCATCTGGTAGGCCAACAGATTTGCAGTGTGCTCTGGTTTCTGGCACAAAATACTTTTCAAACCACTCTAAGGTAAGCACTGTGGTAATCCAGCCCTTCTTATTGCCATGGTATGTCACTGGGTAAATTTTAACACCTTTCAAGGCTTTAGGGCATTTACTTTTACCAATAACCAGTGGCTTACATCTGTAAGTGCCTGCTACATTTGAGCATCCTAGATTGGTAACTCGATCCCTAGACTGTTTGAATCCTGTGGGCTCTTCTTCATCCTCCGTTGTTAATGTTTTTTAGGGTGTTCATCGCCAATACAATGCAATTTCATCTGCATTATACACCTGCTCGGGACTGAGGTGTTCATCAGCTGCAAGCTTGGCAAATTTGTCCACATACTCTGCAGCTCCTTCCTTGTTTGCAGACCGTTTTTCACCACATACCTTACGCATTGCAATTCCATGATGCTTCTTCAACCTTTGAAGCCATCCTTCACAATAGTCACAGTTATGTTCTAAATTAAGTTCTTCATGGAACACCTTTGCCTGTTGCATTATCATGCTACCTGACAATTCCACTCCTTCAATGCGACGTTGTCGAACCCATTCCATCATCACTATCATGTTCAGTACTCTTACCATCTTTCAATGTTTTTCTAATGAACATTTGCTTCTTGGAAGCACTTTCTGCATACAATCTCATTACTTTTTCTCTTTGCTTCTTTATATCATACACAGTTGACGAACCAATACCATACTGATCGCACACCTGTCGCACCGAAACACCACGGTCAAGTTTTCTCAAGAGTTCCACCTTATCTTGTATCGATATGGCCTGATGTTTATGCTTTACACCACCACTGACACTTGTACTTGCCCTTGAAGCCATAGCTGGGGTTAAATATGTCCAAAATAAGCTGAGAATTACACAAAATCTAGGAGCTACCACCAGCAACTGCTAAGTAAACAAAGTGAGCGCTGTTACCGCATAACGCCATCTGTGGGCAGCCCAGTAAACTAATCTGGATGTCGTGGGAATTTTGTCTGGATTAAAAGAGGTGCCGGAAAATTGGTGGTGTACCTGTACCTACTACCTAAAAAGATAATTATTTCCTTTTTGTAATTAATATGTGATGAACCTTCAAAGTAAATTGCATTTATTTTCCATGTTTTCTGATTTTAAACAGGATATGAAGAACCCTAAAGTAACAACAGACCTTAGAAGTATTAAATCCCTGATGATACGACGTGAGAATGCCAGTCAACGAGGAAAGCACCCAGTCAATTACTCACCTCTTCCTATTTCAAAACTGCCATCAATAGCACCTGAATGGTCTCTGAAACCTGATGATATTAGAGAGTTTGATGACCCCATTTCTGCAATGGTGACACTATTGGCTCAACTTGGGATGAATACAAAGTAATAATTGAGTGTAATAGTAAGAACAATATAAGGTTTTGAATTCCACTTTAGGAATATAATTTTATTACCAGACTTAGTAGTCTATGAATGGAATATGAAATTATATTATGTTCATTTTAAGTTCAAATTTTTATATGAAGAGTATTAGTGGACAGTCCTAATTTTTATATGAAGAGTATTAGTGAATAGTCCTATAGTGTATGGGGATTACATGGGGTAAACTGTGGTATTCTGTTTAACTAATTGGGTTATGTTGATAACACAGAGCACAGGTATTCCCTGATTTAGGATCTCCCTATCTACAATATTTCACCTGAATGATGGCAATGTATTGAAACCATCCCCCCTATTTATATGATGAAAAAAAAATTCATGAATGATGGTCATTGTCCGGCCAATGTGAAATATGGAGCACATCTCTCATCTCTTGGTGCACTTGTCAGCTGCAGTCTATCCACACACTGCAATGTGGCCACCCAGTGCACCACAGCCCCAAGCTTTATTCCATGGCGATGCACATGCCTGTAATCGTGTAACTCACCGATTAATTATCAATGTTCTGTTTACTTTTGTTTTAAGTGAGAGGACATGACTGACATTCACATTTGTACTTTGTTTTGGTGACTTAAGTGATTTTTTTCTATATGAGCAGTGTCGGCCACTATCATAGTTTTTAAATTATGGTTTGCTCTGTTTTTGTGTTTGTTAAGTGAGCAGTGTAACTTTGAAAATGTCTGGGAAGGCCAAGGCACCCAGGAAAACCATGTCTCAAGGTGAAGCTGTGTGGGAGTCAGAGTGACGTCTCTTCTCCACCTTCAAGAGTCCTCTTATCCTCAAAGGGAATGTGATGGCAACCAGGCTTGTTTTTAATGAGGTGGTGAATGTTATTTAATTGTTTTTATGTACTGTATATTATTATTGTATGCATTTTATTTTCGATGATATGTGAGAGAGTGTCGGACTGGCTGGGAATGTATCCCATTGAACCCCATATTCTGATGATCCTGATTGTAATATTTTGGCCTGCCATAGGTTTTTCAGCAACATAAATTCATCATAAATAGGGGGACTCCTGTATATGGGTAATGGCTAGAATAATTTTTTATTACTGAAGACATAAACTAACAATGTGACCAGATGTTCCTTATTTTCAATTTAAACTCATTCTAGGCTTTTAGTTTGGAGTAAATAAAATGAGCTTGTTAATCTTAATTAAGTTTTCTCATTGTGCATAGTTGTGTATTCCAACCATACTGTATGCCTCGTTGCATTACAATAATGAACTTATGTTGTAATTCCTTAAACTTGATGTATTTTTAGTTTCTCTAAGTAGGTGATTTTTTTCCCCTTTGGGAGGGCTAGTTGAGTTGAAAAGGTTTTGTATATTGATACAGTAAAACAGTAAACAGCTTTCCACTCTAAAATACTGTTAACAAAGAAAGTAAAACCCATTTTACCTTACTCATCTGTCATTAACATTTTGTATATATTTTTCAATTAAAGAATAAAAAGAATATATATACTGTATATTTTTTTTTTATGCCTTACTGCTTACTCTATTCACACTATAGGGATGGTCACGGTCCAGTCAAGAGACAGCTCGCTCCGGTCACGGTCCTAGGGTATTAACATACAAGGTCCAGTCAAGGGACGATCTCGTGTCCCTCAGATGTTGTGGGAAGATGTTTATTAAAAAACTAACCTTTATCCAATCGACTGCCTATTTCCACCCAGCTTCTTCGTTTTGCCACGTTATCACTATGCCATGGAGAAATCAAGTCATACAACTCTGTCTTGATTTTCACTAATTCAATTAATAATTCATCTGAAAAGAGCGATGAAATCATTTGTGTAATACTAATTTGTAAAAGGCTATATTTTGTTTAATATGTACTAAATGCAAGTCATTATTGTTTTCTTCAAATAAACCTACCTCTCCCATAATTCCACTTGCATGATTTCTTCTTCTTTGGATCCATGTTCACAACACCAAACCAAAGAATACACAACCAAACTCAGTGACGACCGAAGCAAGACTGGAGCAAGCACGTTGTTTCAATCCACACTGGTGGTGCGGCACGGGAAGGGATGCACACAGTACCGTCCCGCTCCAGTCAATATATCATTCTACGGATCGTCACTTGTATGAGCGAAACTTGATTTGACCGTGACTGCGACTGTGGACTTGCATGTAATAATATTTGACTGGAAGGTGAATGGAGCGTGACTGTCCCTATACAAGTAGTGTGAATAGAGCCTTACTAGCCAGAGAAAATATGCATGTAAAATAACTACTGTACTGTACTGCACTGTATACTCAAGAGTGAAGTACAGTATCAGAAATCTAAAATGCTTGGGACCAAGAGGCTTTTGGAAATTTTATATATTTACTCCATGAAGCTATATATAGTATATGAAGCTCCCTTGTGCCCTCCATACCCACACCCCTCCCCCATGACCCCATACCCATACCACTCCTCCACGCCCTCAATACCCACACCCCTCCATGCCTTCCATAATCCACACCCCTACTCCACGCCTTCCATAACCCACACCCCTCGTCCATGCTCTCAATACCCACATCCCTCCACGCCCTCCATAACCCACACCCCTCCATGCCTTCCATAATCCACACCCCCACTCCACACCTCCCATAACCCACACCCCTCCTCCATACCCACACCTTCAATAACTCACACCCCTCCATGCCCTCAATACCCATGCCTTCCATACCCACACCCTTCCTCCATGCCTTCCATAATCCACATCACTCCTTGCACTCCATAACCTACACCTCTCCACGCCTTCCATAACTCTCACTCCTCCTCCATGCCCTCCATACCCATACCCCGCCTCTACACCTTCCATAACCCACACCCCTCCTCCAGGCCCTCAATACCCACACCCTTGATCCACGCCCTCAATACCCACACCCCTCATCCCTGCCTTCCATAATCCACAACCCTAACCCCATGCCCTCCATACCCACACCCCTACCCCATGCCCTCCATACCCACACCCCTACCCCATGCCCTCCATAACCCACCCCCGCCTCCACTCCCTCAATACCCACACCACCAAGGGGCGTTGGTGCCTCAGGGGCCTTGCCAGAGGCGGTGGTGCCCTTAGGGTCCTTGCCAGGAGCATTAGCGCCCTCGGGGACCCTCCCAGAAACGGCGGCACCCCCAGGGGCAGTGGCGCTCCCAAAGGCTCTTCCAGGGATGGCAGCACCCTCAGGGGCTCTCCAAGGGATGGCGGCACCCTGGGGTCCCTGCCAGGGGCGGTGACGCCCCCAGGGGATCTCCCGGGGACAGCGGCGCTCCCATGCATGGCAGCGCCTTCATGGGCCCTGCCAGAAGCGTTGGCGCCTTTACCGACAGACAATAACTAACCCATAACACAACCCTAACACACTATTAGCTTAGCTAGGTGGGCTTCTCTTACTTCCTCCTAAATTTCTTCAATTTCCGAACTATAACTTCCATCCACCCAACTCTAATCTTCTTTCACCCTCCTTTCTCTAAAAAAAAAAAAAAAACCTAAGGGTCCTGCCAGGGGGCTCTCAGAGCTCCAAATAGCGTTAAAACTACTGCAACCAGGGCCCTCCCAGGTACGGGAGTGCTTCCAGATGCCGTCCCAGGGGCGGTGGCACCCCTAGGGGCTCTCCCAGAAAAATTGGCGCTCTCAGGGGTCCTCCCATGGACGGGAATGCCCGCAGGGGCCCTGCCAGGGGCGGCAGCGCAAGCCAGGGCGTTCCCACAGGCCCTCCCAGGAACGTCGGTGCCCCCAGGGTCTCTCCCAGTGACAGCGACGCCCTAAGAGCCCTCCAAGGGTCGACGGTGCCCTCAAGGGCTCTGCAAAGGGCGGTGGCGCCCCTAAAGGCCTTGCCATAGGTGGTAGTGCCCTCAGGGCCTTCCCAGGGATGGCAGCGCCCTCAGAGGTCCTTCCAGAAATGGTGGCACCACCAGGGGCCTTGATAGGGGCGGTGGCACTCCCAGGGTTGGCGGTGCCCACAGGGGACCTGTCAAAGGAGGTGGCTCCTCCAGGGGCCCTACCAATGGCGGTGGCGTCCCCAGGGGCTATCCAAGGGGCAGCGACACTCCAAGGGGGTCCTCCCAGGGACGGCAGTGCCTCCATGGGCTCGGCCAGAGGTGTTGGCGACCCTAGGGGTGCTGGCTCCCCCAGGGGCCCTACCAGGGGCTCTCTCAGGGACATCAGCACTCACGGGGGCCCTCCCAAGGACAGCGATCCTCCCAAGGGCACTGACATGGATAGCGGTGCTCCCAGAGACTGTCCTAGGGACAGTGCTCGCTCCCAGGGGCCCTCGCAGGGGCAATGGCATCCCCAGGTAGCTCCCAGGGACCCTCCCAGTGGTGGCGCCGACCCCATGGATGGCGGCGCTCCCAGGGGGCCTGGCTGGAGGGATGGCGCCCCCAAGGGCCATGGCAGGGGTGGTGGAGCCTCCAGAGGCCATCCCAGGGAGGGCAGCACCTCCATGGGCCCTGCCAGTGGCGTTGGCGCCCCCAGGGGCACTAATAGAGGTGCTGGAGTAGGCAGAGGCCCTGCCAGGGGCGCCGTCGCCCCCAGGGGCTCTCTCAGGGACAGCAGCGCTCACGGGGGCCCTCCCAAGGCCACCGATCCTCCCAGTGGCACTGCCAGGGACGGTGGCACTCCCAGAAGCTCTTCTATGGACAGCAACGCTCCCAGGGACCTCTCAGAGGCAGTGGTTTCCCCAAGGGCCATGCCAGGGACAGTGGAGCTCCCAGGGGCGATGCGGAACCCCAGGGACCATACCAAGGGTAACCAGGGGCCCTATAGCACGCTTGTCCGTTGTTTCATATATAGTACATACTTCCAGCTGTCCCTTGCTTAACTGTGATTGGTGGACTATTCTTTTAACCCACAAAATAACAGCCAATAGGAGCAGAGAGCAGTCAGTCAGCACAACACCACAACTTATGTTTTCCTGTTGGATACTATTCTCCAATACCTTCTTCAGGATGCGATAATACTGGAAGAAATGTGATGGGCGGCAGTGTATTTATTTAACGTTGCTTCTCCAAGAGCTCTAAATAGCGCAAAAACTACTGCAACCAGGTGCCCTCCCAGGTATGGGAGCACTTCCAGATGCCGTGCCAGGGACGGTGGCACCCCTAGGGGCTCTCCCAGGAAATTTGGTGCTCTCAGGGGCCCTCCCAGGGACGGCGGCGCCAGCAGGTTCTCTCCCAGTGACAGCAGCGCCCTAGTAGCCCTCCCAGGGACGGCGGTGCCCCCAGGGTCTCTCCCAGTGACAGCAGCGCCCTAGGAGCCCTCCCAGGGACGGCAGCGCCCTCAGGGGCCATGCCAGGGACAGCGGAGCTTCCAGGGGTTGCGTTGACCCCAGGGACAGTTCGAAAGGTCCCCAGGGGCCCTATGGCATGCTTGTCTGTCATGTCATATATGTTAAATATTTCCAACAGTCCCTTACTTAACTGTGATTGGTGGACTATTCTTTTAACCCACCAAATAACAGCCAATAGGAGCAGAGAGCAGTCAGTCAGCACAACACCACAACTTATGTTTTCCTGTTGGATATTCTTCTCCATTACCTTCTTCAGGATGCGATAATACTGGAAGAAATGTGATGGGCGGCGGTGTATTTATTTAATGTTGCTTCTCCCAGAGCTCTAAATAGCACAAAAACTACTGCAACCAGAGGCCCTTCCAGGGACTGGAGCACTCTCAGGGGCCCTCCCAGGGATGGCAGCGCCTCCATGGGCCCTGCCAGAGGCGTTGGCGCCCCCAGGGGCACTGCTAGAGGTACTGGCGTAGGCAGGGGCCCTGCCAGGGGCGCCGTCGCCCCCAGGGGCTCTCTCAGGGACAGCGGCACTCACGGGGGCCCTCCTAGGGCCAGCGATACTCTCAGTGGCACTGCCAGGGACAGTGGCGCTCCCAGAAGCTCTCCTATGGACAGCGACGCTCCCAGGGACCTCTCAGGGGCAGTGGTTTCCCCAAGGGCCATGCCAGGGACAGTGGAGCTCCCAGGGGCGATGCCGACCCCAGGGACCGTACCAAGGGTCCCCAGGGGCCCTATAGCACGCTTGTCCGTGTCCTATATAGTACATACTTCCAGCTGTCCCTTGCTTAACTGTGATTGGTGGACTATTCTTTTAACCCACCAAATAACAGCCAATAGGAGCAGAGAGCAGTCAGTCAGCACAACACCACAATTTATGTTTTCCTGTTGGATACTATTCTCCAATACCTTCTTCAGAATGCGATAATACTGGAAGAAATGTGATGGGCGGCGGTGTATTTATTTAACGTTGCTTCTCCAAGAGCTCTAAATAGTGCAAAAACTACTGCAACCAGGTGCCCTCCCAGGTACGGGGGCACTTCCAGATGCCGTGCCAGGGTCGGTGGTACCCCTAGGGGCTCTCCCAGGAAATTTGGTGCTCTCAGGGGCCCTCCCAGGGACGGCGGCGCCCACAGGTTCTCTCCCAGTGACAGCAGCGCCCTAGGAGCCCTCCCAGGGATGGCGGCGCCCCCAGGGTCTCTCCCAGTGACAGAAGCGCCCTCGGAGCCCTCCCAGGGACGGCAGCGCCCCCAAGGGACATGCCAGGGACAGCGGAGCTTCCAGGGGTTGCGTTGACCCCAGGGACAGTTCGAAAGGTCCCCAGGGGCCCTATGGCATGCTTGTCTGTCATGTCATATATATTAAATATTTCCAACAGTCCCTTACTTAACTGTGATTGGTGGACTATTCTTTTAACCCACCAAATAACAGCCAATAGGAGCAGAGAGCAGTCAGTCAGCACAACACCACAACTTATGTTTTCCTGTTGGATACTATTCTCCAATACCTTCTTCACGATGCCATAATACTGGAAGAAATGTGATGGGCGGCGGTGTATTTATTCAATGTTGCTTCTCCCAGAGCTCTAAATAGCGGAAAAACTACTGCAACCAGAGACCTTTCCAGGAAAGGGAGCACTCTCAGGGGTCCTCCCAGGGACAGTGGCGCCCCCAGGAACAGCGGCGCCACAGAGGCATTCCCAGGGACGTCGGCGCCTCCAAAGGCCCTACAAGGGACGGTGGCGCTTTTAGGGGCACTGGCGCCCCCAGGGACTCTCCCTGGGACAATGTCGCCCCCAGGGGCCCCCCAAAGAACGGCAGCGCCCCCAGGGTCTCTCCCAGTGACAGCAGCGCCCTAGGAGCCCTCCCAGGGACGGCAGCGCCCTCAGGGGCCATGCCAGGGACAGCGGAGCTTCCAGGGGTTGCGTTGACCCCAGGGACAGTTCGAAAGGTCCCCAGGGGCCCTATGGCATGCTTGTCTGTCATGTCATATATGTTAAATATTTCCAACAGTCCCTTACTTAACTGTGATTGGTGGACTATTCTTTTAACCCACCAAATAACAGCCAATAGGAGCAGAGAGCAGTCAGTCAGCACAACACCACAACTTATGTTTTCCTGTTGGATATTCTTCTCCATTACCTTCTTCAGGATGCGATAATACTGGAAGAAATGTGATGGGCGGCGGTGTATTTATTTAATGTTGCTTCTCCCAGAGCTCTAAATAGCACAAAAACTACTGCAACCAGAGGCCCTTCCAGGGACTGGAGCACTCTCAGGGGCCCTCCCAGGGATGGCAGCGCCTCCATGGGCCCTGCCAGAGGCGTTGGCGCCCCCAGGGGCACTGCTAGAGGTACTGGCGTAGGCAGGGGCCCTGCCAGGGGCGCCGTCGCCCCCAGGGGCTCTCTCAGGGACAGCGGCACTCACGGGGGCCCTCCTAGGGCCAGCGATACTCTCAGTGGCACTGCCAGGGACAGTGGCGCTCCCAGAAGCTCTCCTATGGACAGCGACGCTCCCAGGGACCTCTCAGGGGCAGTGGTTTCCCCAAGGGCCATGCCAGGGACAGTGGAGCTCCCAGGGGCGATGCCGACCCCAGGGACCGTACCAAGGGTCCCCAGGGGCCCTATAGCACGCTAGTCCGTGTCCTATATAGTACATACTTCCAGCTGTCCCTTGCTTAGCTGTGATTGGTGGACTATTCTTTTAACCCACCAAATAACAGCCAATAGGAGCAGAGAGCAGTCAGTCAGCACAACACCACAATTTATGTTTTCCTGTTGGATACTATTCTCCAATACCTTCTTCAGAATGCGATAATACTGGAAGAAATGTGATGGGCGGCGGTGTATTTATTTAACGTTGCTTCTCCAAGAGCTCTAAATAGCGCAAAAACTACTGCAACCAGGTGCCCTCCCAGGTACGGGGGCACTTCCAGATGCCGTGCCAGGGTCGGTGGTACCCCTCGGGGCTCTCCCAGGAAATTTGGTGCTCTCAGGGGCCCTCCCAGGGACGGCGGCGCCCACAGGTTCTCTCCAAGTGACAGCAGCGCCCTAGGAGCCCTCCCAGGGATGGCGGCGCCCCCAGGGTCTCTCCCAGTGACAGAAGCGCCCTCGGAGCCCTCCCAGGGACGGCAGCGCCCCCAAGGGACATGCCAGGGACAGCGGAGCTTCCAGGGGTTGCGTTGACCCCAGGGACAGTTCGAAAGGTCCCCAGGGGCCCTATGGCATGCTTGTCTGTCATGTCATATATATTAAATATTTCCAACAGTCCCTTACTTAACTGTGATTGGTGGACTATTCTTTTAACCCACCAAATAACAGCCAATAGGAGCAGAGAGCAGTCAGTCAGCACAACACCACAACTTATGTTTTCCTGTTGGATACTATTCTCCAATACCTTCTTCAGGATGCGATAATACTGGAAGAAATGTGATGGGCGGCGGTGTATTTATTCAATGTTGCTTCTCCCAGAGCTCTAAATAGCGGAAAAACTACTGCAACCAGAGACCTTTCCAGGAAAGGGAGCACTCTCAGGGGTCCTCCCAGGGACAGTGGCGCCCCCAGGAACAGCGGCGCCACAGAGGCATTCCCAGGGACGTCGGCGCCTCCAAAGGCCCTGCAAGGGACGGTGGCGCTTTTAGGGGCACTGGCGCCCCCAGGGACTCTCCCTGGGACAATGTCGCCCCCAGGGGCCCCCCAAGGAACGGCAGCGCCCCCAGGGTCTCTCCCAGTGACAGCAGCGCCCTAGGAGCCCTCCCAGGGACGGCAGCGCCCTCAGGGGCAATGCCAGGGACAGCGGAGCTTCCAGGGGTTGCGTTGACCCCAGGGACAGTTCGAAAGGTCCCCAGGGGCCCTATGGCATGCTTGTCTGTCATGTCATATATGTTAAATATTTCCAACAGTCCCTTACTTAACTGTGATTGGTGGACTATTCTTTTAACCCACCAAATAACAGCCAATAGGAGCAGAGAGCAGTCAGTCAGCACAACACCACAACTTATGTTTTCCTGTTGGATATTCTTCTCCATTACCTTCTTCAGGATGCGATAATACTGGAAGAAATGTGATGGGCGGCGGTGTATTTATTTAATGTTGCTTCTCCCAGAGCTCTAAATAGCACAAAAACTACTGCAACCAGAGGCCCTTCCAGGGACTGGAGCACTCTCAGGGGCCCTCCCAGGGATGGCAGCGCCTCCATGGGCCCTGCCAGAGGCGTTGGCGCCCCCAGGGGCACTGCTAGAGGTACTGGCGTAGGCAGGGGCCCTGCCAGGGGCGCCGTCGCCCCCAGGGGCTCTCTCAGGGACAGCGGCACTCACGGGGGCCCTCCTAGGGCCAGCGATACTCTCAGTGGCACTGCCAGGGACAGTGGCGCTCCCAGAAGCTCTCCTATGGACAGCGACGCTCCCAGGGACCTCTCAGGGGCAGTGGTTTCCCCAAGGGCCATGCCAGGGACAGTGGAGCTCCCAGGGGCGATGCCGACCCCAGGGACCGTACCAAGGGTCCCCAGGGGCCCTATAGCACGCTAGTCCGTGTCCTATATAGTACATACTTCCAGCTGTCCCTTGCTTAGCTGTGATTGGTGGACTATTCTTTTAACCCACCAAATAACAGCCAATAGGAGCAGAGAGCAGTCAGTCAGCACAACACCACAATTTATGTTTTCCTGTTGGATACTATTCTCCAATACCTTCTTCAGAATGCGATAATACTGGAAGAAATGTGATGGGCGGCGGTGTATTTATTTAACGTTGCTTCTCCAAGAGCTCTAAATAGCGCAAAAACTACTGCAACCAGGTGCCCTCCCAGGTACGGGGGCACTTCCAGATGCCGTGCCAGGGTCGGTGGTACCCCTCGGGGCTCTCCCAGGAAATTTGGTGCTCTCAGGGGCCCTCCCAGGGACGGCGGCGCCCACAGGTTCTCTCCAAGTGACAGCAGCGCCCTAGGAGCCCTCCCAGGGATGGCGGCGCCCCCAGGGTCTCTCCCAGTGACAGAAGCGCCCTCGGAGCCCTCCCAGGGACGGCAGCGCCCCCAAGGGACATGCCAGGGACAGCGGAGCTTCCAGGGGTTGCGTTGACCCCAGGGACAGTTCGAAAGGTCCCCAGGGGCCCTATGGCATGCTTGTCTGTCATGTCATATATATTAAATATTTCCAACAGTCCCTTACTTAACTGTGATTGGTGGACTATTCTTTTAACCAACCAAATAACAGCCAATAGGAGCAGAGAGCAGTCAGTCAGCACAACACCACAACTTATGTTTTCCTGTTGGATATTCTTCTCCATTACCTTCTTCAGGATGCGATAATACTGGAAGAAATGTGATGGGCGGCGGTGTATTTATTCAATGTTGCTTCTCCCAGAGCTCTAAATAGCGGAAAAACTACTGCAACCAGAGACCTTTCCAGGAAAGGGAGCACTCTCAGGGGTCCTCCCAGGGACAGTGGCGCCCCCAGGAACAGCGGCGCCACAGAGGCATTCCCAGGGACGTCGGCGCCTCCAAAGGCCCTGCAAGGGACGGTGGCGCTTTTAGGGGCACTGGCGCCCCCAAGGGACTCTCCCTGGGACAATGTCGCCCCCAGGGGCCCCCCAAGGAACGGCAGCGCCCCCAGGGTCTCTCCCAGTGACAGCAGCGCCCTAGGAGCCCTCCCAGGGACGGCAGCGCCCTCAGGGGCCATGCCAGGGACAGCGGAGCTTCCAGGGGTTGCGTTGACCCCAGGGACAGTTCGAAAGGTCCCCAGGGGCCCTATGGCATGCTTGTCTGTCATGTCATATATGTTAAATATTTCCAACAGTCCCTTACTTAACTGTGATTGGTGGACTATTCTTTTAACCCACCAAATAACAGCCAATAGGAGCAGAGAGCAGTCAGTCAGCACAACACCACAACTTATGTTTTCCTGTTGGATATTCTTCTCCATTACCTTCTTCAGGATGCGATAATACTGGAAGAAATGTGATGGGCGGCGGTGTATTTATTTAATGTTGCTTCTCCCAGAGCTCTAAATAGCACAAAAACTACTGCAACCAGAGGCCCTTCCAGGGACTGGAGCACTCTCAGGGGCCCTCCCAGGGATGGCAGCGCCTCCATGGGCCCTGCCAGAGGCGTTGGCGCCCCCAGGGGCACTGCTAGAGGTACTGGCGTAGGCAGGGGCCCTGCCAGGGGCGCCGTCGCCCCCAGGGGCTCTCTCAGGGACAGCGGCACTCACGGGGGCCCTCCTAGGGCCAGCGATACTCTCAGTGGCACTGCCAGGGACAGTGGCGCTCCCAGAAGCTCTCCTATGGACAGCGACGCTCCCAGGGACCTCTCAGGGGCAGTGGTTTCCCCAAGGGCCATGCCAGGGACAGTGGAGCTCCCAGGGGCGATGCCGACCCCAGGGACCGTACCAAGGGTCCCCAGGGGCCCTATAGCAGGCTAGTCCGTGTCCTATATAGTACATACTTCCAGCTGTCCCTTGCTTAGCTGTGATTGGTGGACTATTCTTTTAACCCACCAAATAACAGCCAATAGGAGCAGAGAGCAGTCAGTCAGCACAACACCACAATTTATGTTTTCCTGTTGGATACTATTCTCCAATACCTTCTTCAGAATGCGATAATACTGGAAGAAATGTGATGGGCGGCGGTGTATTTATTTAACGTTGCTTCTCCAAGAGCTCTAAATAGCGCAAAAACTACTGCAACCAGGTGCCCTCCCAGGTACGGGGGCACTTCCAGATGCCGTGCCAGGGTCGGTGGTACCCCTAGGGGCTCTCCCAGGAAATTTGGTGCTCTCAGGGGCCCTCCCAGGGACGGCGGCGCCCACAGGTTCTCTCCCAGTGACAGCAGCGCCCTAGGAGCCCTCCCAGGGATGGCGGCGCCCCCAGGGTCTCTCCCAGTGACAGAAGCGCCCTCGGAGCCCTCCCAGGGACGGCAGCGCCCCCAAGGGACATGCCAGGGACAGCGGAGCTTCCAGGGGTTGCGTTGACCCCAGGGACAGTTCGAAAGGTCCCCAGGGGCCCTATGGCATGCTTGTCTGTCATGTCATATATATTAAATATTTCCAACAGTCCCTTACTTAACTGTGATTGGTGGACTATTCTTTTAACCCACCAAATAACAGCCAATAGGAGCAGAGAGCAGTCAGTCAGCACAACACCACAACTTATGTTTTCCTGTTGGATACTATTCTCCAATACCTTCTTCAGGATGCGATAATACTGGAAGAAATGTGATGGGCGGCGGTGTATTTATTCAATGTTGCTTCTCCCAGAGCTCTAAATAGCGGAAAAACTACTGCAACCAGAGACCTTTCCAGGAAAGGGAGCACTCTCAGGGGTCCTCCCAGGGACAGTGGCGCCCCCAGGAACAGCGGCGCCACAGAGGCATTCCCAGGGACGTCGGCGCCTCCAAAGGCCCTGCAAGGGACGGTGGCGCTTTTAGGGGCACTGGCGCCCCCAGGGACTCTCCCTGGGACAATGTCGCCCCCAGGGGCCCTCCTATAAACGGCAGCACCCTCGGGGGCCCTCCCAGAAACGGTGGCGCCCCCAGGGGCCTTGATAGAGGCGGTGGCACTCCCAGGAAGAGCGGCGCCCTCATGGGCCTTCCTAAAGATGGAGGCGCTCCCAGGGGGCCTGGCAGGAGTGGTGGCGCCCCCAGCGGCTCTGCCAGGGGCGGTGGAGCCCCCAGGGGCCCTCCCAGGGACGGCAGCGCCTCCATGTGCCCTGCCAGAGGCCTTGGCGCCCCCAGGAGCACTGCTAGAGGTGCTGGCATAGGCAGGGGTCCTGCCTAGGGCGCCGTCGCCCCCAGGGGTTCTCTCGGGGAAAGTGGCGCTCACGGGGGCCCTCCCAGGGCCAGCGATCCTCACAGTGGCACTGTCAGGAATGGTGGCGCTCCCATAAGCTCTTCTATGGACAGCGACGCTCCCGGGGACCTCTCAGGGGCAGTGGTTTCCCCAAGGCCCATGCCAGGGACATTAGAGCTCCCAGGGGCGATGCCGACTCCAGGGACCGTACCAAGGGTCCCCAGAGACCCTATAGCATGCTTGTCAGTCGTATCCTATATACAGTAGTACATACTTCCAGCTGTCCCTTGCTTAACTGTGATTGGTGGACTATTCTTTTAACCCACCAAATAACAGCCAATAGGAGCAGAGAGCAGTCAGTCAGCACAACACAACAACTTATGTTTTCCTGTTGAATATTATTCTCAAATACCTTCTTCAGAATGCGATAATACCGGAAATGTGATGGGCGGCAGTGTAATTATTTAACGTTGTTTCTCCCAGAGCTCTAAATAGCGCAAAAACTACTGCAACCAGAGGCCCTTCCAGGGACGGGAGCACTCTCAGGGGCCCTCCCAGGGATGGCAGCGCCTCCATGGGCTCTGCCAGAGGCGTTGGCGCCCCCAGGGGCACTGCTAGAGGTACAGGCGTAGGCAGGGGCCCTGCCAGGGCCGCCGTCGCCCCCAGGGGCTCTCTCAGGGACAGCGGCACTCACGGGGGCCCTCCTAGGGCCAGCGATACTCTCAGTGGCACTGACAGGGACAGTGGCGCTCCCAGAAGCTCTCCTATGGACAGCGACGCTCCCAGGGACCTCTCAGGGGCAGTGGTTTCCCCAAGGGCCATTCCAGGGACAGTGGAGCTCCCAGAGGCGATGCCGACCCCAGGGACCGTACCAAGGGTCCCCAGGGGCCCTATAGCAAGCTTGTCCGTGTCCTATATAGTACATACTTCCAGCTGTCCCTTGCTTAACTGTGATTGGTGGACTATTCTTTTAACCCACCAAATAACAGCCAATAGGAGCAGAGAGCAGTCAGTCAGCACAACACCACAATTTATGTTTTCCTGTTGGATACTATTCTCCAATACCTTCTTCAGAATGCGATAATACTGGAAGAAATGTGATGGGCGGCGGTGTATTTATTTAACGTTGCTTCTCCAAGGGCTCTAAATAGCGCAAAAACTACTGCAACCAGGTGCTCTCCTAGGTACGGGGGCACTTCCAGATGCCGTGCCAGGGTCGGTGGTACCCCTAGGGGCTCTCCCAGGAAATTTGGTGCCCTCAGGGGCCCTCCCAGTGACGGCGGCGCCCACAGGTTCTCTCCCAGTGACAGCAGCGCCCTAGGAGCCCTCCCAGGGATGGCGGCGCCCCCAGGGTCTCTCCCAGTGACAGAAGCGCCCTCGGAGCCCTCCCAGGGACGGCAGCGCCCCCAGGGGACATGCCAGGGACAGCGGAGCTTCCAGGGGTTGCGTTGACCCCAGGGACAGTTCGAAAGGTCCCCAGGGGCCCTATGGCATGCTTGTCTGTCATGTCATATATATTAAATATTTCCAACAGTCCCTTACTTAACTGTGATTGGTGGACTATTCTTTTAACCCACCAAATAACAGCCAATAGGAGCAGAGAGCAGTCAGTCAGCACAACACCACAACTTATGTTTTCCTGTTGGATATTATTCTCCATTACCTTCTTCAGGATGCGATAATACTGGAAGAAATGTGATGGGCGGCGGTGTATTTATTTAATGTTGCTTCTCCCAGAGCTCTAAATAGCGCAAAAACTACTGCAACCAGAGACCCTTCCAGGAAAGGGAGCACTCTCAGGGGTCCTCCCAGGGACAGTGGCGCCCCCAGGAACAGCGGCACCACAGAGGTCCTCCCAGGGACGTCGGCGCCTCCAAAGGCCCTGCAAGGGATGGTGGCGCTTTTAGGGGCACTGGCGCCCCCAGGGACTCTCCCTCGGACAATGTCGCCCCCAGGGGCCCCCCAAGGAACGGCAGCGCCCTCAGGGGCCCTCCTATAAGCGGCAGCACCCTCGGGGGCCCTCCAAGAAACGGTGGCGCCCCCAGGGGCCTTGATAGAGGCGGTGGCACTCCCAGGAAGAGCGGCGCCCTCATGGGCCTTCCTAAAGATGGAGGCGCTCCCAGGGGGCCTGGCAGGAGTGGTGGCGCCCCCAGCGGCTCTGCCAGGGGCGGTGGAGCCCCCAGGGGCCCTCCCAGGGACAGCAGCACCTCCATGTGCCCTGCCAGAGGCGTTGGCGCCCCCAGGGGCACTGCTAGAGGTACTGGCATAGGCAGGGGCCCTGCCAGGGGCGCCGTCGCCCCCCGGAACTCTCTCAGGGACAGCGGCGCTCACGGAGGCCTTCCCAGGGCCAGCGATCCTCCCAGTGTCACTGCCAGGGACGTGGCGCTCCCAGAAGCTCTCCTATGGACAGAGACCTCTCAGGGGCAGTGGTTTCCCCAAGGACCATGATAGGGAAAGTGGAGCTCCCAGGGGCGATGAAAACCCCAGACACCGTACCAAGGGTCCCCAGGGGCCCTATGGCATGCTTGTCTGTCATGTCATATATATTAAATATTTCCAACAGTCCCTTACTTAACTGTAATTGGTGGACTATTCTTTTAACCCACCAAATAACAGCCAATAGGAGCAGAGAGCAGTCAGTCAGCACAACACCACAACTTATGTTTTCCTGTTGGATATTATTCTCCATTACCTTCTTCAGGATGCGATAATACTGGAAGAAATGTGATGGGCGGCGGTGTATTTATTTAATGTTGCTCCTCCCAGAGCTCTAAATAGCGCAAAAACTACTGCAACCAGAGGCCCTTCCAGGAAAGGGAGCACTCTCAGGGGTCCTCCCAGGTACAGTGGCGCCCCCAGGAACAGCGGCGCCGCAGAGGCCCTCCCAGGGACGTCGGCGCCTCCAAGGGCCCTGCAAGGGACGGTGGCGCTATTAGGGGCGCTGGCGCCCCCAGGGGTTCTCCCTGGGACAATGTCACCCCCAGGGACCCCCAAGGAACGGCAGCGCCCTCAGGGGCCCTCCCATAAACGGCAGCACCCTCGGGGCCCTCCCAGAAATGGTGGCGACCCTAGGGGCCTCGCCAGAGGCGGTGGCACTCCCAGGAAGAGCGGCGCCCCCATGGGCCTTCCCAAAGATTGCGACGCTCCCAGTGGGCCTGGCAGGAGCGGTGGCTCCCCCAGGGGCCCTGCCAGGGGCGGTGGAGCCCCCTGGGTCTCTCCCAGTGACAGCAGCGCCCTAGGAGCCCTCCCAGCGACGGTAGCGCCTCCATGGGCCCTGCCAGAGGCCTTGGCGCCCCCAGGAGCACTGCTAGAGGTGCTGGCATAGGCAGGGGTCCTGCCTGGGGCGCCGTCGCCCCCAGGGGTTCTCTCGGGGACAGTGGCGCTCACGGGGGCCCTCCCAGGGCCAGCGATCCTCACAGTGGCACTGCCAGGAATGGTGGCGCTCCCAGAAGCTCTCCTATGGACAGCGACGCTCCCAGGGACCTCTCAGGGGCAGTGGTTTCCCCAAGGCCCATGCCAGGGACATTGGAGCTCCCAGGGGCGATGCCGACCCCAGGGACCGTACCAAGGGTCCCCAGAGACCCTATAGCATGCTTGTCCGTCGTATCCTATATACAGTAGTACATACTTCTAGCTGTCCCTTGCTTAACTGTGATTGGTGGACTATTCTTTTAACCCACCAAATAACAGCCAATAGGAGCAGAGAGCAGTGAGTCAGCACAACACAACAACTTATGTTTTCCTGTTGGATATTATTCTCAAATACCTTCTTCAGAATGCGATAATACCGGAAATGTGATGGGCGGCAGTGTAATTATTTAACGTTGTTTCTCCCAGAGCTCTAAATAGCGCAAAAACTACTGCAACCAGAGGCCCTTCCAGGGACGGGAGCACTCTCAGGGGCCCTCCCAGGGATGGCAGCGCCTCCATGGGCCCTGCCAGAGGCGTTGGTGCCCCCAGGGGCACTGCTAGAGGTACTGGCGTAGGCAGGGGCCCTGCCAGGGGCGCCGTCGCCCCCAGGGGCTCTCTCAGTGACAGCGGCGCTCACGGGGGCCCTCCTAGGGCCAGCGATCCTCCCAGTGGCACTGACAGGGACGGTGACGCTCCCAGAAGCTCTCCTATGGACAGCGACGCTCCCAGAGACCTCTCAGGGGCAGTGGTTTCCCCAAGGGTCATGCCAGGGACAGTGGAGTTCCCAGGGGCGATGCCGACCCCAGGGGCCCTATAGCATGCTTGTCCGTCGTATCCTATATACAGTAGTACATACTTCCAGCTGTCCCTTGCTTAACTGTGATTGGTGAACTATTCTTTTAACCCACCAAATAACAGCCAATAGGAGAAAAGAGAGGTCAGTCAGCACAACACCAGAACTTATGATTTCCTGTTGGATATTATTCTCCAATACCTTCTTCAGAATGCTATAATACTGGAAATGTGATGGGCGGCAGTGTATTTATTTAACGCTGCTTCTCTCAGAGTTCTAAATAATGCAAAAACTACTGCAACCAGAGGCCCTTCCTGGGACGGGAGCACTCTCAGGGGCCTTGCAAGGGGCGGTGGCGCCATCAGGGGCACTGGCGCCCCCAGGGGCTCTCTCCGTGGGACAATGTCGCCCCCAGGGGCCCTCCAATGAACGGCAGCGCCCTCAGGGGCCCTCCCAGAAACGACAGTGCCTTCGGGGGCCCTCCCAGAAACGGCGGCGCTGCCAGGGGCGGTGGCGCCCCCAGGGGCACTACTAGAGGTGCTGGCGCAGGCAGGGGCCCTGACAGAGGCGCTGGCGCCCCCAGGGGTTCTCTCAGGGGCCCTCCTAGGGACAACGATCCTCCCAGTGGCACTTCCAGGGACGGTGGCGCTTCCAGAAGCGCTCCTAAGGACATCGACGCTCCCAGGGACCTCTCAGGGGCAGTGGTAACCTATACCGGATAACTGAACATAAAAATATTAGTCAGAAAGCAAATCAGTCTGGTTTCAATAATTATTTTAATGCAGTTTATATTGAATATGATTATTCCGCTCTAGCATGGAGTTTATGGAGTACTGGAGTCAATTCAGTTGATGGTGGGCGAGACGATTCTGTTTTCATCGGAGGCTGAGACGTGATGTTTAGGTTCAGTGCTAAATTATGCACAAAACAGAGTAAAAATCCAAGATGGTACAGCGCCCACTAATGTCTACCCTGGAGTGGGGTATGTGATAGTGTGTTTAGCTGCACCCTAAGTTAAGTTAGACTTTATTCCCTTTGGGCATAAGCCGAGTTTACGATCACGAGTGTGAGTGCACGAGCTTGAATTTGCATTTGCGTGCATGACATCACGTAAGTATGAGTTTGAGTGTGCGTGCGCCACCAGAAGGTTTCTCCCCGCCCAGCACTACATCAAAGCCTGCTCATATTACACAGTCAATGTTAATGCTGTTTACAGTCAACCAGAATAATAAACGAATATATATTTTTCCAAGCGTGTTATATTAGCTTACCCTTAAAAATCCTCGCCACAACAAAGGATTACGTTCCGCAATAATTTCATGCGTATTTGCCAAGGGATACACATGAATGGGGATTTCCTCTCCTAAATTATTTGTTGCTCTTTGGAATAAAAAAAATAGTAGTGTGTAAAATATTTTTCATGGATGTTGCGATTGAAATTAGATTAATTATATGCCATTACTCTTCTCTGAAATATTGAAAATGCTTTTAATCATCAAGTGAAACAAGCTGAGTGGTGGAAAGGTCTAATCTTCACGTGATTCGAAAAATCAAAATGTCTGTCACTTTATGAGGGAGACGCAAACAATGACTTCGCCTGTCTTGGCATTAAGAAGGAGCACATCCTTGACGTTACTTAAGATAAACAAAAAACAAAACAAAATAATGCCACAAACAAACAGAGGAGAAAATGAATGCGTGGAAAATAAAGTTAATTTTTTTCTTCCAAGGATAAGACAAACAGAGAAACTCGTTGACTTCCGATAAAAATCAGAATTTCCCGCGCTGTCAAAACCCGGGGCTGAAGGAACAGAGCAAACACCCACTGTTTTGACGAATAACCGACCCAGCAAAAAAACTCTGAATAACGCGGGAAAAACTTAAGACCTCTCACAATATGCATTCACGTCAAAATATTTCAGCGTTTTTTTCTTTTTATTGGACTGACGACAGATTTTTTTTTTTTATAATTTTCACAGTACGAGGAATAATTCAGGATTACCCCCCCCCCACACACACGAAAGAAAATAACTAGATACAGTATAATCTTTTCTTTGAGAAAGTTAAGTTTTAAATACTGTAATATAATTATAAATCCCGAAAAAATCTATGTATAATTATTTAACAAACAAATAATCGTAATGGTTCCAATGTATAGATTAACAAATAATATACATGAGACGTAACCAACACTCACATATTATCACAAACATAAAATAGAATAATTTAATATAAAGCAAGTAACGTTACAAACACAAAACAAACAAAACCTATCACCAATACCACTACGACAGTTCCGATCAACCACCACAATCTCGCATCTATCACAATCTGACCAACTCACCATTACTACCACAATCTGATCTACCAACACTACTATCATAATTTATGATCAGCCGCCACTACCACTACAAAAAAACTACTACCACGATCTAATCTACCACAATTTATGACCTCCTACTACTACAATCTGTAATGCGATGCAACTATCACAATCTGACCTTCCACAATCCTTAATCAACTACCTACCATTTCTACATCCAGGCTACAGCAATTACTACTGAAATCTACCAATCTACCACTACACAGATCCACCACAATCTGATCAATAAGCACTATTACAGTTATTACAACGAACAATTAAACCCCCAAAACAACTTAATTTACGCAATTGCATCAACAGTCATTCACTAGTACCACAATCTTAGTGACAACAACTACCACTAACCTCACAACCACTAATATCACTATCTCTGGCGTATGGTTGGTCACAACATATACAAACATTTCAACCACTAATAACTATGCGTATACTAATACTATCAATGTTTATACCACTCCCACTAACAATTTTATACCACTACAACCACTATCAATGTTTATGTCATTACAACCACTAACAATTTTTATACCACTACGACCACTATCAACATCTCTTTACAACCACACCTACAACAATTACTCTTTTCATTTCTTCAAAATACCACGACCATCATCACAACATTTCCATGACTACCGTTACAACTTACAGTATCCTACAGCACCTACACACAAACCCTTCCAAACACGCTCATAATATCTCCTCTACACACACACACACATACACAGCCCCTCGCCCGGGAAAACACTTTTATCCAGCAATAAATTAGAGCTGCGCGCGTAGGAAAACTGACGTAATTTTTGCTCCTGTACAAACGAGGGAGCACTTTTTTCCCTCGCCGCGGCCCGAGTTCTTGGCATGGTCCTCCCGCCCTCCTTAGACCTCCTGTCCGCCCTCCTTAGCCCGCCCGCCCTCCCTAGCATACCCGTCCGCCCGCCCTCCCCAGCCTACCAAGCTCAATCTGTCCCCAGTCTTTTTCATTTTATCTGTCTAGACCAGTGATTCTCAGAGTTCCCAACGTTCATTTTTCCTCATCCACTGGAGCTGTAGGAGGGTATCTAACAAGTTCACTTAAGTTACGACATGAAGATAGATTCTCCAAGATATGTGAACTTTCCCCGCAAGAATTTATCCTCGTGGTTCACAAGCAGCCATTTTTTTAAACATTCCGGGCACCAAGTCCGAAGAGCAATTCCGAGTATCACGTTAAGTTTTAGTAACCTGGTAAATGAATTCGTCAAACTCTATTAGCAGCTTTTACATTCAGGTTACCATTTAGTAACAGTAATGCCGTAACTCGGGAAGGTTGGCTACACCTTCTCCTGGAAGAGCAAAGCCAGCTGCGAAGAGAAACTGTATTTATAGAGTTGGCTATGCCATCCGCCAAAGCATCCCACACAGGCTAACTGAAATGTCTATTGGGATCAACTAGTGCCTCATGGAGCTTCGAGTCCCACTGGATCACTCACGTCATGCCTTCTTCATCAGTGCAAACGCCCCAACACTGGATGCAGATGATGACATCAAGGAGGCCTTTTACGACGACCTCGTCAGAGTGCTAACCTCTATCCCCAGAGAAGACAAGGTTGTGCTCCTTGGCGACTTCAATGCCAGAGTTGGCAGAGATGCTAACATTTGACAGGGATCCATAGGGAGAAATGGAGTAGGCATGTGTAATCCCAACGGCCTACTCCTTCTCAGCAAGTGTGCTGCACACAACCTCACTATCACCAATATCTTGTTTAGGCAGACAGACAAGTTCAAGGATTCGTGGCAACACCCACGATCCAAACACTGGCATCTCATTGACTAAATCATTGTGAGACAAAGAGATCGCCAAGATGTCCTCATCAACCATGCCATGCGCGTCTCAGACCACTGTGACACTGATCATCGACTTGTCAGATCCAATCTATCACTTCATGTCGTCCCAAGACAGTGAAGGCAGGAGGCACCTCAAGGCACTTGAAAACTTTCACCAACATAGTCTACGTTCCATCCTCCGAGTTCGCTGGGAAGACAAGAGAACAAATGCCAGTATTCTTGCTGACACCAACTGTAGAGCATCGAGGCTACCATTATCCATGAACAACTTCGTTGGACTGGTCATGTTACCCGCATGGACGACAGTAGACTGCCAAAGCAGCTACTTTACAGTCACCTAACGAAAAGTAAACGTAACTCCGGCTGGCAATTGAAAAGGTTTAAGTATACTGTAGTCTTAAGACAAACCTGAAAGAGTACGAAATCGACCCCCTTACCTGGGAGTTGATTACTCCACATCATAATGCTTGGAGGAACACCGCAGAAGGTGTCAATGCTTTCGAGTTAGCCCGACTGCAAACCGAGGCAGAGAATCGCCAACGCCGGAAAGACGGTGCCACCGCCCCTCCCGCAGTAGATGGAGCCCTCCACATATGCAATGAATGTGAACGACACTGCGGGTCCCGTATCGGTCTCTTTAGTCACCTCAAATCTCACCAACCTAGGTGATATCCTTAATAACTCATATCATTGTATCATAGCTGGGTGACCGTCATACTCGAATCCGAGTGACAGCAAAGTAGTAGTAGTATATTCTCTTTCATTTTTCATGCTTTAACTGTTTCTTCGTTTCTTGTAAAACAAACCAGATTATTATATCAGTCTATTTTGTGGAATATTTTCCTATGTATTGTGATACTGTTCATTTATTGTATACTCCTACTTATGATAAATAAGATAGTTACTGCTCTTTGCTGCCTTGAAATACACCAGAAATATTCTAAGTGACATCCATGAACAATTATTTTATTTCTTGTCACCCATGGATATAAGGTGTGCAGTTAACAACTGCAGTAAATTATTACCTCACTATTGTAGTTTAGTACATAACTACAAGAAAAAATCCAATATATCCCTAAAACTAATGAAATCAGTTCACAAACACAAAAAACCTACCGAACTACTGTAAAGTATCACCTAACTGCCCAGTACTGTAACTTAGTAACTAATTATACTGTAATTTAGCTCCTATCACATTAAAAAATGAATAAAGTATAAACTTATACATTACCTTAAGGTACCATGGGTTTTGTGTAGTGAGAAAGTGGTGAAGGAATAGAATATGTGTATTTGTGAATACAGTATAGCCAGAGCGAGCACTCATGGTGCGAGAGACACTGTACCTGTCTGTACAATATTACGAATTAAAACAAAATTGGCAGTACAGTACAGTACTGTAGAATTAATATGCCTGCCCCTTGCTTTATAGAATTTCAGGAATATTGCCAGTTAATTATATTACAATACTCTGTATGTTATTTTAGTTTGCAAAATAAACAAAATTATTTTGAATTAAGAAAAATTTTGCAGTACTGTACAGTAAAATTATTTATTGTTCAGCGTTTTACGATATGATCATCTATCAATTTAATTTTATCTTAGTAGGGCTTAGCTTAAACTACTAAGTAATTCTTTTTATCAATATTGTAATTGTTGGTCTTTTTAAATTAAATTCATGTATAATTTAGTGTTTTGTCTTTATCTGCCCTATATACAGTACAGTACTGTAATGACATAACTTGGAATGGGGCTTAATATATATTGGTCATTTTTCATGATTTCTCATTTGTATTTAAATTTTATATTTTTGTGGTTTTATAAATTAGAGGTAATTATATTTATGAAATGCTTTAATATACAGTAGTGTTTTATCATTAATTCCACCTCTGGCTGTGGGCAATCTAGTTAAACTGTGGAGACTTTGCCATGAGTGTCATAACTGATAATATAAACTGAGATTTATTTATTTTTTTAATTATCTCTGTTTATTGTTTTTTGCAGTTAATGGAGAATATGAAATCATCCTTTTTATGTTCTAACAAGAGTTATGATTTTTTTGGTTCTTTTAGTTCTTGTGAAAACAATGATTATTTCAACATATTTTTTGCTGTAATTTCATATACAATATCGAGTATTGTACACACATACTGTACAACACACAGAATACCGTATTGTATATGAAATTATATTAGGGTTAGTGACGGTGGCTCTTCTTATCCCTCTTTCTTTTTCGTTGTCTTTTTTTCTTCCCCTTGCACCTTCTTCCTCTACGGGTTGAGTCTGAGGAAGAAGAGGAGGAGAAAGAGGAAGAGGAGGAAGAAGAAGAAGAGGAGGATGAGGAGGAGGAGGACGAACTCATCGGACGAGTCGTCGTCCGATGGTGATATGCCTGGATGCTCTCCTCCCTCCAGTTCTTTGGGTCGACATATTTTTTTCAATAGTCTTTTGCTCACCACTACATAGGAGACACCGATGATGAGGACAAGGGCGAGGATGCTGGCCGAAGTGTGGGAAATGGTGGGCTGGGGGCAGGACTCGGGCACCTGTTTCAGGAGCCGACGCAGGTGCAATGCCTGTCGGGCCCAGTGGACAACTGGGATGGTCCACACACCCTCAGCTTTCTCTGGGGATAGGTGAGGGTGTGCGGCTCCAAGTAGTCGGATTACCACCTTAACAGGGTCAGGGTGGTGTTTGCCGCAGACATACGCTGAAATCTTCCTGGAGCTTCATGCCGGTTATTTTTGTAGCTGCCTTTAAAAATGTTCGACAAAATCATGATTTTAGTTGATAAACTCATACTTATTAGGAATTCTTAATCAATAGTTTATTTCACATTTCTTTTGTACTTTAATTACAATTTCAATACAGGTACAGTACTTCTAAAATCTTTCAAATTGATAATAATTGCAATCATTTACAATTTCAAACTATGTATGATTACTATTAATTTTTATACAGCCTTGTGTACAGGTCCCTGTACTGTGATAAATTTGGTTTTACTGCTTGTTCTTATTTGGAGGAACTAAAATCGTTTTATTTATAAATTTCTCTTACACTTCTAAGCTGTATCAGTACTGTATTGTACTTAGAAGCCTTTAAAAAATGTGTACATTTATTTCAAGCAAAATACTGTACTGTTTGAACGATATAATTTTGCATATACTGTAGTAGGTAGTCGGCAGCTACCAAACAGGGAGACACTACTGCCTGGGAAGATATTGGAAGCATACTGTGTTGTCTAATGGTAGACCCTGCTGCCATATGGCATCACGAAAATTGTGACCAATTCCCAGGTTGCTAATCTGTCTTTCTGCCACATTTATACACAATTGCAGGGTCTCAATTGTCTCTCGTACTATTGACAACACAACATATATAAACGTACTCACTCTTGATCTGTTCTATTCATTCCATTTTATTCTCCTATGTCAGTTGATATTAATATTGAAGCGGAGCCTTCTCGGATGGGTCCCACAGGTCGGGAAGGTTGTGGACCCTAGGGTCGACCTGATCATCATCAAACTACTGGGGCCTCAACTGACGCCACAGCGGTTGCTGGAGGATCGACTTTTTTCACACTTCATTTTTCCAACATTCGCGGCCTGAGATCCAATTTTCCTTCTGTGGTGCACCATCTATTAACCTCTTCCCCAGACCGCTTACTACGTTCCGAACTTCAACTGACCAAAGCAGCTTCACCTGAACCTTTTAAAGTCTCCAACTACAACCTTTATACCTCTTTCCGTTCTAAGGGAGGTGTATGCGCCTACTGCAACACACGTACACCTATAGCTCGACTCACGGATCTTGAATCTTCCCTTTACGCTGTCATCTGGCTTCAAAATATATCTTTCAACTATGACTATTTTTCTTTGTTTCCTATACTATTCTCCCAACTCTACCAACTATTTGGAACGCTTTGACTATCCCACTTCTTGCCATGAGCCGTTGCTATTCACATACCCCAACACCGAGATCCTCTACCTCAGGGATTTCATTGTACATCACAGAGAGTGACTTGGTTCTGCAAAGGAATTACCCAGGTGGAGCTGAGGAACTCTCTTTTTCCTTATTTAATGATTTGGAACAAATAATCAAACGCCTTACACACGTTCCTGATCGACACGATCAACTTGCTAACATTCTTGATCTTTGATTTACCTCTAAGCCCTCACACTATTCATACTCAATTTCTGCCCCCTTATGGTCTTCTGATCACAATCTTATTTCTATTAAATCAAACTGGGCACGAGCACCTCCCCCACCCCCCACCCTCCCACCCCCCACCCCCTCTAAACGTCGTCATCTATGGCACTATCGGAGGGCAAACTGGCAATCCTTGCGAGAATTCTTCACCGACTTTCCTTGGGATGAATGTTGCTTTTCCTATCAGGACGCCTCGGTGTGGGCTGACAGTATTGTTGGGGTTATACAGGGTGGAATGAGTGCATTTATCCCATCTTCTACCAAAACTTTCACTTATAATCATGGTTTGATCGCTCCTGCTCTCTTGCATGCAGGGGAAGATATAGGGCATATCAAGCTATGAAACTATTTAATAAATACCCAATACAGTTCTAAACAAATACCAAAATCCAAGGTTTAGAATTTCGGTCAACACAAATAGCTTTAGTCTAACCTTACTTTACTTTACTTAAGCTAACTTAACCAAAATATCTTGTAGACCACACACTATAGTAGCATCAGAATTTCTTGCGTCGTCCATCTTTAACTCTCGGCATATGTGGCTTAACTCGTTCAAGAAGTTCATGGATGTATTCCTTGGACAGCCTATACCTTCTGATGAACTCCTCCTCAGAGAGATAAACAAAAGGATTTTGACGCTCTCGAATAACAATCCTTGGTAGCCTCACAGAAACAGCTAGCTCTGCATACCATTGCCATAATGCCAGCCTGAAAAACAAAACAAAATAATATCTATAATCTATATAATGCGGTAACCACTGTACATTAAGTTAGGGTAGGTTGGAACTTTCGGGATAAGTCTTCGGGTGCCTAGCCTAGCCACATACGAATTGCCATTTTTTTAAACATAGGGGTTAGGCATTATTGTCTGGAAAGCGCCCTACGAACTGTAATTATTATTTTTTTAAACCAAATATATGTGCATGTGTACCGAAGTGCTCTTGGGTGCATGTGTACCGAAGTGCTTTTGGGTGCATGTGTACCGAAGTGCTCTTGGGTGCAAGTGTACCGAAGTGCTTTTGGGTGCATGTGTACCGAAGTGCTCTTGGGTGCTGTGGGTGCATGTGTGAAGTGCTCTTGGGTGCATCGTGTACCAGGGTGCTCTTGGTGCAAGTGTGCAAGTGCGTGGAGTGCATGTGTGCCAGTGCTCTTAGATGCCATGTGCCAAGATGCTCTTGGGTGCATGTACCAGAGTGCATTGGAATTGCATGTGTACCAGGAGTGCTCCTGGGTGCCTTGCTGCAAAGGGCTCTTAGATTACATGTCAACCACCAGTGCTCTTGGGTGCAAGTGTACCGAAGTGCTCCTGGGTGCACGCGTACCGAAGTGCTCTTGGGTGTATGTGTACCGAAATGCTCTTGGGTGCATGTGTACCGAAGTGCTCTTGGGTGCACGTGTACCGAAGTGCTCTTCGGTGCATGTGTACCGAAGTGCTCTTGGGTGCATGTGTACCGAAGTGCTCTTGGGTGCACGTGTACCGAAGTGCTCTTGGGTGCACGTGTACCGAAGTCCTCTTGGGTGCATGTGTACCAAAGTGCTCTTGGGTGCATGTGTACCGAAGTGCTCGTAGGTGCATGTGTACCGAAGTGCTCTTGGGTGCATGTGTACCGAAGTGCTCTTGGGTGCATGTGTACCAGAGTGCGTTGGGTGCACGTGTACTGAAGTGCTCTTGGTACGTGTGCAGTGCTCTTGGGTGCGATGTGCGAAGTGCTCTTGGGTGCATGTGTACCGAAGCGCTCTTGGGTGCATGTGTACCGAAGTGCTCTTGGGTGCATGTGTACCGAATTGCTCTTGGGTGCATGTGTACCGAAGTGCTATTGGGTGCATGTGTACCAGAGTTCATTGGGTGCATGTGTACCGAAGTGCTCTTGGCTGCATGTGTACCGAAGTGCTCTTTGGTGCATGTGTACCGAAGTGCTCTTGGGTGCATGTGTACCGAAGTGCTCTTGGGTGCATGTGTACTGGAGTGCTCTTGGGTGCATGTGTACCGAAGTGCTCTTGGGTGCATGTGTACCGAAATGCTCTTGGGTGCACGTGTACCGAAGTGCTCTTGGGTGCACGTGTACCGAATTGCTCTTGGGTGCCTGTGTACAGAATAGCTCTCTGGTGCATGTGTACCAGGGGGTGCTGGGTGCATGTGTGCCAGAGTTCATTGGGTGCAAGTGTGCGGAAGTGCTTGGGTGCATGTGTGCCAGAAGTGCTCGATTGGTGCGCATGTGCCAGTGCTCTTGGTGCATGTGTGCCAGGGGTGCTCTTGGGTGCATGTGCCGAGGTTGCTCTTGGGTGCATGTGTGCCAGAAGTGACCTGGCTGCATGTGTGCCAAGTGCTCTTGAGTGCATGTGTACCAAGAGTGCTCTTGTGTGCGTGTACCAGAGTGCATTGGGTGCATGTGTCCAGAGGTGCTCCTGGGTGCATGTGTACCGAAGTGATCTTGGGTGCACGTGTGCCAGAGTGCATGGGTGCATGTGTGCCAAGTGACCTTGGGTGCATGTGTACTGAATTGCTCTTGGGTGCATGTGTGCCGGTGACTGGTGCATGTGTACCAGAGTGCTTTTGGGTGCATGTGTACCAGAAGTCTTTTGGGTGCACGTGTACCAGAGTGCATGGTGCATGTGTACCGAAGTGATCTTGGGTGCATGTGTAACAGGAGTGCTCCTGGTGCATGTGTACCAGAAGTGATCTTGGGTGCATGTGTACCGAAGTTCTCTTAGTGCACGTGCACCAGAATGCATTGGGTGCATGTGTACCAGAAGTGACCTTGGGTGCATGTGTACCAGAAGTGCTCTTGGTGCACGTGTACCAGAGTGCATGGGTGCATGTGTACCAGGGTGCTCTGGGTGCATGTGTACCAGTGATCTTGGGTGCACGTGTACCAGAGTGCATTGGGTGCATGTGTACCAGGAGGACCTTGGGTGCATGTGTACTGAAGTGCTCTTGGGTGCACTGTGGCACCAGTGACCTTGGGTGCATGTGTACCGAAGTGCTCTTAGTGCATGTGTGTCAGAAGTGCTCTTGGGTGCACACCAAGCGCGTGGTGCATGTGTACCAGTGCTCCTGGGTGCATGTGTACCAGTGATCTGGGTGCACGTGTACCAGAGTGCATTGGGTGCATGTGTACCAGGGACTCTAGTTGCATGTGGCACTGAAGTGCTCTTGGGTGCATGTGTACCAAGTGACCTTGGGTGCATGTGTACCGAAGTGTTTGAGTGCATGTACCGAAGTGTTTTGGGCACGCACCAGCATTGCATGTGAAGTGTTCTGGGTGCATGTGTGCCGAAGTGATCTTGGGTGCACGTGTACCAGAGTGCATTGGGTGCATGTGACGCAAAGTGACCTTGGATGCATGTGTACTGAAGTGCTCTGTGCATGTGTACGAAGTGACCGGTGCATGTATCGAAGTGCTTTGGGTGCATGTGTACAGAAGCTTGGGCACGTGTACCAGAGTGCATTGGGTGCATGTGTACAGAAGTGACCTTGGGCATGTGTACAGAAGTGCTTTTGGGCACGTGTACCAGAGTGCATTGGGTGGATGTGTACCGGTGATCTTGGGCATGTGGCACCGAAGTGATCTTGAGTGCATGTGTACCGAAGTGCTCTTTTGCACATGTGTACCGAAGTGCTCTTGGCACGTGTACCAGAGTGCATTGGGTGCATGTGTACCGAAGTGATCTTGGGTGCAGTGTACCGAAGTGATCTTGAGTGCATGTGAAGGTTTTGGGTGCACGTACCAGAGTGCATTGGGTGCATAAACGCTGACCTGGGTGCATGTGTACCGAAGTGCTTTGGTAGCACGTGTACCAGAGTGCATTAGGTGCATGTGTACCGAAGTGCTCCTGGGTGCATGTACCGAAGTGATCTTGGGTGCATGTGTACCGAAGTGCCCTGGTGCATGTGTACCGAAGTGATCTTGGGTGCACGTGTACCAGAGTGCATTGGGTGCATGTGTACCAAAGGACCTTGGGTGCATGTGTACTGAAGTGTTTGGGCATGTGTACCGAAGTGACCTAGGGTGCATGTGTGTACTGAAGTGCTCTTGAGTGCATGTGTACCGAAGTGTTTCTTGGGTGCACGTGTACCAGAGCATTGGGCGCATGTGTACCGAGTGCTCCTGGGTGCATGTGTACCGAAGTGATCTTCGGCACGTACCAGAGTGCATTGGTGCATGATGAAGTGACCTGGTGCATGTGTACTGGGGCGTTTTGGGTATGTGTGTACCGAAGTGACCTTGGGTGCATGTGTACCAGCGTTGCGCACGTACCAGAGTTCATTGGGCATGTACCGAAGTGATCTTGGGCATGTGTACTGAAGTGCTCCTGGGTGCATGTACCGAAGGATCTTGCATGTGTACCGAAGTGCTCTTGCGCACGTGTACCAGAGTGCATTGGGTGCATGTGTACCGAAGTGACCTGGCATGTGTGTGTACTGAAGTGCTCCTGGGTGCATGTACCGGCGATCTTGGGTGCATGTGTACCGAAGTGCTCCTGGGCATGTGTACCGAAGTGATCTTGGGTGCATGTGTACCAGAGTGCATTAGGTATACACCGAAGTGACCTTGGGGCATGGTACTGAAGTGCTCTTGGGTGCATGTGTACCGAAGTGACCTTGGGTGCATGTGTACCGAAGTGCTTTGGGGATGTATGAAGTGCTCTTGGGCACGTGTACCAGAGTGCATTGGGCGCATGTGTACCGAAGTGACCTGGGTGCATGTGTACTGAAGTGCTCTTGGGCATGTGTACCGAAGTGCCTTGGGTGCATGTGTACCGAAGTGCTTTGGGCATGTGTACCGAAGTGTGGTGCGCACGTGTACCAGAGTGCATTGCGTATGTGTACCGAAGACCTGGTTCATGTGTACCGAAGTGATCTTGGGTGCACGTACCGAAATGCTCTTGGGTGCACGTGTACCAGAGTGCATTGGGCATGTACCGAAGTGACCTGCATGTGTACCGAAGTGACCTTGGGTGCGTACCGAAGTGACCTTGGGTATGTGTACCGAAGTGATCTGGTGCATGTGCACCGAATGCTCTGGCACGTACCAGAGTGCATTGGTGCATGGTACCGAAGTGACCTGGGTGCATGTGTACCAAGTGACCTTGGGTGCATGTGTACCGAATGCTCTGGGTGCACGTGTACCAGAGTGCATTGCGCATGTGTACCGAAGTGACTTGGGTGCATGTGTACCGAAGTGCTCTGAGTGCATGTGTACCGAAGTGCTTTGGGTACGTGTCAGCGTTTGGGTGCATGTGTACCGAAGTGACCTTGGGTGCATGTACCGAAGTGCTCCTGCATGTGTACCGAAGTGATCTGGTGCATGTATGAAGTGCCTTGGGTGCACGTGTACCAGAGTGCATTGGGCATGGAAGTGCTCCTGGGCATGTGTACCGAAGTGACCTTGGGTGCATGTGTACCGAAGTGCTCTTGGGCATGTGTCACGAAGTGATCTTGGCATGTGTACCGAAGTGACCTTGCGTGCATGTGTACCGAAGTGCTCTTGGGTGCACGTGTACCAGAGTGCATTGGGTGCATGTGTACGGAAATGCTTTTGGGTGCGGTGAAGAGGATTTAAGTCTGCATATTGACAAGGAACTAAATATTCTAAGACCATTGTGAGAATTAAACTACTAAGATTTACACAGAGTTCGTTTATATACAATGATTCAAAGGTTTATGGATTAGTGGATAAGGAAGGGGAGGTATTTCATATGTCTTC